GAACATTTCAAAAATTCATATCTCCACATAGAGTGATGTTGAAAGAATTAGCTTATGATATTTTGTAGATTGCATTGTCTTCTTCATGTATACTAAATCTGAGCTATATATAATTATTAGTTTACGCTATTTTATTGAAATTTAATTAACAGTTTGAGATATTATTTATAATAATTATAAAAATAACCGTTACATTTTAAGGACACTTATAATGTGATAAATACAAATATATAATTACCAAAAATGAACATGTATTTTGTTTAAATGTTAATGAAATTACTACATTTTTTATGGGGATAAATATATTATAAATAAATATAAATTACTATTTGCCTACATTATAATAAAATAGATACATATATTTATATGTTTCGTATTATTTATTTAACAAATATCGAATACGTACTTAATTAACTTGAAAAATAAAAAAAATTTCAGTAAAAGAGCGTAAATAATATCAAAATAAGTAATATTCAAGTCAAACGCCGAGCGCCTGGCTTTTCTATTACTATATATACTTCCCCTCCGCGGGATCTGTATCTCCCACCACTCGCTTTCTTTGACGCTCGGGCGCATTTTGCCCGATATTCAACGACAAATTTCACCCTTTTAAACTGATTTTAGAGCAAAAGTTCAAATGACAAAGTTGTAGTTTGATTATTGAGCTTTAAAAAACTTTTTTCAAATAATGTATAACTCTAACGGCTGAGCCACAGGGCATTATGCAAGATGTACTAAAAAAAAAAGGTTTAATTGTCATTACTGTAGTGCCGAAACTAATAATTATATATAGCTCAGATTTAGCATACATGAAGAAGACAATGCAATCTACAAAATATCATAAGCTAATTCTTTCAACATCACTCTATGTGGAGATATGAATTTTTGAAATGTTACCTTTTTTGATCAGTTTTGATGTTTTTTGCAATTATATTGATTATTAGTTACTCGATTGAGATGAGCGATAACTCATTTTATAGACAATTCTATTATCTATAACTTATTCCATTGAGGTACATACCTAACTTCAATAGTTTTGGTTTTATACGCGAAAAACATGTTTTTCCAATTTCAAACGGCTGTAAAAAGTTATTAAATGAAAGTTGCGAGTTGGAAACATATACGTTTTCATCTACGCATAGTAATAAACAACTTTGCATAGTCGGTTTGCTGATAGTATTAATGTCACAAATCACCTCATTTTTGGCTTCATTGATTGGCCTATTAGTGACGCGACCGGAGGAATCAGGGAATAGGTAGAGATAATATCATTATGAACTCACTGTGGATTGGTTAGGCACTTTAATGTACAAAATGAAGTTCGAAGTACAAAACTAGACTAATTGCCTAAGGGAACGCAGCCCTTATATATGGAGCCGTTTGAGGGCGTCCACGAGGAGAAAGCGACGCAGACGCTTTCTGGAATTAGAGGCGACGCTTTCACTTTTTAGTAGATTCTTGTCTCGTGTGGCGTTTACGCCCGAGCGAAGCGAGGGTGGAAAGGTACACGAGACGAAAAACTCTTCCCCGAACATGTGCCGTACCGTATTTTTTGATACGACCGTGTGGAAAGTGCGATTTTCAACACACGTTTTTTGCCGAGCGTGCGGTAAAAACGCACTTTCCGCACGGAGTGTCGAAATGTACTATTATGCAACGAGTGCGCAAAGTAGGTGATTCCCGCACGCGTGAGTTTGCCTCGCTTCGCTCGGGCGGCAATGCGCGTGCGCTATCACCTTATTTGCGCACAAGTTGCGTATACTATTTTTCCTACTAAGCTGCGCAAAATCGAACTTTGCGCACGATAGTAGGAAAAATGAGTTATGGGCCTTTGGATTATAGATCAAAATTTGAATGGGAACTCAGGTAGGTCCTATCAGCGATGCATCGCCATTAGGATTCCTCATTAGCGGGACCTCCGACAAACCATAATTCAATAATCAAAACTGTGAACCACAATTTACCTAATTGATTCTTGAAAAATTCATAATTGAAATCAAAAATATAATTTAGAGTCGTATATTCCAGTATATTATTATTCATTAATACATATAATAGCTAAACGAAGGAAGAAAGAGATTGAGAACATAACATAATAACATAAACACAGATGCATAAACATATACATGTACATTTTTACAATCTGCACAGGGTTATCCAACGAAATCAAGAAATTTGATAGTGTGAAAATAATGGAGACATATGTAAAGATTGGCAGAATTGTTGAATCACAATTTGGTTTGGATTGTCGTTGTCAGCTAATTTCTTATTCATATTTGATTAGTATTTGATGTGCTATCGAAAGCAACGTGAAATTTTATTATAATAATATCACAGGTATTCTATTATCTGCAATTGATCATTTTTTTCATTAATCTCAAATAAATATCAAGCATGAGAGCAAAACGTGGGAACAACAAGCTTAACGCCGAGCCGCGCCCGAAAAACTACATAACGAATAATAATGTCTCAACGCTGTTATCTCAATGGACGAGGACTCGCGCGAAGAGAGTTGTGTATCGTCGAAATGAAGTGCGACGAGGAGAACGACAAGAAAAAAAGAGAAAGCCATGAAGCGACGGGTTTGTTTGCTTAGGCCGAGTGAGGCTGCGTTGCATGTATATATCAAAGCTAAAAAAAGCACTTACGTGTGTATACGCGCATCGGGACTCACCCACGTTACAACGCTCAATGTGTATAAGTGCAACTTGGAACTTCTCTTTTTTGTGGATTTATAAGCTACTTGTCGACGTCCGTCGAGAATATATATATTTGAGAGCTGAAGGCTCTCCTTGTTTGTAAAATCATGAATTGGACTCTACGTTTAAGTTTCCAAATATACAAAAACTGTCTGAACGAAACGCATAAGTAAATATTATTTCATTGTTGTAAATGCTGTTACGAAAGACGTAATAAGATAATTGGTCGAGAGTGACACATCCCGTAAGTAGTTATTCAGAAATGATACCGAGACAAGACCGTGATGATTTTTAGACGTCAAAATCTTCTCCTGCTTGTGTAAACATCTGTCGTCAAGAGTATTTCGAAAACTGTGAATTGAGAAGCTCTGACGCGTATAACATAGCTGCGCTTGTAAACAAAGTCTATTATCGTTTTAAAGCGACATGAAAAAATGAAATGGTCATGCTAACCATTGCATCGGATAGGGTGCAAAATATAGATCGATTACAGCTAACGATTTGCGAACAGAAGGGCAGTCCATCGAGCAAATGAAACGGACTATCGGTCGGTTAGACGGTGGGCATCTACAGACCATTCCCTAATACGTAAGGTTTGATCGTTTCCACTTAGAACCAACACTGGAACGGATAGTCCAAAGCGCAAGACACTCGGATCCTGTGCTATACGCGGTCACCACGATGAGGTATACGCCCGAGCGGTCCTCGAAACGCGTCCCTCGGCAATGTAAAATCATAAAAACGTGGAAACAAATATCAGGAGCATATGAGATTCCCTTGGCGATTCGTGCCTGCCCCGTTTTCGCGCGCGCTTGTGTAGGTACGATGTGCCTACTCTCAACATCGCCCTATAATGCACTCGGCTGTGCGCAAGCTCGGGAGCTTGCACCGCGTCCCTAGCGGCCGAAGCGCGCGTAGCACGTACACTTACACACGTGCAATGTATACAGTTATGAGGAATGTGTAGTTATGCTATACATGGTGGTTTTGAGCGATACAAGCTGTGCCGAGGTATCATACGTGTGGGACAAGTATTTGAAGCAGGCGAGCCTGCGACCGAGGCATGCTCGCCGGATCGCGGCAACGTCGACAAGCACAAGTGTGCCCAAAGTATAAAAGTGGCGTACTGCAAAAGCCGCCCTCGCGACGTTGCCTGCGCGCCTACCTAAGAAAAATCGCCAGTCCCGACGTCGGCAAAAAACGGAAGAAGCCCCTTGAAGCTTGCGTCTGTAGACGGGAAGCTCGCGTCGAAGCGCTCCGCGCGACTCCGCGCGACGAGCCAGCAGCATCCGCGAGGAGGTCGTCGCCGACGGCATCACCCTCGTAACGCATGCGCGCGCACGCGCGCGACCCCCTCGCGTCGTCGCGACCTACGTATACGGGCGTGGCCGGAGAGAATTAAGCCAGGCTTGTGACGCATACGCTCACTAATGAGGCTAATGCGCGACATCATTTGCGACGAAGCTTCATTTCCGGACGCTCCGATATTCTTTTATCAATTTGACGTCACACGCTATTGCTTCAAATTTCCAAATACACGCGTTAATGTTAGAACACATCAGAATTATTCTATTTATCGTTTGAAAGCGTCCGTCTTTCCGAAGGATACTCTCAAATTTGTTATTTATTTCAAGTTTTTAAGTATCTGAGAATTTTTTAAGGTACTTCTGACAGGTTAGTTTCGTGGCACTTGTCCTAATACAAAATCACTCGCCTAGCCAAATATTTCCAAAACTTTCCTCGCAGTCAAAGAAAACCGATGTCTAAATGAGAGGTTTGGATGAACGACAGTAGCAAGTATCGACCGTCATGTCAGGTCGGCATCGGGTGGTTTTCGAAAAATGAAATCCGGCTGCTACATATAAATCGGTACAGGTACCCAGGGTACCTCTGCAGCGTTCCGCGCGAATGTAAACATGTAGCGATTATCGCGCAAAAAATTAAACGAGAAAAATCGGCTGCCGAAGTGGCGCGCTTGATATCCCCGAATCGAATTCGTTATTAGCAAGACGAACCGATCTAGAATAAAATAACATGGAACTGCCGTAGAGAAAAAGAGCAAGTAGTCGGCACGTAATTCCGCGATATCTCAGCAATCGCGAGCAGATGTGCCTCTACGTAGGTGGGAGCCGATATTTCGCTCGCTCGATCCTCATTGCGATGGAGGCGACTGCGAGTCCCGCCCGGTAATTGATACAAATCGTGACTAGCGAACGCACCTTGATAGGGGACGCATCGTGGAGGCTCGCCGGTATAAAGCCACGCTGCCGCGACACAACTGCCAAAGAGACGCGTGAGAAGCGGCCCCAGCCACATCCCCCAAGTGCGACTAGCTAAATTTTGGGATTTTTTTCGGTGTGCTAAAGCTAAATAGCCAAGTACCAGAAGATGCAGCCGATAGACGCAGCGAGGACGAAGGTTGTCGCCTGTGTTCTTTTAGTGTTTGTTGTGGCGAGTCAAGCCACTGGACAATATGGTATGTTTGAGGTGAACTGCTGCTGATGGAGGCTTTTTATGTTGATAGTGCTGCCGAGTTCATTATCAAAGTTACGTTACTTTAGCTGAAGTGAAACAAACATGCAGAATTACCTTGTTTTTGTTGCAATAAAATAGTTTTACTACAAGAGAACGCGTTTCTATTTTGAAAACCATCACTGCGATTGATGTTCAACTCTGTTCCGTGCAAAAATACGTTTTCAATTAATATTTTTCAATATTATATCGAATTGTTGTACCTATATGACCAATCTATCGAAACTGACTAATTGTAGCTAGAAAGACCATCGTTATATCATACGAGGATAAGAATCTCCACACTTATAAGTCAATTGAATCTTTCGTCAACTCGCAAAAGTATATGCACGAAAAAGCCACGCGTCATCCTATGTTTTGCAGATGGACGAAGCGTCGACGGCGTGGTGGAGGGTCCACGAGTCGAGCGTATGCATCCGGAAGTGTCGAGCGACTGCATGGGCTCGAATTGTCTGACGCAAAATTCCGAGGGACCTGTGGGTGCCATGTGGTTTGGTCCCCGACTCGGCAGGCGTCGCCGATCCGAGTACAAGTATTCGCCGAAAAAGCTCGAGGCTCTCAGCGAAATTCTCGCCTCGCCCAATTATGGATTTACGCCTGGTAAGACGAGATTTCCTTTATCCTTGTGTTTCAGCGATTCACTTATGTTTTCTCGCCTTTTTACAGACCGCGTAAGCAACGACCTACCATCCGTCTTGGCACGATCACTAGGCGGCGATGATAAGCGTCAGGATGGACCGTTCACTCCACGACTTGGTCGCGAACTAGAAGAGGCTGTGAACGCTTATGGTTTCATCAGAAGCATACTCAACCGTGTTGACGAGCCAACGGACAAGGATAACAGCGATCAGCAACAACCACCGCCGATGTTTCCACCGAGACTTGGACGCAATTTGCGCAAACTTCTCAGACAACTGCAGATGTAATCGAACGGAAACGAATTTCAGTTTTCTTTATTTTCTCTTATTTTCTATTAATTTTTTTTTTTATTATGATTGTGTCCATTGCAATTGATATGGAACCGTGAAGAATAACAGAGACGGAGGACCGATTCTATTGAAAAAATTCTGAAATATTTATGGGGATACAAAGGGAATTGTTTGGATTATTTTTCACTAATTGATTGGTCTGATTCGAGCGTAGATTGCGATAGCTCCAGATTTTCTTGAAGTTTGGTGGTAGTTTGATCTTAATGAATAAAAATGCAAAAAAAAAGATTAAAAGATCGGTTTATTAAATTTGTTAAACACGCTTTTATTTAGTCTTCTTATTTCATTTTATGATGAAATAAACTTTGTGTATGTAACATTGATGATTAAAAAGTCTGATGAACAAACGCGGTAAATAGCTTAAATAATGACCAATACTTTAATTTTGAAATCTAATTGTTATTAGAATAAATTAACACTATTTGTTTATAAAAAATAGCTTTCATCGACTCAATTCTTAAAATAATTTTATCCATTGAAGCCTGTAGAAAGTATATCTATTTATTGATTTCCAAAATTGCTTAATAAATATTATTATTGCTTAGTAAAATTACTGAATAATTATTTTGTAAACAATAAAGAATGCTATCTAAATGTACAAAATAACAATAATAATGATGATCCAATGAATTTTAATTCGATTGATGAAAGAAAATTGTTGAAATATAACAATCTTTTGAATATACTGATTTGTTTGTTATTTCACCATTTTTTATGTTTTTATTCTACGTAGACTTGACCTTCTATTCTTTTACGGGTGTTCTATTATTAGTAGATTTTAATATAAAGTACTTGCAATAGATTTTCTGAAAAACATACGAATATAGAAGAAAACCATCGCAAAAAATAACCAATCTAAGTATCAATTATACGTATACGACGTGCATGTCAACATTGATATAGTTATAAACAATATAAAAGAGAAGAATAAATAAAGGTAGATCCAATATTTGTATTTCTTGAATGTGGTAAATAAATGAAAATATTCGTAAAAAATACAATCGTTTTGAAATGAATCACAAAAAATTATTACTACGTAAAATAAAAGGATCAGGATCAACGGCTTTGCGTGATCTATCTGGGTGATTTACATTTGTCCTCCTGCAATTCCATCTGATTGAATCCTCTGAACGGAGAAGCTATTACTCAGTTTTATTTATAGCAAAACTCGGCAACCGGAGAGAAGCAACGATTTGTTTCGATTACGGCTCTTTCTCACCTACGACCTGTCGGATTACACTGTCAATGAAATAATTGTTACTAATCTTGATGACTTGGGTGTACACATGAGAGAGTGTTAGCGTCGAATGACAACTATTTAAAGTTTAATTTATTTCTAGAACTTGCTATGACCTTTCGGCGTACATGCATAAATAAATATTTGCAAATAATTGGTGAATAAATAATAAGAATAATCAGACATTTCAGTTTTTATGGTTTTTTATTTTATATTCACAAACGTTACATTTCCCAAATATACATACACAAGATTCGTAATCATACGCAATGGTACAAATCATCATCATCAGAGCATTAAAGTCCAGTCAAATCATTAGTTCATCGGTATCATAAATTCATCACATTATCACAACAGCACTCTACACGCTAGGTGCGCCGTCACGGCTTATAATCGACATTATCTTTTTTGGATTTTTTCATTATCGCCTGGAACTATTACTCCTTACGTCCTATTGTCTATTTTTTTCTTTATAAACTACCGATAATATTTACATGGCTGACAAATTGCAGTATGCATCCCTATATCGACGCATAACCGTTCACATCAGTTTCTTTCCTCCTTTTCTTTAAATGTTTGCTACAAACGTACGCCTTGCATATTTCGTCGTCACTATAATGCGAAAACAAGAAGGCTTCATTCAACCTTCCGTATTTAAAAGAAAAGCTTTGGCCGAATGATCGTCAGAGATTTTCTTTACTCAAGTTGTTTTTCTATTTTATTTCATTTGATTATTAAATATTAGAAGAGAATTTCGTTTGGCCACGATATAGATATAGATATGAAAAAGACTTTCAGGTACCAAATGACCCTTTCAAACACCTACTTCTCGTTACACAAATATAATAGCGTCGCTATAGCAAGATCTAAATCGTGTTTACCTATATTTCGAGGTGCCATATTTATTTCATTACGAAAATATCGACCGAAGCTCACTGTCGAGATGGAAAACCAAATGCATAACAAGTTGGAAAGAACGCGATTCACGACGCTATTTTCTTTGTTTTTTTTTATTTCAATGACAATGATATTTCGCCAAGTTCGTGGAACTGATAACACACTATTTTTAGCGAGGAAAGAAAAAACAAGCTGACATCTACTACGCCATTTATAACCAACTAATCTTTCACCTCTGTTTATCGTTGGCTTTGTTTTTTCATTCATACAAATAGAAGGGGGCACGTGTAAAAATCGTAAAAAATGTAGTTTACATGATCGACCGGTTTCACAAAATTACTTCTTTGTTTTGTTTGCTTGTATTCCCTTTCATATCGAAGGCACTATCGCGAAAGAATGCACAGTTTTCTATTTAGCGGAGCTTCCTTTAAACACCGAGTAAATCAATCGAAATAAAATTATCTTTTAATTGTCCGATGCGCCTTGTATTGGTTATTGATAACTAATCGATGCTGTTTTTTACTCTCGTGTCATGAAAAAAACAACAAAATAAGGATCGCCAGTATTTATTTTTTTTCGATTGTAGCTCTTGTTTAAGTATAGTGTGTGATTGAACTCGCGTCGTGTTATGTTTCAATTTAATAATTTCACTTACGTTAACAGCATCATTTAACTTTTTTTAAAATCATTTTTTTAAACATACGAATGCAACTGAAATCTACATTTTATATATATTATATATATATATAATATATGCAACATTTTTTTATACATTTTGTAGTCGTCATCAACTATTAACCCCACCCGACTATAATTAGCATAAGCCTTAAAATAAGATATATCATATACCGGTAGTACATATGTATATTAATATATAATATTTTATATTTATAAGTAACAATATAAGTAAGCTTTATCGTACGTGTGTGTGTGTATGTATGCATGTATATATAACAAAGCTGAGATCTTCCATTTTGCTGCATACGTTTCTTCTCTCTTTATTCTAATTTTTACTAACAAGTTACTTGCGCTTTTCACTATTTTTGTTTTATCGGCACTCAGACCTCATGCTCTTTGTAAAAGTGCATTTAGCATTGTGCTAGCAAGCCCATCTTTTATAAGCAGAATATGTTTCAAGTCATACAACTTACAAGGAAGGTATCTGAGGTGTCCTCGCCGATTTTAGTCTTTTTTTGATATGTTGTAAAACATTGAAAAATAAGACACGTGTGTTTTTTTATCTACGGAAAAAAATTTTTTAGGGGATGAAATAACCCCTCAAAGTTACGAGTCTCAAGGGATAGTTATTTTAAACGGAAAAACTTTATATTTTTCCACCAAACTGGCTGTAAAATCCATATTACAAATAATGCTAGGATATGTCAATGAGTTCACAAAATTTGATCTATTTACAAGCATAAACAACAAATTATTTCATAGGAAATTTTATTAAAAAAATGAGTTTAAGACGTTAATTTTGAAAAAAAAATCTGAAAAAATATGTTACCTGAACAGACATATATATATCATTGTCTTTTTTGGAGATTATCACTATTGTTCCAAATTTGAATTGTAATGGATAAACATTTATTTCACAAGAAATTATTATAAATTTCTGCCTAGACGTATAAGAAATTTGTTTAATGTATCTTTTATCAATTATCTCGTATCACCTCAATAAATTTATTTGATAGCTTGATTTGTTATTCTTATGAGTTACATTATAGCTATCTATATTACCATTTTATTGTTAATCATATTCTTCATATAGCTATCATTGAAGCAATTTTCTTTACCCTGGTGAAGATTATCTTATTTTCCGAACTATTTCTAACCACTGTTAACTTTCGTAAATCAAATGCTTATGCTAATCACATTTCTGAAATGGTTATACATAGTTTAAAATAGCATCTAACCATACGAATTTTTTGCTTATTCTTTCTTTCGGGATCAATACTCCCTCCAACACACGTGTAAGATTGATAAATTGTGCAGAACATTTTCGCTATGCCGAAATAAACAAAAATTGTTGAAATATGCTATTATTTCAAAAAAAGATCCCAATTTTCTACTAATACGTGATAAAATATACGAGGGGTGGTTACCCCCTTGAAAAATTCTATTTAGAAAAAATACAGAAATATGTCAACTGAAATATGTATTTATGTAACATATATTTTTTCAAAATTAACTTTTTACCGTTATTTTTTATAAAATTTTTGTAAATAAATAGTTTATTTATATTTAAAAATAAATCAAATCTTGCCAAAAAACATTTTTCATTCATTTCTGTAATATATATTTTCCACTGAGTTTCGTTAAAAAATATTAAGTTATTCTATTAAAAATCCTTAAACCACCCCTTGGTGACCAAAATTTCGATAGGTTATCTCACCTCCTAAAAAGCTTTTCCCCAGGAAAAAAAAACCGTGTGTCTTATGTTTCAATGTTTTACAACATATACAAAAAAAACTGAAATCGGCGAGGAACACTTGGAGTACCTTCGTTGTTAATATGCACAGTCCATACAGTTTCGAATAGAAAAAAAAAAATATATTCAAATGTTTTCTAGTAATCAATTTTACATCATATACATCTAATAAAACAAGTAGATTTCACGCCAAAAGTGCAAGTAAAAAAGTAAACAGAGAAATCAATTTATAAACGAGTCTTTTATATTCAAATACGCCGCATCGAACGAACTCTAGTGCAATGAATTCTCATCTTTGTCCTAGACGACGTAATGTTGACTACTTACTAACCGATTTATAAACCATTATGCACTTACTTAAATTTTTTAACAAAGAATCAAACCATTTTATAACGAATTCATATTCATACAAAAAATGTTAGTCTATACATATGCTACTTTCAAAGTTTTCATTTTTAATACTTCATATGCATTTTACATCTAATAGTTGGATCAACTCATGGAATAATAATCACTTAAAAATACAAAACTAAAATTCTTAATCGATATAATACGATCAGACTCAATTGACACACGAATCAATAACTTTTCTTACAATATCGTAATTTTATTTTTCAACCAATTTTTTTCCAGTTTCATAATATTTATTAGGATAAATAAAACCAATTATCATTATGATTAAAATATCAATACATTTTTAGAAATACTACGTAGATCTACTGCAAAAATAGTTTGATTCTTTAGATATAAATTTAAATTCCGCGCATCTGTTACTGATGGTACATTCTGTTACTTCTTACATTTCGCGTAAATCGTCGTGATAAATCTTAATCAAAAATAGGTCGTCGCTCTTTTAAAACAAGGAAAATATTAGAGGAGTAGTAGTAGTAGTAGTAGTAACAGTAGTAGTAGTAGTTGTAGTTGTAGTTGTAGTAGTAGTAGTAGTAGTAGTAGTTGTAGTTGTAGTTGTAGTAGTAGTAGTAGTAGTAGTAGTAGTAGTAGTAGTAGTAGTAGTAGTAGTAGTAGTAGTAGTAACAGTAGTAGTAGTAGTTGTAGTAGTAGTAGTAGTAGTAGTAGTAGTAGTAGTAGTAGTAGTAGTAGTAGTAGTAGTGTAGTAGTAGTAGTAGTAGTAGTAGTAGTAGTAGTAGTAGTAGTAGTAGTGGTAGTAGTAGTAGTAGTAGTGGTAGTAATAGTAGCAGTAGCAGTAGCACTAGTGGTAGTGTAGTAGTAGTAATAATAATAATAATAAAAAATGATAATAATAAAAAATAATAATAATAAACCTTCGTCGTTCACTACGACACGACTTTCGGTATCAACAATCGTTATATTTTTATAAGAACTTATTTTATGTACAGATAACTGATATCTTTCTCAAGAAATATCTCATTCATCCTCATTTATTCAATCTCGTGAGCGTGCGTAAGTCGATAGTTGATTTTTTCGGATTATCTTTTACGTAAACATTTATTTTCCTGTGCGCTCTTTCATTCTCGCTTCAATCGGGCGTAACGCGCATTTCTCTTTTGATTAACAAACTTTCAGTAACCTGAAAAAGTTTCTTTCAAATCATTACAAGTTGTCTATTTTTAATTGCTAAAAACGGTACGAACTTTTTACAAAGATTATCTATTTCCAAATGACTAAAATTATTTATAAAATTCTTGTTATGTTGAACAAGCTATACATTTGTAGATAAATTGTTTTCTTAGAGAATTCAAATAACTACAATTCTCATGAAAAAATTGTATTTTCATATATACAATATAATAATATATATATATATCCAAAATGTTTCATTAGAAATTATAATTTATCTATATACAAAGCTATACATTTTGAAAAAAATCGTAAGAATTAAAACTATATATTCAAAATCCATCCGTATATCTTTTTGCAAATTTAACTTACAAGTTGAAGATCGAGTGATAAAATTACTTTTTTATATGTATCTGGATAGATTTTGAATTGCTGGTCGATCTCTAATTATAGTTTTCGTAAATGATATATCTCGTGAAGAAATAATAGGTTTTTAAATAAGAGCAAAGTAAGTGAACTGAAACTTTCAGACTTTACGATTTCCTCTCTCATTTTAGAAAATTGAAGGACTGAATGGATTTTTGAGATATAAATATATAGCAGTGCAAAAAGATGTGAAGAATTGGCGATTTAATTTGAAAACGTATTACGCGTTACGCCCTTTTATTATCAAAACAAATTTTTTTTAAGCCGACAGAACACGCAAAACTCATTTTTTTTAATTTATGCTATCAGTTGGCTTTTTATCATATTATTTACATCGTAGTGATGCGTTTGTACTACTAATAATTATTAATATTAGTAAAAAGGAAAACAAGAAACGTAACTATATAAGCCTTCAAAAATATATCATGATGACGAGTGCATCTGTTAAATCATTTGCTGTGTGCAATCAACTAGACTTTGTTTTCGTTATAAATAGAGCCAATAAGTAATATCACTGGATGTTTATGATGAATGAGTAAATATTTGCAGTGATATTTAAAACTAATGAAATCATAAATATTATTAAAGTTGTTGTTTGAGTCGCCGTGTCAGATTTTCTAAGAGAATGGTCAACTCATTGTTGAAATATGTAGTCTTTTATAAAATAAAATTTTGAGAAAATGTACGAAACTTCAAAAACTAATCATCAAATCTTAAACTTTTCATAAAGAGGAGTTATGAATGTAAGTTTTATATATTGATAACAGCTGAAAGTGATTTGTTTTATAATACATTACTCTGCAGATTTGTTATTTTGTTTTGTTAAGCATAGCATAGATATATTATCAGAATAAGAATTAATAGAATTAATGATGTTATACATTTCTAATTCTAAGTCGGTTACAAAATATAGTCATTAATAATTCTTACGTAGAACATAAATAAAGATTTGTGATATTTATCAACTGTGTGCACTAGCTGCAAATTTAGACTTGTGATATTTCAATATGCTTGCAATTTTTTTTATTTTTAAATATCAGTAAATCTTATTTCAACGATAATTCCTCTTCTGATAGTATATGACGGTACAACATTACAGAATTCAAAGACAAAACCAATGTACTTATATCCAACGGGAAGGCTAAATTTTTTTCTTAGTACGCATCAATGACTAAGTTTACCGTAAAATTGGAACGTTTCAAATGATAAAAGAAATTATCATCGCAGGTGTACTCATGGATATACTTATCAAATTTTCTTGATTTGTCTTTCGAAAGAAATTAAAGCGTAAAAATAATTTTAAAAAGTAACTCATTCATTCACTTTTGAATGAAAAACCACGAATAGTAGCCCCTTGCTAAAAGCGCACCGCGAGTCTCTGTCATTTTCACAGCATTGAATGATTTCGACTATTATTTCACGGGATTATCGGTGAAAATTTTTTGTTGTCCCAAAAAATCAAAGTAAACGCACCCAATAGACACAAATTTCTTATCACTCACTATATTGTGTGTCGATAAGTGGTTTCAATGTTGATCCACTGTTCCGTCCATCGTTATCTTACTTTCACTTTTGCGCGGTTTTTACGATTTCTTGGGGTTTCATGAACGAGCCCGAGTTATGTCGACTTCTCGGTTGTTGTTGCTGTTGTTGCTGTTGTTGAATTGCAGATGTAGTTGGTCGTTTAGTGTGACCAAGTCTACCTGAGCCGAAGGAATTTGCTCTGTTACGATATTGTGTGAGATTTACATTTTGCTTCTGTTGCGTCTGCTGCTGGTGCTGAGTATGCAAGCTCGAAGCATTAGCATTATTTGTGATGGGCAATGTTACTGTGCTAGAGCCACCGGATAGACGTCGCTGTCGGCTACATGGTGAGACTTCGGCACCACTGGCACTTTCGGATACGCTTCTGTTGCGACGTTTGTTGGCATCTTGTGATCTTGAGACTTCGTTTATTTGAGGCTGTAACAAAATTTTTAACGTGACTATTAAGAATAACTGAATTTAGCAACTTCACTTTAGAAAATGGTATATTACCTCAACTACTCTAAAATCTTCAATAGTCTTGAATTTCTCGAGATAACCTTTTAACATCGGATCAACATCAAGATCTTTTGCGTGCTTATAATACTTTAGGAACGCCCAGAACTTTTCCAGACCATAGAGTTGTCCTAAAAACACATGCAATGTTAATTTAATCTTACATAATATATGCAACAATAAAAAATTTTTTAGTGTAAATCTCTCACCACTTTCATAATCTCTCATCGTTTCAACTTGAAAATCTTTGTAGAGCTGTGGTCGAAATTTCTTTTCCAAACCGTAACTATAAAATCGGAAAAGACATTCGAGTCCATACCGATATCCTTCACATGCATCCTCGTAAGCTATCGTTCTGAATTCCTCGTACATAGTACGATTAAAGTTCTCTCTCAAAAAGAATGACCAGAATCGGAAGAGTGTATTCATTTCTTGTGATTGTCCAATACCTAGTCTTTTACGCTCTGTAATGGAAAATAAACATAAAATCAACTTTAATATAAAAATGGCAATGATAAAATTACTGTATATAGTTATCATCAGATAATAAAATTCAACATGACATTATCTGTCGGGAAAAGAAGACAAAATAAATTAATTTTCATCAGCCTAGCTTTAGTTTTCGTTAAATTTGTTATAGTATAACATGGATAATATTTACCTTTGAGACATCGCGAATGATATTTATGGTAGACTTGCTGCGTGAAACCATTTTCTTTTAACAATGAATGACTAGGATGTTGGAAGATTGGAAGCGACTGAGGGGCACTACCATAACTGTTAGCCAAGAAACTTTCATTTGGACTTGTACCCGTGCTACTTCTGCAAAATAAAATGTACCAATACTACAATCAAATTATTTATAAGAGAGATGCGATAAAAAATAATAAAGCAAGTTTAAACCAAGAAATATAACTAACCCGGTTGAATAAGTCCTGGGTCTGTGTTCTCTGACATCCATAATCCAACCAACATGGTGCTCGACTGGTGGATTATTGCTATGTCTCGTTTTGCGCTTACGAGGTGTTCGTGGATCAACCGCAGCTTCGTCTTTGACAACGGCAAAGAATCTGGGCACAGCCCTGAGATGTCCTCGATTTGGTTTACGCCTCTTTTCAGAAATGCTATCGCGTTTCTCTGGTACCGGTTCTGGCACTTGAGCTGGTTGAGTTGACTGTTTCATTTGTTTAGAGTCTGGAATTTCCGCATCCTCCATAGAAGTCGGAGGTGGCGGTGGTACTTCAGGATTCGCTTTACGTGGTGCCTTTGGTGCCATCTTTTCAAAGGCTTCTTGGCTGACGACGTTGATAGTTTTGTAACTTCCAACTGAAGACGATGAACCATACTGTAAGAGAATGACTTATAAGATACTGTCATTTAAAGTTAAAGTGAATTATACTTAGTTTTTAATTTATTTCAGATAATTTACATCAACATAATTCTTCTGTTGGGAAAAGAAGACCAAACAAAACATTTTCATCATATTCGACTGAGTTTCAAATACTTATGTGCAAATATATCGATATTAACCTTTTCCCGACCATCCTTCCACAGGTCTTCTTCATAATAGTATAAACCATCATTTATAGCTTGCTCAAGATCCTGCGACATTTTGACTCGAGTTGTCCAATCGCCCGTGCGATCGTGGCCCTCGTGTTTCGGAATTCTGGACGAAGTGCTTTGTGTCACGATCAACAGTTTATTAACATCTCTGTCAGATAATTCATAGTCGTCTTCGTCTTCAGACCTGAAATTATTATTGTTCAATGAAAATAAAATACAAAAATAATACATCAGATATGTCGATCGAAAAATTTATAATAATTATAATCAACAACTTTTTTCAGACAGGAAAAGACATAATTTAAGCATTATCAGTTATTAAAAGAACGTTAACGTACTATAAAACTTACTTTTAACAAAGTTAAATTAGACAAGTGTCCCTTTTATTTTATTTTATTTATTGATATATATTTTATATTTTTTAATTTAATAAAAAATTCATTAATTCGTTTTTAAGTTTACTTTAATCTGTTGAATAAATTATTTGGTGGATACAGCCGTTCACTGTAGAATATACATGACATAGACTTTCATTTTCAATCATTTACAAGACTTAGATTTTTTTTTATATATAACGCTTAATTCAAGACTGTAGTAGTATATAATCGTATAAGCAGACAAGCATTTTATTCAACTTATAGTTTTCGTTCAGTTTTAAGCTATATAGACGTTTTCTTAATAATAACACAGATTTATATCAATTCTTCACACTTGATTACTAAATATTTATAAATTATAATTTATTTGTAATATAAATTAATTTTAATAATTATAAACATTTATAATTTTTCAGTATAACTTTTCTCCAATCTACTTTCTAATATAGACATACTTGCTGGGCCTATCATTTTTAAATTAATTAATGCTTAATTGAATGACGTATTTATACATAAAAAAATATTACATCTAACTATACGTAAATCAACACTTTAATTTTTATATATGCAAGCTACACAAATATAACTCCTTTATCTACCTTTAATTAATCTTATCTAAACATTTTATACCAATTCATATCTTTAATATTGTTAACGACTGCTATACATTTATTTTGAAATTTTAAACTTCCTGCGCGGTAAGCTTGCGTCAAAAGGACCTACACATAAAAATATAAAACCGAAACGCTCGAAAAGTCCATCCCCGCCGATCATAAATGTGAAACGCAAGATGGCGCGGAGGAAAAGCGGAAAATTTGTCCAAATCGGAGAAAGAGAAAGTGGACGCCCATTCAGACGGAACTTCCTAAATAAGCGATTGAGGGGAAACAAGCGGATTTACAGGGCCAGGACAGACACAATTGGCATTATGAATTATTAGGTAGCGTAAATTTGTGAGTTTTTTAATGAAATAAAACAAAAGATGTATTTAACTAATTTAAATTTGTCGAAAGTAAGGTAAACAAATATTCCTACATCCCTATAGTCAATGAAGATTTTTCGTTCGAACATCTATTATTAGTGACAGACTATAACAAAAAATTTGGTTTAACAATATAAAGTAAACGAGAAATGAAAATAGTTTCAAAATGTAAATAAAAAAGAAAGTAAATTATATCAGAAAATGATAGATTTAAAAAAAAAAAATATGAAGCAAATGCATGATTCATCATCAGTAGGGAATGCTGATTATGAATATGAAGACAGATTTCAATTACGATAATAATTGTTAGAACAAATTTTGAGACTTTTTACTCAGCAATTTGATTAAGTTAATGTCTGTTTAAACAAATTGTCAATCTATTTTACTTGATAACATTTCTTATAAATGTTGAAATTGGAATTTAAAGGTATGTAAATTGTAAGGTTTCAAATGTCCTTGAAATGTATGATTTTTTGATAAAATAAACAGTCACTGTTTTATATGTAATCGTATATTATAGCATAATATAGTCTTCATAAAATATATAAAATCACTTAACATTCTTCAGATTCAGTGACATCAATAAACCCTTAAAATGTCTAACTGATTTATTATAGGTGAGCATGATCTTAAAGTATCTTTTAACATACTAAAAAACGATCCAAAAACATTCTAGCATATTTTATCAAAAATACAACAAAGTTTTAAAAATAATTTTAATAATTCTTAAGATTTATAATTCAGAGTAACTTATCTCCAATCTACTTTTTAATGTCTAATATGTACATGCTTGCCGGATCTATTTTCAAATTACATCTTGCATGCTTTTATTTATTACAAAGATAAACATTTATTATAAAAAAAAATTGACGCTATAACATTGCGATTGAATTCAACTTTAAAAAACCTTTTTTCTTTTTTTTACAAGTTTTTATTTCTTTAATTATTAACAGAAGAAATGATATTGAAGTAAAATTAGGAATTTTTTGTGAATACACTGAGATTAACCTAATTGATTGTAGAAAAATAAATAAAGGAACTATACAAAGACAATTTTATACGTGCAAACTATTTAAATAATTTTAATCGTCAAGTTTAAAATCAAATATTGTTATACAATTACTAAAAAGTAAATATTAAAAAAAATTAGTGTAGTGCAGGTACACGTTTTCTTTAGATATGGGATCTATCTAGGTAGGTACCGGCCTACGACGTGCTGTCTCGGGCCACTACCGCGACCCTAGATCATTGCCATATCAATCTGTAAGATTCTTACCATTCCGAGAAAGCATTATGACGTCCAGTGAGAACAGGAGTATCTAACTCTTCGTCAAACTGGAAATCTAACTCTTCTTTCTCGTGTTCTTTACTGTTAGCTTTTTGGCTAACAGTTTTTTCTTTAGTGTGGTGTTTAACTTTCCGTTTAACCTCTTTCCATGAGGTTTCTGTTGTTGTAGCTTCGCCATTAACAAGAGTATTGTTTGATTCTTTTGAAAAGATCTGTTCATCAACAACTTTCTCTTCCTTTTCTTTCTTCTGCTCCTCATCGACTATTTGTTCTTCTTCAACTATCATACTCGTCTTTTCGAGTCTAGAATTATTGAGAACAGGCACGAATTCTGGTACATCCGGGTTAAGTGTCTCGCCAATCGACGACGAGACACTATCGGATTCACTAACGCGGGGAATATCGTTGATCAATGGGGTAGTATTAAGAAGACGAGGTATTGGTGGCGCTGGGATTGCCGGCAATGGTTTCGCAACAGGGAAAAATTCGGGCTGTGAAAGAGGCATTATATTGTCGTTCTGCGAGTTCGAGGATGTGTCCGATGAGTCGGAACACATGCCCGCAGCATCAAGAATTGGCCATTGTTGTGGGTGAAACAAGGTGCGTACCTAAATTTAAAAAAATCTTCGATTAGATTTTTATTTTAGTTACAATTCAACATTTAGTATACATTTAGAATATCAGTGGATGAGTTCATCCAAATAGCGTTAAGAAAGTCTTTTTATTTTGATTTTGTAAGTATGTACGTGTTTAAATATAGTAATTGATAAACATATATTGCATTATGCTTCTAGATTCAAATTAAGTGAATAACTATTACCTTGAAGCCATTGACCAATTCTAGCTTGTCTGACTGAGTTATAGCCTCAATGACTAGAGAAACATCTGTAGTTAAGGCCTGTATGCGGTGAAAAGAAGCAATCAGAGTTATTGGTAGGAAACCATGAGCGTCCATTTTCCTTCTTAAATAAAAGTCTCTTAGAAGATTTTCTTCGCTAAAATAATACTCACTGAAAAGTAAATAATAATAGCTCATTATTGTTATTTTAAAATAGACTTCTCATAGTGTCATATTTTAACAAAAACTTACATTTGCTTGCGAATAGTTTCTTTGACCGTCTCAGTATCCATATTTATAAAATTCCCGTTATTATAATAAAATGTCCCTAGGTAAGGTATCATGCAGGGGGGTTCGGCAGTCTCAAATTTGTTAACCTGTCAATACACATAACAATTCATCAAAAACTTATTCTTATATACTAAACACGACTTATATAGAAAGATTACGGTCAGGTCTACCATCAAAGTGAATATCATTCATGATATGTTTCAGGTGATTCCACTTTGTGTCATCACGTATTGGTTGATACAAACAATCAGTAAAATAAATATTAATTGATCATCACCTGAGTTAGTATAACTGGGGAGTAATTAGCTGGATACCCTACGTAGTCATTCCTCTGTCTGTATCCGCCACGAGACACAGCATTTCCACGGCCTCTCGCTCTGCCGCGGAAGTTACCTCGGCCACGTGTACCGCGATAATTATTGCTATAGTTACTGGATCTGTCGAAATCTCGATCTCTCCAGTTTTCATCTTCTGCTCGAAATAAATAATCGTTAATATTTTTATACACGTAATATTTTTTCTTTTTTTTTATTTAGTTGATAAACCTACCATTTCTTCTGCTATCAAGATTCTTATCTCGATATGAGTGATGTTTCGGAGAGCGTTCTCTCTTACTGCGATTTTTTGTTAGATCTATATCTAATGGGAGCCATTTTTGTTTATTTGCTGAAAAATGAAAAAAATTCCGATCAAACAGATGCTTAAAAATTATTATTAAAAAAATATATATTCTACATTTTTATTACTTTTATATGAAAAAAATCATTCCCTGGAAATTCACACAACATGATTCGATAGTTAATTATGTTAGATATCACATAATTTATTAGTCGTCATGAAATAATTACTCGTTAATAATCTTAACCATACGTTTCCCTATATATTCCTTATATCTTATGTTCAACCTTTCAAATTTAGAAAGCAAGTAAACAGAAAATTAAAATACCTTTCTTCTTTTTGTCAGCACTATCCGTGTGCTCATCACTGTCCTCCGGACTTTGATTTGTTTCTTTATTCTCCTTCCCTTTGGTTTCGGTGGCACCGACGTTGCCTTCTTTCGAATTGTTTTGATGCTCCATGACGCCATTCTGTTTAGGACCGTTCACGCTTGGCTTTTTCTAAGAAAAATTGGAAAATTAAATGTTACCGGATGTTACTTGTAGTTTTTTTCTTTTTTTTTATATTTACGTCGTAGAAACAACTGCAGCCCCAGTGTTAGAATCTAGCGCCATTGTTCCTCGTTAATATAATAGAAAGTTATACTACTGAATTATTTATTTATGTTGAAATTAAAAATTGACGTTTGTAGTTTTGTTTACTCAAATATGAATAGTGCGTAAAATGTAAATATGACTAAAAATTATGGTAAAAAAAACTAAAATCAAGAAAAATTCTATTCGTAACCATGGCGACGTTTTCCCCAATCTAATTATGTACAATAATCAAACATCGTGTAAGCTTTTCAAAACCAATTCACAGTACGTTCAAAAGTATATCATCACGTATACGCTCCTTTCGATAAAGCTACCATTAAAAAAGAAAAAGCAAAAAAGTTATCTGAACGTCCATGCAACGTGATTCGCATTTCACAGGCGACTTCCTCGCCGATAAAACCGTTCGTTAAATGCACTCTAGCGACATTTACTGTTTTTGAAACCGAGAGAGAGAGAGAGAGAGAGCGAGAGAGAGAGATAAACCAGCCCCTCGAAATGCCAAAGTCCCTTATTCACACAACGTGTACAACAAACGTCCTTGACTATATAGCCGAGCAGAGAGAAAGGACGTTCATCGACGCGTGGAAAAAGTTATACCAAACGATGTATAAACCCACCTCTCCTTGAGCGCCCAAAGTCGGCCAGTCTCCAATATCCGTAAAGTCGCTTGCCTGCAAATAAAATTTAAAAAACATTAAAATCGAGTAGTTTTCTTTGTACGTACGGGCAGTTATGAATTGATCGAGGGTTCGATCAAGGGCGCGATAATTTTTAACGGAGGGTAAACATGTCAGACGGTTTACCATCAAACTCCAGACATTATGAACTCTGTTCCTTGTACTGGTGTTAGCGAAAACCTCTTTCTTGTTTTTGCACTCATGAATTATTCAGGAGGAGCAGTTTCAACGCTCTACCAGAACGTTATGTATCATCGTGCGTTAAGTGTGCTTTTTTTTGAATATTATTATTATTTATTGATATCCAATTTTCTTTTCGCATTCTATTAATTGAACTTTGATACGTGTTATTTGTTCGTTCAGGCACGGCAGAAAGTTAGAATGACGTACGTTTTATCATTGTTTTATCTGTTATGAGATTTCAAACTCGCTATTTAATAATTGAAAAAAGAAACTGCGAGAAGGCGCGAAAATAGAAAAGCGATTGCGTAAAGATGCGGGGCGTTGAGCAGCGAATAGCCTGGAGCAACAGAAGCATTCCCCCGTTACGTTGCTGGGAGGGGGGGACGTTATTTCTAGCGACGACGGTGACACTACTTATAAATTTTGCGTCTGTGCGGGACAACGACGACACAGTCATGCAGCCGCTTTTACTATTACCTTTTGGTTGAACTTTCGTCGATCCTTTGGCGCTTTGACCACTGTCGGCTGTTGACTGCTGCTAACGCCACTTTCTGTAACAAAAGTACGATACGACGTTGGATATTAAAAAAAATGTTTTTGCTTTTTTGTTTTATTCATGTAAGTGTCATAGAGAAGCTATGCAGTGCTATAGGTACACAGGCAACAATATAAAAAGAAACACTGACAACATTCGAACGAGGCTACTTCATTGATCTGTTGATCGATGATGAATATATTACGAATACATAAGGTAAAAAGAAAGTATCAATATTGTTGACTGGACCCGTAATTAGAAAAAGTTTCACGTGCGATATAAGCAACAAATTAGCGATGTTTCCTTTTCTACAATGGCGCTCTTGATATATTGATGCAACGAAAAAGAAGAAATTTCATGTGCGCGAGGGTTATTTTTAATATCCGAGAGAATGGAATATTTGGCAGTGACAGACAGTCGAGCAAAATTGGCTTCGCAAGTTTATTATGAAATGTTTCTATTTTCAATGAATAATAACATTAGAGAGAGAGAGAGAGAGAGAGAGAGAGAGAGAGAGAGAGAGAGAGAGAGAGAGAGAGAGAGAGAGAGAGAGAGAGAGAGAGAGAGAGAGAGAGAGAGAGAGTTCAATGACACCGTTGCGTGGAAAGCAGCTATGAAGTGAATCTTTCGTCCACAAATTGTGAGTATTTTTTGCATGCTCGATAAAATGGAAAATTTGTTCAGCGATGCTAAATCTCGCATACACCGAACATTTGTGAAAACGTATAAGCAACCGTATCGAGCACGTGGAGTCATAACTTTCTCGCACGCCGCTTGTTTCATAGTGAATTCGATCAGCTCTTTTTCTTCCGCAAAAGCATGATGATTTTGACTCAATTCTCTAGTTTTTACAAGGTCTTTTTATAACGTATGTTATAATGTTTGTTACCGACCACGATGCACCGGTACAGTAGCTTTTACGGAAATATTCTTTTCAATAATCCGAATAATATAATCCGAAGAAAGAATGATACTGAATAACTCTTGCTCAAAATTCGAACTTTTGGCAATGAAATAAGGAGAAAGGTGGTTTCGTGACTACGAACTGCGGGCATGCCTCGACAGCTATTAAATAGTCATTGCGAAGTAACTAAACGCACGGTAATAAATCAGGCGCGTGCATTTGCATTTGCGTTTGTTAACGATGAACGCCGACTTCGAGGCGGCTTATTGTTAGCCCTTGACATCGACCGAACGAAAACAAACACTATTGTGCAACGACGACGAGCGAATGGGACGCATTTGCAAATTCGTTGCAAGTCGGTGTATTTGCCGGACATTTATGATTACAAAGATTTGCTTTTTTTGCGCACGTGTAAAATTACGGAGTATACGTGCGCTTTGAAACAAGGAAGAGTATATATACGATATTAGACAAACTTGTCCGTAAATTGCACACGGCGTCTAAAGCTTGATTTTTAACTAGAGAGAGAGAGAGGGGGGGGGGAAGTAAGCGCGAAAATGCATTTTTTTGTCAGCTTGCGGCAAAGGCAGAAGTTTGAAAATTTTTTTTACGATCAAACATTTAATTGCGTCGTAAAAAAAATATTTTTTCAAAAAATTTATTAGAGCTAAACGCGCTTGTGGGTCTATCGATACTGATAAAATTTCGCTATCGACACACTTTATGCTAATAAAATATGTGGGTTGATCGACGCCGCAAGGTTGCTATTTATCAAGCCTATTTTTTGATATTTCTGTCTTCGAAAAATAAACCCGCATCTCTTTTTTTAAAATCACTTTTACTTTTCTTTCCTCGATTCTCTCCTTTCTCTCTCTCTCTCTCTCTCTCATAATTCGCACCAAGCCAACCTTATGCTCGCAGATGTGCGTACATTTCTATAATTAGACGGCACATTGTGCAAGAAGCGCAGCTGCTTTTCCCCATCGTCGACACAACAAAAGCCACGTGAAGAGAGATAACACTCACTTTGCGCCGCATCTATCTTCATATTGACCAAACTCTTTTTCCAAAGCCTACGATGTTGAGTGACAATATCCAATCTCAGCAAATCATAATCGAACGAATCACGCTTAATTTTCCCAACACTGCGACACTATTTAACACAGTTTAACGGTATAACAATCAACTGAAACGAATAGGGAACAGCGAGATAAAACCGCGTCGTAAGGTGCTGCGGGACGTACTAAACCCAAGCAGTGTAGCGTGGGGCTTTGCCAATAAACAAGCGCAGGCCGCGGTGCCGAGGGAAAGAGAGCGAAAGAAAATGAGTTGCTGTATATTACAAGTCCGCATATGTAGGTGAAAAAGGTTATAATTGCGATTATATCACTCTAGCGGCATGTTTTTACAATTGCATTAAAAATTATATTTTTTTTAGATTATTTTCAAAGTAAATTTTTTATTGTTATTGGTGTTATCTATGCGAGCGCACACGTGTACAGTAAAGTTGAAAAGTATCGAAACCTCAGTTATCGATGAAAGCCACGACGACGAACAAAATAAAATACAATAGTAACTATAGAAAAGGAAAAAAAAATGATTATTCATGCTGACTTTTCGTTAACTAAAAATAAAGAGGAAGCGATTTTTCGTTTTCTTGTCTTTTAAAAGACTTCAAACATTTGCTCGCTTGCGGGAAACAATAAAAAACAAATATTAATGTGTCATCGAGGATGTAGAGAGAGAAAGAGAATGTGTGTGTGAGAGAGAGGTGTATGAAAGTCGTTGCACACACGTGAAGGTGAGCAACTCTCCCTTTCACTCGTTTTATTTGATGCCATGCTGCTTCTACCCTGTTCCCCCAAAGATAAATAAAAACATCTTTATTCGAGCGATTATCGATTGTGGATCGACCGTTTTTCTTTTTTTCATCTCTAGAATAATTTTACATACGCATAATATTTTGTTACTTGTCTTCGAGTAGAAGCACACTTTTTCACAAGTAGCAATACTTTGCCACCTATTTCCGGTTCCTGTTCTTTTTATAAAACGCGACTTCGATTCTGGGAGTAGCGAGTGTAGTTTGCACCAAGTTACCTCGGAGTCATGCCTCTCGAGCAAAAGAAACAATTAGCAAAAACAGGAAAAAACGTCTATCGGTCGGCAGTTAAACAAAATCAACCAAATAAGGAAAATTCATCGTACAATCTTTGATTACTCAAATAATACACTTATTTTCATCAAGGATTTCATTTTGAAACGCCCGATAAAGAAACTTTCCTCCCTAAAGAAACCCGATAAAGAATTTTCCTCAATAAAGAAGAAAATAGAAGCAAGCAACCTTTCCAAACGTACATTTGTCATATGCTCTAGTTTTTTATGTGAAACGCTTATCGTAGAACGTGTGATGTCATTTTTGAATCGTTCCAGTGATGATTACTTCGGGCATTTTGTCATGCTTCAACTGATTGGAAACAATGAAAGACCCATACCCATGCTTAACTTGTCTTGGCAGTTACAAATCATTAACGTGTCGCTTGAAGAATCAAGATTGAAAAACTTTGCATAACCTGTACTATAAAAGATATCCACGCGAGTTCTTCCTATTATTTACCAATGAAGATAAGGCACATCTGCTACGTTATAAAAAGAAAAATATACGAGTTCGTTTGCTCGGAGCATACATCGACATGCACACTTCTACGCGCGCAAATTTACGACAAGTGAAAAATTATCGCTCGTGCACGCGCGACATTTCCAGCTGGTATTGCGGTAAAGGGAACCGAGTCGCGTCATCGGCATCATCAAAATCGACATTCGCAAAACAAATTGATTGTCACGAAGAGACGCGGGCGAGCATCTTCGAATGGGATCCGCGGCGCGAGTTTACGCGATTTTAACCTGCGAGCGTCCTTGCTCGCATAAAGAGTAAAAGTAATCGTATGGCAGCGTTCGTAATTGATAAGCGTTTCGTTGGAATCCCCTCGGAAGCGTATCATTATGAGGGAATGGACGCACGATGATCGCCGCCTGCTCGATGGGAAAATTGTCGTTTGCTTACATGCTATGTACGAATAATTAACATAATTGGTAAGTTCATTGTTGACGATGTTACTGATTATGCAGAAAAAAAAATCTATCGCAAAGAAGAAAGCAACGATCCAATTATATAGAATCCATTGCCACAATTATAACTATACGACGACTTATCGTCAAACACGAGCGCGAGCATGTCTGGCAGTAGTTATTGCACAAGAGATATTTGCGGTTTTAAAGGAAAGTTGTGCGTGTGCTCGTATGTGACTGTACTAATCTTCGGGTGCGCGAAGTGGGGCGCGAGACTTTGACGATATTCCATTAGGCGGGGCGTAAAGCCAGGGAGGTCAAGAACACAAATCGCGTAGTTGTTTTTGCGTGGGTGCACATTCTTTGGTCGGAATATTATCCGACAATGAGTCTGCGAGCAAAACGTGGACTGCAATAGCAATAAATCTGGTAATGAGGCAAATAGGCGTGGCGACGTTGTCGCAACTCATAGATAACTTTCTTTGCCTCTCACTGCATGTACAATCGCACATGCGCAAATCGACTTCAAGGCAAAAAAGCTCTCCTTATCTGTCGCCCAGGTGCAGATATTACGACGAAAGGGCTGTCATCCATGAGCATCGAAATTTACAACGGTCGGATAGAGATCGGAATAACTATTTGTTTCACTTGATCGTCGATTATGTATGTGTTACAAGGTGAAACGCAGATGTGGAAAAAGTCACTCGCAATATAATTGTAGCAGAGTAAACAATCTGTAGTACACAAGTCATTTGGCAAAATATTTCGGTATTGTGGACTTTTCCGTCTTAAGGACGAAGAGCTACATTGGCATTCCCTCAACGAAGCTGGTATTTAAGACCGATAATTAAAGCCCCATTAGCACTTGGGTCGAGCAAAAAGAAAAAGAAAAATGTATTACATAAGTCGCGCACGCTCCCAAGAAAAGTCAAATAGAAAGATTGACTGGTTGAAAAATCAATGGAGCCGGTGAGCTATTGAACTTGAAACGAATTTCTGCGCTCACTTACGAACAAAATAAAAATAAAAAAAAACGAGACGCGCATATGTGACTTAACATACGTTGGCACTTTTTATTGGCTAAACGGAGATACCGACGAAATGTAATAGCGCCGCTGCTACTGCGGAAGATGATTTTTCCTTCGTGTGTTTTTCTTGTCGAGCGGATGAGAAATGAAAAAAAAACGAAAAGAACAACATTGCCGAACCTTCAGGACATGCACTTTTATGTTTTTTACGGTTATGACTTTGCACAATAAACACAAATTAAAGTGCAATCACTTTTACAAAGTCGATTTTCACCAAATGTCAACGTTACTTTACTTGCTTGGTTTTTTTTAATTCTAAAAAGTTATGAAAGACTGGGATAATTGATATTGTTACAGATATTGAAAATAAAACAATATTACAGCATCGCCATTTCTTTTCAGTTATTACTACTAATTATTCAAATTCACTGCTCATCCTATCGAAAATAATGTAAATATAATTGATCTTATAGTGCCTTTAATGAAATGGGATTCTCATTCTACTAGCAATCGTAACTTTAATTGAAAATGTTTTGAATTCAGATCATTAGAAGCATGACCACGTGTTTCGCATACCTAACCTCAATCTCAGCAGACACATTGACTCCAGACTTGGTCACACGCTCACATGATATTTTGCGCATTTTGAAATTTAAGAGCTTGTTTATTCGAAATTTGTTATAGACATATAAGAACTTTGGATATAACAGGAAGATCGTTTCAAAAAAATATATTTATAAGTTTTTTTTCATTCTCGGTAAAGGTTAAAATTAGAAGGTAAAAAACTATGAATATTGCAGCAATATAGCAATCATTCATCATATCCGCTTTAGATTAGCAACTACAATTAGTCTTAATAATGACGAAGTTGGTATACAACCGCTTCGAAAATATATTCAATTAAAAAGATTTAGTTCGAGTGTGAAAAAAAACTACTAGCCATCCTAACTAAATTATCCGAGTGTCGCTACATCCATGCAACGCATTCCATGTCGGTTAAAACCTAAATCACGAGTAAGATACACCTTGTTTAGCGATGTTCGCTTTATCTCCATACGCTACGGTCCGTCGCAAAAGGCGCGCTCGCGACCAAGAAATAAAAGGCGAAGAAACGCGAAGTCCAGAAAGAGAGAGTGAGAATGGTGGAAACCTGATCGGATGGTTCGTTTTTGGAATATTTCATTCAGGTGCCACAGATATAAAAACGAGACGATGATGATCTGGATTTAACTTGTTGAGTAGCAAAGTGCAAAGTCACGGCTACCGAATCTTATTTTTGAAAGGAAAAAATTCGACGAATCCGAGTTGCGACGTTAATAAATTTGTCGGAAATATGAAAGAAAAATAATAAATAATAACAATGATCGTATGAAAAAAATTAATGACGTCATTGTGAAAACATTCATTATCCAATAAAGTCCCGAATTTAAATCGATAGTATATCGAGGCAGATAACACATCCAGTTAAAAACTATGCCAAATTAAGAAAAAAAAATTCCACTAAACGGTGCATTATCTGTAGCTACGAATTGCAAATGAATGTAAAAAGTCTACGCCGAATAACGATGCGACTGTATTTACTTTATACCATAGCCACGTTGAACTATCTGTGCAATTAAAGCTCCGGGTTTTGCTTTTTTGCTGTAGCTCATAAATTATTCTCAGTGACGCGTAAGAAGCACTTTAAAGATAACACTTACTGATAAAAATGAAAGTCTAATCTAATACAGAAGACGGAAATTTTAAGACTAAGATATTATATGAACATATCGAACTGCCTGAACATTGTAATTTAATTTTCCAAGGACCATTAAATGAAAAGTTCAATTATAAATGAGATTGCATTAAACAATGAACAGAGTACTGACCTATTTTTATTTTCTCCTGCTGCGGCTGCAATACCTTTTTCTCCCTCTCTTTTTCCATTATTTTATCCAATGATATAGGACCAGGTAATTCAGGCTCTGGTACTGCTGTAACGTCAGGAGCTGAAGGAATAGTAGGTGCCATGCAAGCAGCAGGTGCTGAAGGAGCTGCAGCTTGAGGAGTCTTGCCCTTGCTTTTAGTCCATGGATTGACGATTGGAAGAGGAGCTTCTACATATTTGACTGGTGGCTGTGGTTCAATTTCGTCTACCGCTTCCACATCTTTTTCCTTCTCCTTTTCTTTATCATCTTTTTTCTCCTTACAGACATCTTTTGAAATATATGCATGATCTCTTTCTTTATGTGGTCTGTCATGAATATCTCCCAGACGACTATGCAACCTGTGCTTGTCTTTGTGTCTGTATGGATGACAATCTGCAGACTCACGCTCTTTTAATTTCTCCTTACGCTTGGCAGCCTTTGTTGCAACGGGTGTAAACTCCCCATCACTACCGAGATCACCATTCTTCACAACTTCCTCATTTTCTACTTTAACGTTTCCATTGGAACGAGGTAAATTTGTTGGCTTTGCAACATGTAAAGCTTCCATAGGAGCTGCTGTAGTATTATTATGCGGCACAAAGTTTCCATATAGTCTACGCTCTGGAGCAATGTGTCTTTGATTTTCAAACCTACGACTGACTTTCCTATATGATTTGTTTTTAGCCTCAGAATGATGCTGTGAAGCAGAGACTTGTCCACTAATATTTTCTTTGTTATTGTCCTTGTGAGAACCTGGAATTAACGACAATTGATAAGTTTTAAAAATACGTTTCTCTTCTGTCTTAATATTATTGATAAACATTATTCCACTTAAGCCAATTTTGTATGTTAATCTTATCAGTCATGCAAACAATTTAAAATAAATTATAAAAATAATCACGTGGCTATTTAGCAATACTGCTGCAATAACGTCAGCAATAGTTTGAAAACGGGAAGATAATATAATTTTTTTTCGTAATCGATAACATCAAACGCTGTTAAAATTATAGACATTGTAAACAGAAAGAAAATCGTATACGCTCAATAACGAACAGAGAACGAGAGCACGTGACTGCTAAAAATGTTACGTGCCGCAAGATAGAATCGCACTTTGAACTTATACTACTGACACACTGTACAATATGTTTAGTTGTACTTACTCAAATTAGGCTGCGTGGCCGTAGACGAAGACGCGGTCGGCGCGGAAGTGGAGGTAGTGGCAGTGGCAGTGGCAGTGGCAGCGGCAGCGGCAGCGGCAGCGGCAGCCTTGGGATTTAACACGCTGGCGTAGGAGATGCCGGTTGGATTGTCCTCCCTCTCCTGAGGCTTTTGCTGCTGCACGCCGCTCGCCACCTTAGTCGCCATTTTGAATTCCCTCTCTTGGAGACTATTGAGACGAGGAGGCCTGGTTGCAAACGCTTTATTACTACTGTTGTTTCTGCACGCGGTGTTGTTAGCTGGTACTTTAAGCGAATTTCTTCTTCTTTTGTTATCGCCCGTATCTACTGGTTGTAGATAGCTCGTTTGATCAGCTATCAGCTCAACACATTCGTCGGCACCTATGTTGCACACCGGACACAATGATGATTAAGATTGAGGTTATGTCTGCCAGCGGCGCCTCGTGCTTGCATGTGCTCTCACTTGAATTGAAGGTTCTTGTGTAGATCAGTGTACTTACGTTTTCGCTAGGGATGCGAATAGGACTGAATTTTTTTTCTATCTTTTTAGAGGAAACCACGACAATTCTTATACTGAGCGTCCATAATCCACCTGGATGACAATGCGCGTCCAGGGGGGCGCTAAATTAACACAGATATTCACCACTAAACACACTGACAATAAGAGGGTAGGAAACGTATTTCTTGTTCCTCAGTCAGCACTCGTCGACGAGAATTTTCAGACTGCCGAGGCACGTTTCACACAGCACTGCTGTAGACAGCAACACTGCCTTGTAATGGGCAGCTCTCCTCTTTCTCCCCTCTCCCTCAATTCTTGCTCTTTCAGCACTCGTGCTTTCTCTCTTTCTTTCTCGCCCCCTCTCTCTCTTGACTCCGCGTACTTGACCGCCCCCCGTACGCCGCTGAGTGAGCTTGGATGATTTAGGTTATTATATCGGAGGTTATGTATGCAGTTAAGAACCACACGGATCTGCACTCGGACATGTGACGACAACGGTAACTCTGTCTCACGTCAATGTCTATCTCTTTCAATGTTCGTTGTTTATTGTTGCGAATTATCACAAATTTTCTGCACTTACGAGCACCGGATCATTACGTAAACGCACATTTTCGGCTTGGCGGAGAGATAGATGGAGGGGACGGCTTGGGCACGCAACGACGTAGTTTGTAAGCCGCTTTATTATAAGACTAACACAGACGTCTTATTAAATGATAGTTTTTAATGATAATGATGAAACGAAGTAGAGATTACCGTTAACAAAGAGAGCGAGAGAGCGTTGATGAAAAACCGAAAAATAACGCGCTTCCGGTTTTTTTGATTCGTTGCTCTCGCTCTTCTTGCTCTCTGGCCTCTGCCTCCCCGCACGCACGCACGCACACCGTACAGCCACAGGAATCACACTCAGCCGGAAGACTACACAGAGCAGCACCAGTCGCCGAGAAAGAAAAAAACGATAGCATAGCCATGCGCGCCTGCGTAATGATCCCACGGGGGTGGTAATGTTGCGCGCCAGGGTTAATTTCTATTTCGAAATTGTCTAAGCTCGAATCAAAGGAACAATAGATGCATACAAAAGAGCAAACAGAAACTGAGAAAATGAGGATGGCAGCAGACAAACGAGTGAAAAGTGAAAGCAGTGGAACATTAATAATGAAAGGAAAAATAAACCCTTATTTAAATTCTTAAGTTTAATTGCACTTTTGTCTAGCGAACCTTAATTAACTTTCCCCAAGCCCAGCGCGTAGTAATTGCTTTACCTTAATGCCTCTTAATTACCGTACCTGACCCGCCCTTTTATCCCTTCGAGACAATATGCTGTATAGCAGATACGATTTTGCTGAGCGCTTAGCGAAAAACGTAGACGAAAATTTAAAATTATGCTTCTAATATTCTAATGTTTATTCAAATGATTGCAAAATTTATTATGAAACAAATCGAATTGTAAAAAATGCGAATTGAAACTTTAATCGCCACAAATATCCAAAATTAGTCAGATTTTCAATGCTCGAAAAATAAATAAATAAAATTTTTCGCATAGAATCAGAATTCCGTTCAAAAAGTGTTATCATATAAAATTATTAGAAACAATGTATCAAAGTTTCAAATTTGTTGGATTTTTCTCCGATATATATTAATGAGTAATACGAGTTTTTTAAATGTTAACATCAAAATGTATTATCCATTCAAACATATAACATACAAGTGACACTTGAAATTGTTAAACAGAATAGTCTACTTAAATTACATAAAATCGTACATCCATGATTTTATCATTTAGATTTCGAATAAACAACATTTATTTGTAAAATATCTTCAGTGTATATTTCACCTATATAAATATAAATCTGTATATATAGCTTATTATAAAATAACAATTGGCATATAAATGATTGCTCTTTGATTTTACATTGTATAATAACAAATATTTACAAATATATGTCCATGCAATATCAAACAAGTCGTCACGCTAATATTGTCATCGTCATCTTTCCCGAAGAAAAGATAGGTTATTGACATTTATTAATATCGACTGAATTGCAAATTAATTTGTATAGTAACCGCCGGACAGCGTATAATAGTTAGTTTCGGTGGCGAAAATTAAAAAATAATTGAATTTGAAAACCTAACGGTAGTGCAGTCGTCAACTTTCATCGTTGTCCATTGGATATTTTTTCAAGTATCTCTGAAAAGCTTCTGCTATTGTTTGCCTGTAAAAAGATGTTCAAAATTTTTTTAAAAAATTGTTTCCGTTTTAAAATACAACGAGATCGAATATCTTTTTAATCGACAGAAATTAACCGTTTTTTTTATTTTACATAAATGTATCAAAGATTCATCTTTCGGACTTAATTGTACTCTTTATCAATCTTTCACGTAAAAAAATAAATTATCTAATTAATGTAATTCGGTAGTTTATTTCAAGAAGTAAATGTTAATATAATAATAAGCACATACTAGTATAATTACAATAAATAAAAGAGAAATGGTTATGGAGAATTTCGGGAGCTTGAATTACATAAATTGTCATCACGTTATTGTAGTTGCTGTCCAATAATTGAAAAATTTGAACGCGTTGACATTTAATATATGCAAATTCAAATAACATCTTCAGATAAATAAATTATTTTTCGTAAATAAATTATTTAACGTAAGATTAATGTCATCAAATATAAACTATATTGTATGAATTAATTTCATGAAAATTCATTCTAAACTTTTAATGCGAATGAGTTACGTTATGAATGACAATCAATTACCTGAACATTTTCTGATAAAGCAGATAGGCGCTAACGTGGCCCGCGTCAACAAAACGAATTTCAGCTCCAGGCCAGATTTGTTCCAGGCCAATGCAGTCGTCTCGCGGTACATAGGCGTCGTCCCTTGCGCACACCGCTATTATTAGTTCAGTATCGACGGGCCTCTCGAAATTCTGTAGATGTGTGCATTCGTCCATGATTCCTCTCATAAATTGCAATGCTTCATGCTCACGCCATTTTTTGTCTGAAAATAGTGGGTGTTTCGACACAGGCAATAGGCAGACCCCTGCACACATTTTGGAAAAAACCAGTCACACTTTTGTGGAACTCATGCTGGGATTGATTTGATATGATTATTTTTTTAATGGAAAATGATTTTTGTAAGCTTGTGCAATATGGATAACACAGGCTTTAAGATGTTGTATTTTGATATTTCTTATATAAATATTTCGTTATTATGAGATTTTCTTGCACTTTTATGAGATCGACCATCACAAATATTAATTGGCCACCCGTTTTTGCTAATTTATTCATTCAGAGTAGGTATGAAAAGTTGTATCCTAGAGGACTCGAAAATTTTATATTAAGAAAAACTTGTCCATAGTTTTGCTTTGCATTTTATAAAGAAAGAAAAAATAATGTAATTTTAGTTACCATTTGTGACTTTGTAACTACAAGTCTAATGCATTCATCACTTAACGGTTCTAAAAGTTGAATTCAAGTTTTGAAGCTCATGCTATCCATTGTATTACATTTTATGATTAGTATATGAAATTTCAGCAGCAATATTAATAGGATTTGGTATTCCAATTTAGGGTGATTGACATGCCATAAGTTATAGATGAATGAACCCCGTTATTTATAAAACAATGAATAAACAATCGATTACCTTTTAGAGTCTCTTGTTGAGGATTTCTAAACCTGCTAGATAAAAGATTAAGTGGAAACAATTTTGCTGCGGCTGTTTCTTCTGCTATTTGTTGTTTTTCTGTTGTACCATTTCCATTATAGCTGACTATTTGATTATTGTTTACATCTTCAATGCCTTCACTTTGAATTTTACGAAATCGCTTCATACTTGCTGGAAAGTGTTTGGCAAAATGTTGTCCTGCTAAAAATGCTTCCTAGTAAAAAGAAAAAGAAAGAGAAAATCTATTACACAAAAAATTAATGAATCGAAATTTTATAAAATTATTTATTTACTTACATCTTGATCAATAATTTTTACCATTTTGGCCAAGTCATTCTGATACTCTTTATTTTCAAAATACTGTGATTCTAACAATGCCCAATTAATAGAAGCACTCATGACACCTTGTGTAAATACAGGAGAAGCAGTTGACCATGAAAGACATGGAACTAATGGTATTGGTTTTGGCCAGTTGGTTGCTGCAAGAGATGCCATCTAAAATATATGAGTGTAAATAATTTAGAAAATAGCTACTACAATATTTAATTTGTAAATAAACTCATTCAATAAAAGAAATTGAAAATATTGCACAAAAAATTTACATACATGTCCACCCATTGACAACCCAGTTAATCCTAGAGGTCCATATCCTTGTTGCTCACACCAGTTTAGTATAACGATAGACTCCATGATTAAACATCCTCCCATTATAAAAATATCAGATACGTTATGTAAACTTGATCGACTAAAAATCAGTTTTTCAATCAATTACTGTATCTATATTTAATAAACATAAAATGTTTCATTATGATACTCACATTTGATCTTTTGGTTTTCTAAGACCATAAAATGGATTTTCTAATAAAATTGATCCAATCCCTGATTCCTTCAATAATGGTTTAGCCACTAAATTTCTTCTTCTCCAAAAATACTATATAATTTACAGGAAAAAAATTATATTTAAAAGATGATCTAAAAGTTTCAAATAAATAAATAATAAAAATTTGAAATGTAAAAATGTTTCTTACATGATCTCCAGTTCCAGCTAAATGTAAACACATTGGTCGTATTTTCTTTGATGACCACTCTTTAGGCAATATCATTTGAAAATAAGCAGTTTTGGCTTCTTCAGGCATAATACCAGGTAAATTTTTTTCAAAAGGTGATTCGAATTGTCCCTCCACAACATGACAATCAGACCACTTTTCATCCTAACAAGCAGAATAATAATAGCTTATTCATGAAATGACAATCTAAAAATAGTTTGCTTTAAAATACATACATATACATACTTTTGTTATTGTAATAGGGTAATCCCGAGAAATAAGGTTGTAACAAGCTTCACGATTAGATACAACTTTCCTAAATTTGAATATCCTATAAATGATAAGCAAAAACTTGTGAATGAGTTTATATAAATGTATAAAGAACTGTGTAATGCAACAAGTGTATAAGTGTACTTTAGATAATATATTTGAATGAGAGTGAGGTTAAGTTGACTTTTTTTTTAAATTATTTATAGTGAGTTTTTGTGAATATCAATATTGTTGAATGAAAAATAACTATTGATGGCATAGTTTTTAGCATAAAAAATAATGGTTGCACGATTCATTCATAAATAGTAACTAAGATTACTTGAAAAGTCACTAAGTATCAGGTATTTTCAAATATTTATTAATAAAAACATGACCCTATGTCAGATAAAATATGTAGGTAAATCTACCTCCTCAAATTGTCAGGGTTGCCCCAACCTTTTGTGAAGAACTTTGTGAGCAAAATGCTCCTGTAGACAGCGTCTAATCGACTTGGAGGCATGATAATAATACCTTTGTATTTTGATAAAAACGACTTCGTGAAAACCACACTTATTTTGCACAAATGAATTTCATCACACTTGACCTCAGTGTTATCATCATTACATGTGTGAATAGTATAAAAAACTTCGTAAAATCAAATCTAAAAATACAGTCTTATAGTCGTCGGTCGTAACGAAATCTCCTGTCTCACTTGCGCGCACTTAATATTATTGAAGCGAGGCCGAACGATGCGCCACAAACATTGTTTGCCGTCGCACTCATCTGCTCTGTGATGGGCTGGGTTATTTAATGGAAAGATATTTTTCTAGAAGTACGTTGACGCATCACGTAAAAAGATGTGTACGTCCTTCCTTGCGAAATTTCTAATTTCGACGTATAATTTGCACGTAATTTCAAGATCGTTGACGTAGTGTGAATGTATTACATATATAGATGTTTGTGATTTTCTCCGTCCTTTTTCGCGCTTATATTTTTCCGAAATCCAACCCGGCAACCAACCAATGGAGCGGCGAGCAGCTGATCAGACCATTGAGGCACGTCAAATGATCGAGACGACCCTGGCAGAAAAATGATTGATTTAAAAAATATATATACCATTAGCTTCGTCTTAATTTGTACCACCCGAAAATTGCTTTTTTGGAATTTGTATCCACCCCCCCAACAATTTTAAAAAAAAGCGAAAAAAACGACATTTCGGAAAACTCATAGACCTGGCAGAAACAAAGTAAAATGCAAAAAATTAATAAAATTTATGATCCTGGCAGAAAAATGGTGCATTTTCTTCAAAAATTTAAAGTAAATAGCTTTATGTCTATTTATACTATTCAAAATTATCTAAATTTTCTTTTTGTACCCCTCCAAATTCCAAATCCAAAATTATATTGAAATTATAAGAGCTGTATTAATAGGAATGGGTTATTTCAAAAAATACCCCATTCCTATTAATTAATACAGCTGTATTAATTAAATAACCCATTTCTATTAATACAGCTGTAATTACTTAAAATTTTTCTGCCAGGATCATAAATTTTGTTAATGTTTTGCATTTTACCGTGTTTCTATGAAAAACGCTGTATAATTCAAATTCTACAGGGGTACAAATTATTTTTTTGGATTTCGTAGATGGTACAAATTAAGAAGACATTCATAATCTTTTACATTAAACTTTCACGATTTTTCCGCCAAGAAAAGAGATTTTCCGCAGCGCGGAAGACACGAAATTAGAATCGTCGAATTAGACTACGAATTAATTTTTTTCTCAATATTTTCGAGGGTTTCATATTCCAAAATAAGTATTTTTCAAATGGTACTGATTAAGGCAAGGCTGGTGGTGTATTTTGTTTTAGGAAATAAATATTTTTCCTATCAGAGATTTCTACTTTATCATCCGAGTAATCAGCTGTTTTTGCGGATGTAGGAGTTGAAGAACACACGTTAACTTAGGACTTTGTATTTTAACATGTCTAATTAAATTTTAGAGTGTAAAAATTACAATGAAACTATTTTCAGTTGGTAAAATTTAAGGTAAAGCTAGAAATATATTTTTTTCTTAAGAAATAAAAGATTTTCCTGTAAAATTTATCAGTATTACAATCGCACAAAAAACATTGTATTATTCAAATTCTACAGGGATACAAATGAGTTTTATGCATTTGTTAGATGGTACAAATTAAAAAGAAGGCATTCATATATAATTTTTTTTTAAATCGCATGATTTTTTGCTGGAAGATAGATTTTCCGCCGCGCATGCGCAGTAATACGTTAATTTGAATTGCTAATCTACCCTACGAAAATCTTGTTTTTCTCTATTTTTAGAGAGGGTACAAATTCCAAAAAAGCATTTCTCTGATGGTACAAATTAAAATGAAACTAGCGGTATTTTTTTTTTTATGATATCAATCATTTTTTGCTAGGAGTATGAGTTTTCCGAATATTATTTTTTCGCTTTTTTTTTAAATTTGGGGAGGGGGGGTGCAAATTTCAAAAAAGCAATTTTCGGGTGGTACAAATTAAGACAAAGCTAATGGTATAAATATTTTTTTTAAATCAATCATTTTTCTGCCGGGGTCGTCTCGATTTAACGGGTATACTTTTAACCGGTTTCTGTATTGTTTTATTTTGATCAGATTGACGATATGATTCAATTCGGCAATTTTAGTATTATTTAGTACTCAACTACGTAATAATTATATAAATGAGAAACAAGATTATATAAGTTCCACGAAATAAATCCATTATCTATCTAGCGTGGAGAATAATAAGATCAATCAAAACACAACGGATATTTTTAACCAATTATTTAATTCGAACGGACTTGGTATGTAAATTTTACATTGAATAAATTAAATTTAAATTAAAGTAGAACGCGCCATACGTATAAGGGTGACAAATTCCATTTCTTAAGATGTTAATTTTAATTGGTATCGGCCACACGTTGAAAAACGAATCAATTATATTTTAATTTTCTAATTGACGATCGATGTGTATGACATTTCAATTAATTTACCCCATTTTGCTTCGAGTAAACTTGATATCGCGGCAAAAAATACAATTCGAAAGATTACGTTTAATACAAGTGCATGGAACCAGTATCGCGGCTCTGTCTCAATTCGATTCTCTACCTTTCTTCTCTCTTGGTTCGAAGCGTGTGATATACATTTCAAAATTAATCGCACAGTTTCAATAACAACTTTGAACGAGCTCTACTTCATAAAGAGCAATATGAGACGAGGTAGCTTGATAAGTTATAAAGTTATCTGGATCCGCTGCATATGGCCGGGTCAGCGTGGGTCACTATGTCGCAACGATTAAATATGCATCGATCATTGGGCACGCTGCTCGCTCAACCTCTTCGTCAACGTGCAATATCGGAGGGATCTTAGGGTCACATTGATGAGCGCGCGTAAAATCGCCTCGAGCTGGATGCAAACGTCGGCTATGCCGCGTTGATCCTCGTAAATGTTGCCCTCGCGTGCAATTCCAATAATGCGTTTCGGAAGTAACGTCACTCACTCGCTCGACAATCGACGCGCGAATAAAGCGGCCGAGCGCGCATCGCGCGAGGCGATATTCCGACGGCAAGCAATCCGGAACGCCGGGGATCGCTCTCCTCGGCGATAGTCGCAGCGAGGAACCTGAAAACAGGCCCGCCGTGAGAGCCGGTCGACCGAGCGGAGGGCATCCACCGGTGCATCCGCGCGCGTAGGAGGCTGTCGGCCCGGCCACACGTACTCGCGCCTATGGTGAGCGGCGGCGGCGGTGGCGGCGGCGATGGCGGCGGCGGTGGCGGTGGGACGACGAGCGGCATCGCGAACTGCGCAGCGCGCAGTGTCGACCGGTCGCGGCGAGCGAGCGGACGTACGCGCGCCCGACGAGTCGTCCTCCGCAGGTGCGTCGTCGCGCTGCCCAGCCGAGCCGTGGATCGCTGCACGTGCGCGCACGGACGCGCGACCGGCTCCTCGGCTCCCGCGGCCCCCCGTGGTCGCTCGGCTCGCCGGGCGCGCGCGAACGGCGCGACGCAGTTGCCAGCTCCGACCGGCTGCGGTCGGCGGCCCAGCGAGCGCGCCCGGGTGGCGCACGGCGAGGGCGCAGCCAGCGGGATGTCCACGCTGCGGATGGCGCTGCTGCTGGCGGGCGGCGCCGCGGCCGGCCTGGCCGCGCTCTGCGACTCCCGGACCTGGTGAGCGCCGGTCGCGGCGACGCCGGCCCGGCGAGGCAGCGCGATGACGCGGCGCGCGCTTTGCTCCGCAGGCACCCGCAGCACCTGTGGGGCGCGTCGCGCGACTTCTGGCAGGCGCAGTGGGACAAGGTCGTGTGGGCGCTCGGCGACGACCCGCTGACCTACTGGGTCTACGGTAAGAAGGCCCGCCGCGGCGATGCCTATCGGCAGCGAACGTCTGACGCCCGCGTTCCCCTGTGCGCGCGCAGGCACGACCAGCCTGACGTTCGCGGTGTACTGGACGGTGGGCGGACTCTACACGCTGATGGACCTGACGGGCCGGCCGCGCGCGCTGCGCCGCTACAAGATCCAGCCGGGCGCCAACGAGCCGCCGAGCCGGCGCGAGCTCGCGCGCGTGCTGGCCCAGGTGCTGTTCAACCAACTGGCGGTGGGCCTGCCGCTGGCGCGGCTGGCCTGGCCACTGATGCGCTGGCGCGGCCCGCCGGCGCTGCGCCCGCTGCCCAGCCTGCACGCCTGCCTGGCCCAGCTGGCCTTCCACGTGCTCTGCGAGGAGGTGGGCTTCTACTACTCGCACCGGCTGCTGCACTGGCGCGGCCTCTACGCGCGCATCCACAAGCTGCACCACCAGTGGACGGCGCCCGTGGCCGTCACGGCCATCTACTGCCACCCGTTGGAGCACGTGGCCTCCAACCTGCTGCCGCCCTTCCTGGGCGTCTTCCTGCTCGGCTCGCACGTCGCCACCGCCTGGCTCTGGTTCTGCCTGGCCATCCTGTCCACCCTCAACGCGCACTGCGGCTACCACCTGCCGCTCTTCCCCTCACCCGAGGCCCACGACTTCCACCACCGCAAGTGCGTATGCGCCTGGCCGAGGGCCAACCGCCGCCAGGCTCACGTCGCGCCCTCGGTCGCAGGTTCAACCAGTGCTTCGGCGTGCTGGGCGTGCTCGACCGGCTGCACGGCACCGACAGCCTCTTCCGCCGGTCCGCGGCCTACCGGCGCCACGTCATGCTGCTCAGTCTGCTGCCGGCGCGCCAGCTCGTGCCCGACGACGGGCCCACGGAGCCGCACTGCGCCGTCGCCAACACCATCCGCCGGCACTCCAGGAGCCTGTCCTCCTGCCTGCTGTCCCAGTGAGCTGCGCCAGCCGACCGAGCCGACCGGCTGCCCCCGAGCGACGGCCGCGCGCGATCCCCGCTCTGCCGATCCCCTGCGCCGCCTTCGCCCGTCCACGTCCGCGTCGACCGCGCCCTCTCGCCTTCGCGGCAGTTCGTTCGCGCGCGATTTCGTACCGATTGCCGCGCTTTTGCAAGAGAACCAACCGGTTCGTGAGAAACGGGATAAACGGAAATGCCGCAAAGTCGACATTCGGTTGATTTCTTCGCGACCGCATTCTTACTCGTGCCGATCTCAAACTCACGCGTAGCTTCGAGAACCATTTCGACGTCACGAACGAGACACCGACTTTTTTTTTCTTTCTTTTTCGACAAACCTTCTCGCAGCGGCGGTCACTGGCAATATTTGATTCACCACGAATTATAATAAAACAAACAAAACTTTTCTCTTTAATAAAGGATTTTATATATTCTTCACCTGCGTTTCTTTTATTAAAAGCTACCGGAGTGCGAGCTTTCCAGTAGCTGGAGCGAGCGAACAAAGTCGACAATCCAAACGATACCCTCCGAGCAATATTCGAGAAAGTTACGAGATTCTACTTTCCCGCACTCACGTTGTAATTATCTACTAATACGAGATGATTTTCCGCGATCACTGCACACAAGACGAACTCGAACTTCGCTTTTCACGCACATGATGCGCAATATCGTATCGTGACTGTTTTATTGGGCAACTAAAGGAGAAACTAAAACGATTTATGCAACTTTCAACGCCATCAATGCCATTACAGTTTTCGTATTTTCAAATTTTTTTTATTCGCAATGGCAGAATCAATTATAAATCACATTAAAAATTAAATGCCACAAGTTGAATTTCAGAAAATGTGACGTATTTACAGTTTATAGTACACTTTGACACTAAAATACGAAGATCAGTATGTTACAATTTCATATATTAACACTTCAATCTCATCTTAACATCACAGCTTTGCTGCACATTATTTGACTTCTTTTAATGTTTTATCATTTATAATTACACAATTTTGTCCTTCTAAAATAAAAAACCTAATTATAAAGATTCTAATTAAATCCTAATTATAAATCTCTTACTTCTCTCTTTTTAAAATATTGTACCAGACAAATTATAATAATTAAAAAAAGTCTGTAGTAAATATGAGAATGATTACTTAATTTAAAGATGAGTATATATCATTACAGATAGGTATGTATGTATGTACAAATTTTTAAACAAGTTGGTTTATCTTATAACTTTTTCAATTGTATATTGCTTTCAGAATGAAAATTTAATAATTGCATCAAAAGTAAATTTATCAAAGATTTGTAAAAATAGTTTGGCAATTTTTATAAAAGATTTAACAACTTATTCATTATACATTCCATCGATCAAAAAATCCATTCTTCGATAATGTCTTTTATCCCAATAATCTCTACCTCTCTTGTATAAAACATAAAATGCTGCTCCTAACAACGGTAAGGCTGTAATTGTAATAATAACAGGCACAATATAATCAATTTTTCTTGGCATACCCAACAACGTTTTACTTGTGGGAAATTGTGGCATTGATTCATCTTCACCTTCTTCTTCGGCAAAAGTAACAGTAGGCTTCGGGTTGAATTGTCTCACCGTTGTAGTACTATTTATTTTAATTATTACATTTGCAGTTTGCTTTTCATGAACCAGAGTGGTATGCAAAAGTGTTGTTGATTTTTGAGTTGTAGATGTTAGTTTTGAGGTACCTAAAGATTCACTGACTGAAGGGCCCTCGTCAGTCTTTTCTTGAACTGGCTTTTCTACTAAATTATCTAATGGTAGATTATCATTTTGGTTAACTTTGTAATCTAAATCAGCCAAAACTCCTTTTCGAGGTTTAATTTTTGTAGATTCCTTTTTAATGAGTACAGGGGATTCTTCCATTGTCATTTTTTCCTACAATTCATCAATTAACCGAATGCTTATAAAAGCAAAAGACAAAATGATTTGCTAACTTACATCTTTGGCGATAGGTCTGTTTGCATCCAAAACAGGATGTTCAGTACGCTTGTAATATACTGTCTCTTTTGTTTTGTTCTCATTATGTACTGTCAATTCATGAGATAAACTAACGATAATAATAATGATGAATATATGAAATCCTAGCATTTTGTTGACACTTGTGTCCGGCAGTTAAATAGTTAAGCAAAACATGGAAATGATTAATTCAATAAAGCTATGCTTATTGGAGAACACTATTTACCCGTGAAAAAACATATATAAAAACAAGGAAAATAAAGCAATACAAAATATTATCTAAATAAAGACCGTCAGCTGCTGTAGATGTAGTTACTGTAGACATAAAAATAGAGCGCGGATACGGTATGTATGTAGTATGCAGAATTTAACGCTTAGAGTGAGGGAAGGTATTGAGCAACAAATAGTAGAGAGCTTTTGTCTCTTTCTAGTTAACATTTATTGGCTGTCTCCACGCATGCGCATTGGATCGGCACCATCCGCTGTATTTTTGAATTGCAGCTGAATAATCATATTATTTCTTTAGACATTTTTTTTCCGCAGCTCTTCTTGAATCAAATTAATTTAGACACTATTGTATATTATGTGGTATATATCAATTAATTAATGAACTTATGCACAAGCTTTAACGTAAACTCTCTAAACAGGCAATCTTTCTAGATTTCAGATTTAGCTTTCAATGATGACGTCACTGTTCACACAACTTTCACCATTTCAAATTATAATATCTAACAATACCGTTTAACATATTAAATGAATTTTCAATTTTTTTTTTCTCTGTTTTATGTATCGTTCATTTTTAGTTGATTAATAAATAGCAAATTTATGACAAATCTAATAAAAATGGATTCTCGATCGTTTAAATACGATTTACCGATTGAGTTTGAAGAAAACACGCTATTTGACATTCGTTTAACATTGTCCCGATCGGAACTATGCATTCTGGCAGTTTAATTAATATTTATATTTATTGTTGTGTGTAATTTTCAAAGAATTTTTTGTAATATTCGACTTGTTGTGTGACTTGTGAATACTTAAAAATTCAATTTAATGATGAAAAGATCATCTGTGACATATTTCTTTACATGACATGAAGAATATTCAAATTTCTGAGTAATATTTTGATTACTGTGAGGTACGTTCTAACCTATAATCAAAACTACCAATTTTACTGTAAATAATACAGGGGAAAATTAAGCTTATCTGATAACACTGTAAATCGATATTTTATTTCAGCAAATTAAAAAGGAAACAGCAAAATGAGGACCAGAAGTAATTCAGGGGTTCGATTGGATTACTACCAGCGAATAGTTCACAAAATTATTATGGACCGACAAAATCCTGTAACTGGTCTTTTCCCTGCAAGCCACGACAATAATCATGCTTGGATTAGAGACAATGTTTATACAATATTGGCTGTTTGGGGTTTATCAATGGCTTATAAAAAGACTGCTGATGCCGATGAAGATAGAGCAAAAACCTATGAATTGGAGCAGAGCTGCGTTAAGCTCATGAGAGGGCTTTTGATGGCAATGATGCAGCAAAAGGAAAAAGTAGAAAAGTTTAAGTCCACACAAAATCCTTCTGATGCATTGCATGCAAAATACAGTTCAGTCACTGGTCAAACTGTCGTGGGAGATAATGAATGGGGACACTTACAGATGGATTCTATTTCACTGTATTTATTAATTTTGGCACAAATGACTGCATCAGGTCTTCAAATAGTATTCAATTTGGATGAAGTAAGTTGCAAAAAATAAAATTAAAGATAAATAATCTCAATAAATTTGATACATGTATAATTTATATTTTAGGTTGCTTTCATACAAAATTTAGTGTTTTATATTGAATCGGCATATTGTACACCAGATTATGGTATCTGGGAAAGAGGTGATAAAACAAATCATGGTTTGCCAGAGTTAAATGCAAGTAGCATAGGTATGGCTAAAGCAGCTATGGAAGCCATGAATGAATTAGATCTTTTTGGGGCCAGAGGTGGCCCAACCTCTGTCATTCATGTTTTAGCTGATGAAGCTCAAAAATGCCAAGCTGTCTTACAGTCAATGCTACCTAGAGAGTCTAACTCTAAAGAACTTGACAGTGGCCTTTTATCTATTATTAGTTTTCCTGCTTTTGCTGTAGATGAGCCTAATTTAATTCAGCTTACAAGGGAAGCTATCACAAAGAAATTACAAGGGAAGTATGGCTGCAAAAGATTTCTAAGGGATGGTTACAGAACACCAAAGGAAGACCCAAACAGGTAATTTATTTATTTTCTATAATATATTAATATGAGAATTACATAATGTTTTGCTTTTCGCTTATAGGTTGTACTATGAACCATGGGAATTGAGAATGTTTGAAAATATTGAATGTGAATGGCCACTTTTTTTCTGCTATCTTATTTTGGACTATTGCTTCCAAGGCAATAAAGAGGCGATTACCCGCTATGCCAATATGCTTGAAAATATTATACTGAAAACCAAGGATGGCATAAGATTAGTACCAGAACTCTATTCTGTTTTGCCTGAAAATGTTGCAGCTGAATATGCAGAGCCAGGCAGTCAGGCAAGGCAAGCTTTGGGTAGAACCCCTTTCATGTGGGCACAATCCCTTTATATTTTAGGGAAATTACTTCAAGAGGTAAGTTAACTTAAAACTCCTTTAATTCCTGAAAGCAAACTTAAATGAATCATTCTATCAATAGGGTTTCTTAGCTGTGGGTGAATTGGATCCGCTAAATCGACGTTTGTGTAGCGAGAAGAAGCCAGATGTTGTAGTTCAAGTGGTCATTCTGGCCGAAAACAACGAAATTAGAGAAAAAATTGCACAACATGACATTCACGTGCAAACGATAGCGGAAGTGGCGCCCATAGAAGTACAGCCAGCTAAAGTTTTAAGTCACTTGTACACGTACTTAGGTTTGTTAATATTCTTGTATTGTTAATCATATATAATGTTAGATACCTTGCATAATCATTTATTTATTTATTTATTCTATTGCAGGTCGAAATAAAAAATTAGGTCTATCTGGTCGTAAGTCTCGAGACGTCGGTATTTTAAGTACTAGCAAGTTATATTCATTGCACGACAGGATATTTGCGTTTACACCACAGGTAAAGTACTAGTTTATCTTGCGTTATGATAATTATTATAGATACTCGGTTCCAGCGGTTATCTCTATAATTTTTCCCCTCAAGAGCTCGAATGTGATAATGATTATTTTAATGGCACATGTAATCGAGTTTCTGATCTACGTGAAATTCAGTTGACAGACATGACCCGCTTCTACATCGCTTCGGACTATGAACTCATGATTGACATATTCAAGGGGGAAATTAATTTCTTAAAGTCTAGCTGGCAGAACATGTTAGGCCGACCACTTGTCGTAATGCCCCTCAAGAATGCTCATCTAGGTACAGTAAAGCCAACAAACCTAAATCCCCCGGTTTTGTATAAAGCTTTGATTTATTATCCTTTTGGTCTAACGACAGAGAGTTTGTAATGAGAAGCAATCGAATTTTCAAATCGACTACACTGACTGACTAAAAAAAGGACTGAAGATAGACAAAAATCACAAACCAGTCAAACGCCACACAGAGTTGGCTTTGAATTATTAACCTCATCAAGTTGGTTCTAATAATAAAAATCACACATCTTTCATTAACCAGCATGTTTTGTGTGTTGCGTTTTGTCTACATTTTGAATAGCTCTGCGAGTACTGCCAAAAGCCAACCAAGTAACCACAGAAACAAATAGGAAGCTAGTTTAGTAAACTGAATGATAAGTCGCATAATTGTAAAATAAAAATGATTTTCTCGATCTCTTGATTACACGAGCTTCATTGGTTTTGTTTGGTATGCGTGTGTGTTGCATGTGTTTAGAACATTGACGTCGAGGACTACTATACGTCGAATGACGCGGCTTTCCTGGCTGATACATTTACGACCAACTTGGCATTCCTCACGATCAACTGGAAACAAATGCTCGGCAGACCGACCGTAACGCTAGTCGCTACTCGTGGCTACTTAGGTATGCCGCCTAAGCTGATATGAGCTTTTCTGTAAAAGATGGAAAACCATTGAAACGAAAAATTGATCTGCTTATTAATTGACCGATTTGCTTGTCGACTAAAAAGAACTGCCTCAAAGCAGAGTCCCCATTTTTTGTCGCGAGCGTACAATGAGAGACCTTTTCCATGTGCTTTTCGCAGATCAGGGCAAGATCCCACTGGCTATGATAACGACGATGAAGAAATTGAAGAGTGGTTACATCAACGGGACTCGCGTGTCGCTCGGCAATCTCAACGACTTTCTGAGCACTTCGTGCATCACGAATCTGAGCTTTCTGGGAAGTCCCGAGGACGGTCGCCCAGACAGATTGAATCCACAGGTCAGTGTGATACGTTAAAGCTCGCGAGAGAAGCTCAATGCTGACACTCGCCTCTATGTGCGATACAGGTGCAACAGTACTTGGACGAACACCTGATGAAAGCTTTCCCGCTACGCACGAGTTTATTGGACAAGCCACCGACCAACAGCGGCCGCAATCTTAGACGGCGAATGTCCGTGAAGGGTGCCATCAAGAAAACTCGATCGATCGCCGTGGAACGTACGTAAGCGATTCAAGCTGAAGCTCGAAGAGCAGCGCATTCGATCATCATTTATATACTATTGTTTGCATGAGTTACCATACCTGTCAAGGGAGTTTTTCGTTAAACCCTACTAATCTACACCACTATCATCCATAACAGCGGTGGAAATCCCGATTGTACTTCAAGAACGTAAGTGGGTCATGACTAAAAACGACAAGCATGCTACGCGTAATAACCAATGTCTCGACGGAATGCGCACGCATGCCAGGGAGGTGCAGCTTAGAAGCGCGTGGCGATTGATGGATTAAAGCGCGACAAATAATTATAGCGGAGATCCTGGGAATGGCTGGCGAGGATCGCAGACCGTCAGCGGTACTTTCGTCGAATCCCTTCATCAAGGTGACCGACACGTCTTTGAGTCCCGCGTCGAGCGGTACCGACATACCGGAAGTACGCACGCCTTCGCCCACCGAGGACCTGGTGGCAACGGTGCCAGCCTGGAGACCTCATTCGCCGAAATTCGGCAGAACGCGCGTAAACTCGGAGACGCAGTACGCCGACACCGAGGTGGAGGAGCTAATGGCCATGCTGCGAGAAACCGAGAGCCTGGAGGAGCAGGGCGATATCCTGCAGTACCTGGTGGACTCGCAGGGACTGCATTACAACACGGGCATGCTGGAAGCCGGTCACCCGGTTCTGGTCAAGGACCTGCTGAAGGGCCTCTACGAAAAAGCCTGCCAGCAAAAGATGTGGGGCATCGTTCGCCACGTGGCTGGCATGCTAGGCAAGCGAGTGGAGGATCTGGCCAAAGCCGTCACCGACTTGCTCGTGCGTCAGAAGCAAGTGACGGTGGGCATGCCGCCAGCCAACGAGCACACTATCGTCGCGCCGCTACCGGAAAACGAGCTGCGCTCCCTCATCCATCAGGCCTACGGCGACGACGAGTCCACGGCCATGCTCACGCAGGAGCTGCTCGTCTACTTGGCGATGTTCATTCGCACCGAGCCGCAACTCTTTCACGAGATGTTGCGCTTGAGAGTCGGTCTCATCATTCAGGTGATGGCCACCGAACTTTCGCGTACTCTCATCTGTAGCGGCGAAGAGGCTTCCGAACATCTACTCAACTTGTCGCCCTTCGAGATGAAAAACCTCCTACACCATATCATGAGCGGCAAAGAGTTTGCTATCAGCAGCGGTATGTCTATATCTATAAGCATTTTGGGAGAGCTCACCTTTGCTTATTGACTCAACTCGTGCTTTTCTCGTTCAGTTGGCCGTGGCAACTTCTCCGTTGTCAGCTGTAAGTCTAGTCGAGTCAGCAAGGTACGAAATCTATACTTACATTTTACACGGCTCTTAAGATTACACAATTTACGTTCGGATTATAGAAATCGCAGATCGGTGGCTTGTTAAGTGCCGACAAAGACACTGCCGAAACACTGGAACCCGATAGGCAAGGTCAATGGCTCAGGAGGCGAAGACTCGACGGGGCACTAAACCGCGTGCCACGAGACTTTTATCCCCAAGTTTGGCACGTTCTTGAGAGAGTATGTAACAATATTAAATTTCATGATATATTTCAAAGAGCCATTGTTCACGGCAGTTGTGATGTTTCAGTGCCAAGGATTAGCCATCGAAGGTAGAATACTCGCGCAAAATCTCACTCAAGAGATGACTCCGGGAGAACTGAAATTTGCACTAGCCGTGGAAACAGTCTTGAATACTATTCCACAGCCGGAATATCGTCAATTAGTCGTCGAAGCTCTAATGGTCTTGACCCTCGTCATCGAGCACAACGTCGCATCGACTCTGGGTGGTCTCATAGCTGTCGAACATCTAGTACATAAAGCCAACTCTATATTTTTAGAAGACCAAGTCTGTTTATTCAAATTTTATAGCTTTGCTGTCACGCTACTGCATTTGATTTTACGTGATTTTGTTTTACTTCTAGATGAAAGTTGACGGGGACGCAACGCTCTGCTGTGCCAAATCTAAAGATCAACGAGAAACAACTGCAATGGGTGGTCTTCTTTGCGGAGGAGCTGCTTATATTTGTCAACATTTTTATGATTCTGCGCCCAGCGGTAGTTTTGGTACAATGACTTACATTACTAGAGCCGTCGCTAGTTTGTTAAGTTGTCTACCCAAGGAAGGCGATATAGAGTGTACAATATCTTAACGAATTGATTGAATTGTTGATTTATTATATCTTCATTTTGATCTTTCAGTTTAATTTTTTTTAGTTTAATCTTTCAATAGCAATCTTGTGAAAGTAGTATCTAAATGCTTTATAGAACAAATATTGTATGCATATGCAGAAATATATTGTAGGTTCTAGATTTATATTATTAATATATTGTTATTGTTGATAAATATAAAATTTTTAGATTTACAAAACATTTATTATTCTCTATATTATAATCATTTACAAACATAACAATTTACTTAAGCTTGTAGGCTGCTACTGCTTTTACTTCCAAATGGATTGATTTTAGACAGCCAAGAGCTAAATTGAAAAAAAATACATACTAAAAATTGTGTAACAAGTTGCTTTAGAGTTTTATTTTGAACCATTGATAGCAAGGGTGATATTTAATTACACAATCAAAACCTTGTGCATAAAATCAGCATTACCATAAACTATTATTACTTAACTTTGTTCAAAACTTAAAAAATGTATGTGATAAATTTTTGTTTTTCATTCCAAATGTCTTTTGTATGACTTTCAAACATCAATTACTTTAAAAACACAAATGAATGACTTAAAAATATCTATCTCTATTTTTAAATGTAAACTCAGCCACATGGATTTGACAAATTTAATGAAAATGTAAAAAATAGTAACGTATGCAGAGTAAAATACCTAAAATAACTTAATTTTAAAGACTACATACCTTTGAGATTCTTCAGAACCACTCTCTAGTTGCTCATCTTGAAGTTGTTTTATAAGTTCTGCTCTAAATTGAATTTTCAATGGCTGAGGATTGTATGCAGCCAACTGCATTTTAATGAATTTGCCAGTAGCATTTTTCCAAGATAAACCATACCATTCAATATCTTCTCTAGAGTACTGTTTTAAAAAGTATTTTTATGAACATAAGTAATTTACAATAATAGGGTAATTTATTCTGTGGAAACTTACAGGTTCTAAATATTTTTTGTATTTTTCATATACTTCATCTCGTTTGACTGGATCATCAGGATACAGAGTTTTATCAGCTAGACTTATGAGTATTTCACGCTTTAATTTAAGAGCAAGTTCTGACATGAGATCACAAGCTTTTGTCTAAAAAAAGTGAAAATAGCTTTCATAAAATGAATTGAGACCTCAACTTTCAGAAGAAATTAAAACATTAAATTACACTTAATAAGTAGTGATCAAATCCATAATGTTTATGTACCAATTCCAGGGTTCTATCGGTTACAGTCATTCGCATATACTTATTGAGTACTTCACTGTATACCACAGATTTTTTGAGTTGGGGAACCCAGTATTTTCTGAATCTACGCTTGTAAAAATGTTTTTTATAAAATCCCATTACAACAGCCTCGCCACCCCATATGCCTTCATGGAATTCCTTTGGATATTTCAAGGGTATTGGATTATTTTGTATTGGCACTCTAAAATCATAAAAAATGACGGTTGTAACTATAAATTTCAAAAACTAAATGTTGTCAAAAGTATGAAATTTACTTACATTGTACCATCTTCTCTTTTTTTAAATCTTCCTTCTTCTGGGATATAGTGAACTGGAGAGGGTGTCGTTAGTTTCCATTCTTTCCAAAATTTTTTGTAAGATTCAGGTAATGCAGCACCAATTCCACTTGTCCATCGATTTGGTTTCTGAATGTAGTATAATTTCTAAAAAACAATTTGTTTATACTACATTTTGTTATAATTACATTACATTTACATATATTTATGATTCCAATAATAAAGAGATTTAGAGGTTATATCCTTACACACGAAAATATAACGTTCAAGCAACCTACATACAGGAAATATTTAAGAACTAAGCAATTAATTAAACCTAGTATCTTACCTTTGATAATTCTCGTGCCGTAGACATTGCTTTAGTTTATATTTTTATTCTACTTAAAAATTATAAATTTTAGACAAGTGCTCGGAACAGCCGCAACTGTTATTCTTCTGTTTTGACAGAGCACCGCATAGTAGCGCTCACCACAGTGGTCGTACTTAGAGATTGTTTGAAACGTCGAAAGAATCACAATTTTATGCTTATAGATGATATGATTTGATTATTAATAATTAATAATGCAATAAATATTACAAAAATAGAAGCCCGCTAACAACACTAGTAGTAATGAGAATATTTACGAATGAATATCAACAAAAATATCCCAAAAATGTGTAGAAATAATTTTAGAAATTCGATCATTTATAATAAAATAAATAAAAATAAAATATAGGAAAGGTGACCGGTAAGCCAAAAAAATAAAAATACCCTTGATTACGGACATTCATGTTTATCATCAATGACATTCAAACGAAACAAAACGCATTTGTTTTCTTACACATTCACAATGATCATGAAATGAACGAATTGGAGTGTCGAAGCGAGTAGGTGAGATGGGGAGGCATTTTTTACAGGCACAAGCGCACAAGCCAAGCAGGCGATCGTGATCATCAGTATAACACAAACGTTTTAAGGATTGTTTCTTTGTTGTTTTGAGCAATGTAAAGGTATTAATGCGTAATTGACAGCCAGTGTTTTTTAAATAAAAACAAGAAACAGATTCCTGCAATGATGACACTCGATCCTATAAATCAATTTTTCCAAGAAGACGATTCTCATTCACGTGTAAGTTGACATTGGAAATGCCGGTTGCTAGGTTATACATTGTTTTAACAGTAAACAATATTTATTATGCTTTTCGACAGGATGACGATCTAAAGAACACCAAAGATAATCAACTTTACAAAGATACGATGGCTCTGCTTAAACGGAAAATGTGCACTGCACAGTAAGCCATTAACTTTTTGGTTTTCTCCATGTTATTACTAATACTCCATTTATTTTAATTTTAAGGGACTTGTTGGAACAATTCAACCATAAAGTGAAAGAATATAATGATTTAAATTTAGAACTTCATGAGTTAAAAATTGACAAAGAGAAACTTTTTAACAAGTATAATGCTGCAAGTGAAAAACTCACAAGGCTGGAGTTGGTAAGTAAAAATATATTAGAGAATGAAGGTGCAATAATAAAATATAATACAATAAAACTATTGGTAAATTTTAATATTGAAAACTTATTAATAATTTTGTTATAATTCTAATATTGTAAATGTTTAGTCTATTAGAGATTATGAGAAATCTCGAGATGAACATAAATATACAGCTGACAAACAGAAAGTTGAATTAGATGAGAAAAAGAAGCACATCGAACAACTCGAATATAAGATTAGAGAGATGGAAAAAGACAGTGTTCATTTGAAAGGTATCGAATTTTCAATTTTTCTAAAGTAATGATGAAAAATTACGTTTGAGTTAAAAATAAATTTATTGCTTTACAGATGAAATAAAAAAATTGCAGCAGGAAAACAAAATTTCTAAATCTATTGCAAAAAAATCTACTAAAGCAAGTCAAACAAACCGTAAGTTTCTATTAATTTATGATGATTTTATTCTTTCAAGAAATGTAATTTTTTTTTCAAAGAAATCCTGAACAATTAATAATATAGATACCTACTTAATTGTCTATTTCATTTCCATTTTCTATCAGGTACTAGTCAACATGATGTTTCCGTGAACACTGACTTCAAAAAGGTACTACCCAGAAAAGCACAAATGAGGGATAAAAATACGATTACAGATAATGATACGATGCCTTACTCAGCATATTGTTTACAATGTGAAAAACAATCAGAATTTCCACCCTTACAACAAATTCTTAAAATTATGTCATCGCCCCCTCCACCATCATTAACAAATCAATTTTCACCACCATGTTCCCCAAGTAAGTACTCTTCGTAATATGCATATTTCTGACATATTACAATTATTGGTCCTTTTCATATGCTTATAGGATCAGTACCATCAAGTTCACAACAGTCTGAGTCAATTGTCAGTAATACATTTGATCAATATTACCATGAAAATTCATATACAAGAAGGTTAGATAAAAAGGCAATTGAAAAGAGTAAAAAGATACATGAAGAACCCGATAGACCTTCGTTTATGTTGATAGACCAATTAAATAGAAGAATAAATAACTTGGAAAGACAGATTAAAAAGAAAAAGTGGAAGCAAAAACAAGGCAATGACTGTCATCGACAATGCTGTCCATCAAAGAATATTAAATTTATTGTACAACTTCCCAATGGAGAAAAGTGTTTAGAATATGCAAAACCTAGTCAACATAAGCAAATACATGTGAAACGATTAAACAAGAAGCATACTAAATCGAAGAATGATAAACAATCAAAAGTTAGAGAATGGCAGGTGGAGAATGATATAGAAATTCAAAATATTCAGTTAAATTTACAGCATAGTTCAGACCAATTAGAAAAGAAATCTGAAAATCTTAAAGACAATAATGAGATTGACTGTTCCGGATCTCCAGCTGTTCATGTTCCAAATGTAATATCAAAACATCAGGTTCATGTAGACTCATGTGTATCAAAAACTATGGTACTTTTTACTAATCTTTATTATTCATTAAATGATAACTGTTTCTATTTATCTGCTTTTCTTTCAGCAACCTCCTCATACAGAATCTCTCAGCACATTAGATATAAATGCAGATGCAGTGATAGTGAATTCAACTAATAAGGATAAGGTCTGTGATGATGAAAATGAGAATGAATGTCATATGCAATCTAGTGTTAGTAATCCAGTATTAACAGATCCTATTAATGAAAAAATGAATTGCATTAGTGAAAAAGTATTACAAACTATTGATAGTGAACATAATTTAAGTTTAGATGTATTAACAAAAGTAAATAGTGATGATATTTTTGATACAATTAGTGAAAGTTCTCATAATAGTAATTTGATTCCTATTGAATATGATAATCATGAAACTGTAGTAGATAAAAATGAGGACACAGTTTTTACAAATATTGAAAAAAATGAAATTATTGATGAAGCATTAGCTTTAGAAAGAAAATTAAAACTTAAAAGTCTAGATGATTTCGACAAAATTGAAAGTACACTACCAAACATTAGAAAAATTAGAACTTTTTCTACTTCATCATCGGAATATGATGAATTATTTTCAACATCAACAATTTGTATAACTGATAGGAATTTGAATTTGAATGTTAAAAGACGTGAATGTAAATCATTCTTTCAAGTAATTGAGTCACCTGGAACTGACAGTGACAAGATAGAAAATTCAGATGAAAAACAAATAGATGTTCAAGAAGAAGTTCTTGAAAATAAAAGAAAGAACGAACATTCTTCAGACGATTCGCTAAATTTAAAGCATCGTGTAGCATGTAGAACACTTAAAAAGAGAGGGAAATGCAATAATATCATAGAATCTGATAATTCTTCTGAAGAAGCTCCAAGACCAGTAATTAATAGTAAGTATAGAAAATCGTTGATTGCAACAAAAAAACGGATTATATCCAAAATAAACAAATTAAAAAAAACTAGTAATTGCCCAATCAATTCTAAGCCAGTGATAAAGCCTACTGAGTCTCAAAGTGATTTAAGAGATACTTATATTCCAACTAAAAAACAAAGAATAGCACATGTACCTAAAGATAATAGTGAAGCGAAAGAAGTAGTATGTGCAGAACAAATATTACAAAAATTAAGAGATACTGTTGAAATAGAACAAGTTAAATCTGAAAATGCATTAACAAAGCCCAAATATGTTAATAAAAGAGTCAAAAAGAAAATGGAAGATACAATTGATACATTGAGAAAACCAAAAAAATTAAAATTGGCGAAATCGGCTCAATCTCAACAAAATAAGGACAAACAATCTGCTACTTTTAAGAATGAAAAATTAGAACCCATTTCGGCTAATACTAAGTTAGAATTGATAGCCAAGAATGAGAATCACCAACTAATAACGGAAACAGATTTCAAAAGAAATGAGAATTTTGAAAGTAACCATCAAAAGAAAGAACCAGACGCAACAAATGAACTCTCGGAATTAGATATGAGAATATCACAAACAGTGACAGAAAAGATGAAGGGTACCGACAATTGTGCCAATATAAAATCAAGTGATAATAATAAAGGTAAATTCTTTTTATTCTATTTGAGTAATTATTTCATATAACTTTTCTTTTCAAATGATTTTTATTTTTATTTAGGAGAGAATATACGAAATGAACAGTCATTGGATGAATTAAAAAAGGATTCCCCTGAGGTCAGCGAAGATGAAGAAATAATACCTGCCAGAAATTTACGAGGTCGCAAGGTGACTCCAAAAATCCAAGATCGTAGAATTAGTAGGCGGTTGCAAGAAAGCGATTCCTTAGTCGCTAACAACGATGTTGGTACAAATAACTGTTTGACGGGTAGTCTTCTTACGCCGTCAACTAGTAAACAGACTCAAAAAAAGAAAAGAAAAATACCAACCAAGAATCAATTGAAACTACCGTTTGACGGTACCAATTCTTCTCTAGGTAACACATCCATCGTATCATATTTTAATGATTTTTTATTGGGAGTACATCAAGACAGTAAGCAAGAGAACTTCGAACACTTAAAAAAACATGGTAAATATAGACTTTTTTAAATTTCATTAAGTAACAATTTAACTATCAACGCGCATGAAAATCACACGTTCTACTATTTTTATAGAGGGTCCGATACGTGACCAGCTCTCGGTCTTAATTGAAACGGAGCCTTTAACGACTGATGTTCTTTTACAAGTTGTAGAAAATCTATTAAATATAACTCCTTTAGAAGTGGTTGCAGTGTGAGTATATTTAAGTATCTTCGACAGATATAATAATAATATATAGAATGTTATATAGAAGTGAAATTTTAATAATATTTTTTACATATTTTAGAGTATTGGTAGAATATGCATCAACGGAATATTTGGATGACGTTAAATACAATACAACGTATACACCTCCCGCTCCACCGATGACTAAATTTGAGCAAAAATGTGTGACTTTGATTACAACAATAAATGAAAAACAGCCAGAATTTATGGATGATGTTGGAAAAGGCTTGGAATATAAATTATTTAGATTAGGCAAACCTCTAGAGGTTGGTTATATCTTTATTAGCGCAGATTTTTTTAAATATATTTTTAAAGATTTGATTAGTTAAAGGATGCCAGAGCTCAATCATGCAAATAATAAATCAAGTAAAATAGAGTCTGTAATAAATACCATTTCTTTATTTACTGTTTTAGATACATACCGTGGAGAGGCTCTTTCGCATATTGGTTGTCTTGAATAAAATTAAAAAAGACAGAGAGAAAGTTCGGATGCTTTTCTGCGACGCTCTTTACTGCTACAACACACGAGCTATGAACATTATTTACATTGCTTTAACATGCTGGTCAGAAGTATTTCCGAAACACGATGCTAACAACGGTAAATTTCTATAAAAACTTGACTGCGTATTGCATTTATAAATTTGCAGCTGTTATTCCTACGTATTATAACTAGATTTTTATATCTATAAATATTAATAAATATTATTTTTTCAGATATCCTGGTAAAAACCATCGTGCACATTATTATGTCCGCAAATGTTAATAGGCCATTCTCTAAACTTATGCCTTTGAAAAGGTTGCTAACTGATTACTATGGATATCCGAATTGTGGATTTAGAGTTGAAAATTTCAAACAAGAGCTTATGGATAATTTGAAAGGTAAAAAATATTTATATCGACACATGATTTCTTTGTATCATTTACCTTTTTTTATTGCCGTTATAACTTTGGTTTTGTTATAGAAAATGTATTTGGTGTTAATACCTCGATTATTTTACTGTGCAAAAGTAAAGGACCTGATTGGGCTTTGGAATACATAGTTAAAGATTTAAAGAAAATGATAGTACACCAAGTTCATCCTTCCATGTATGACGGCTTAACTTTACTTGGTAAGTGTTAAAAAATATTTAAAGATTATCTTTTCGAATATACAGTTGTTAAGCTCTTTTTTTCATTACAGGCGATATAGTACGCCCATTTTCATCAGAAAATTTCAAAAGTACCCTAAAAGAAATTACTGATCAGCTGTGTGAAGTTTTAAGTGGCAACCCAGGTACGACAATGAACTTAACTTTTGATTTTGTCGACTATAAGACTGTACTTTTAAAAATTCTTTTCGCTATCAACAGGTTCACATGATTTAGAAGAGGGCATCGTATCATGTCTATTGAATATAGGAGGTAAATTTTCGTTTGACCGCGAGAAGATTGCAAAGTGCGTGTTCAAATGGCAGTCTAATAAGGAACTTCGTCAAACTACCAAGGAGAAATTTCGTTCTTTTCTCAAAACTCATAACGTTGAATGGTGGCGAAAATTTGTTCAACAAAACTTTCCAGTTGCTGAGCAAAATAACTGCCATTAGTTTATATTTAATATGACGATAGCTTATTTTTATACTTTATAGTGTCCTTTAATAAATAAGGATAAAGAAAAATATGATAATGATTTTACACTGAAATATTTATACTATTAAACATTACAATAAGGACAATAGTGATCGCGATGAAAATTTTGCGAGATTATGATAATATAATAATATTTGTAATTTATTTTCTTATCTTCGCAGTTCTTGAACTGAATTTAGAAATTGATAATTTTTGTAAAAAAAAAAAAAATACTGTACATTGTTTTGGCGCAACATTGCTTGATTATCAAAATATGAAATTGAAATTTATTTTAGTATTCCAAACGAGTAATTGATTGAACTATAAAAGAAAGTACACTGTAAAATCGGGTATAAACAAATTTTTTGACTTCACAAGTTTTAATTTCATTTATATACTATGGACAAACATAAAGTTGCATAATAATCAAGAAAAATATTGGTACCTAAATCTTTAATATTAACATTGCAATATCGATTTAATAAATGATGAATTACTTTTTCGTTGTGATATTTCATAACAAATCAATGCAGCAAGTTAGCTATTGGTATATTAACTGATTCAGAAAGATGAATTTCTATTCCTTTCTTTAACTAAGAGGAAAACTATATTAAAGACGATTAAAGACTATATTAAGACTACATTCAACGCAAGCCAATAGAAGAAAGTTAACAACAGCTCTGATATATTAATAAAATGGAAAAAAAATTTAATGATGTAGTACTGAAATTATTTAAAAAATTATATTTGTATTTTTTTAAACCAACAATAAACCACTGTCAAAATCTCGAAAAATCAAAAGTTCTTGTTCATGTACATGGGAATACCCTTTTAAGCTGACTTGTATTAAATTTTGAAAAACAATGACATTGTATGGACGAACTCATTTGGAATGTCAACATTACAATTGATGCTCCGATTACTATTTAAATTGAACTTGAATACGTTAAAACTCACAGTACTTATGAATTGCTAAATAGCTGTACATAATACGTTATTTGACGGAAAATTTTAGTAAATATTGTTTAAAATTTTAAACGAATTGATGAGAAATAACGATCGAATACGCCTTCGAAGCATTGAATGAATAAATAAGGATGTAAGGAAAAAACGAAAGTTCTAATACTTAAATATTTATGCTATTAAACATTGTAGGGAGAACGAAAATACAAGTGTCTTCTCGACAAAAAATGATGGTGATGACGATGGCAATGAAGATAATAATGATGACGATACGATTTTGCGAGATTATAAGTAGTAATAATGATAATTGAGATAATTATAATCGTAATAATGATGATAATAATAATAGTAGCAATAGTAATAATAATAAAATAATAATAAAATAATAATAGTAATAATAACCAACATATTTGTAGCTTCCATAGGCAGAGCACGCTAAATGTTAATACATGTAGATATCGCTTACATGTATTCAATTTCTTTTTCGCCTTCGCTGTTCTTAAGTTGAATTCAGTATTAGATCGTTCTATTTTACAAAAATAATGTACAATGTTATGTCGCAACATTGCGGAACTCTCAAACTATTTAAATTTAGTAAAACATTATTATGTTTATTTGTTTACTTTCCTAACCAAGTGATTGATTCGTGTGTATATATATATATATATATATTTAACAAGTAATTCGTCTGTAATATTCACTCAACTGTTCGTAGATATTATCGTATGTCATTTAGTTTTATTTCTTGCTCTTTGGTGCATAACAATGAATGGTCCTTCCACACGGTTGAAAAACATTAGCATTTGACAAAGCGAAGTCAACCACCCATCGTCGTGATCTGTACGCGTCTATAATATTATTCGAGTAAGAAGTCAAATGTTTGTTTTTTTGTTCAACAATATTTAGTTTTATTTGTATCAATCTCGAAATAGACAAGAATTTCGACGAGCTCAATCGGAGTACAAGAAATTACGTATTTTATTTATCTAGTCGTACTCTCGAGGATTACGTTGAAGTTTGAATAAAAATAGTGATTTTTTCAAAGTGTTAACCATCAGTGGAAAGTAAAATTCAAAGTATTTAACAATGATTTGTCACAGAAAAAATGGTTTTTCACTCGTTCAAAAACTCGTTGTTAATCTCGTCGAGATCGCTATTTAGTTTGCTTCTTTTTTTGTTCGCTTATACTGTAGTACTGTGCAGTCTGATTAATTAAAAAGCCACCACTGTCTGTGTCGTTGTTGACTAATATGTGTTTGTGCGCGCGCGTATGTGTGTGTGTATGTGCGCGCGCGCGTGTGTGTGTGTGTTGATTTATCAAGCTTGTGATGTAATACTGAAAACGAATAATTTATTGCCGTTACTTTCAAAAAACGAGCATCGAATTGTCTTGTTAACGAAATTCGAGTAATATATTGTTAAGCACTAGATAGAAAAACAAAGGCCACTGCCGGCTCTACGTGTTACTCGTTTGAAGCATTCGTGAAGCATCCATCGAATTACGTCTCTTTCAGTTTTTCACCTCGATGCACTTTTGCACGTACGACCTTTTTCCCTCGTACGATGCGATCGATCCAACGCTAAAGGTATATTTCAATTTAAAAATTACCCCAAAATTATTGATACAATATTAGTCTTAGTGATGCTAATAAATCGATTTTGTACGTTGGATAAAAAATTATCTGGAGGGCATTTACTGGCTATCATGAACGATTCACGAGGAGAAAATCTACACGAATTAACAATTGCTACGTAGTAGTTTTAATAGTCATATCGGATCTCTGCCGTTATTTCATTTTATAACCTTCCGCGAAAATATATAAATTCCGTATTGAGAAATTGAATACAATGTTTGAAAGGCACTCAATCTCCTTTATAATTGCGTTGCCTTGCGTCTTCATTATTATTTCTTGCGATTTTTTGCCTACATTATAAGCGCGTCCTTACCATTGAAGAGGACATTGTTACCGTTATGGATAGCATTAATAACACAGGTCTACAAGATTTAGTCTTCCACTAATCAACAGTAGCTTCCGATAGCATTTTCCCTCTTAAATCTGACGAGTGCTTGTATTTCATTTTCACGTTTCGAAGTTAAGATAAAAAGGGCCAGCAGTTATTTACATTTCTTGAATTGAGGCTATAAAATTTATGTGGAATTGAATTTTAGTCGTAAACTGAAATATAGTGAACTTTTCAAAGGTTGAACTCTCTTCAAGTGACTTTGATGTCTAATTTAGAAACATCAACTACAAGTGAATTTCTTAACTCGGCTGAAAAGGATCGTATTGAACAAAATAAAAATAGAGTTGAAAGTACTTTTACTCATTCTGTCTGAACTCCTATACGTGATAACTGAAACAAGACGACACCAAATCTACGGGAAAAACAACATTGGAATTCACTGTCGGCTTTCAAAATATAACAAAAGAGTTTGATTTTTGTAGACCTGTGTGTTTAACAATATAGTTAATTATTGATCGATAATGACAGTATAATAAATTAGGAACCAAGTACAATACGAAATATGGTTGATACGTTTTTCTTTTAATTTAAATAATTAAAGTTACGCTAAACTTTCGATAACTAACGACTATTTATAAATTGTACGGTATAATCGCTCTAATGCATTATTTCTTTACATATTTATTTGTTCTCTTTCTCTCTCGCCTTTTCTATTTCGTGGTTTCGTTCTTCAAAGATTATCTGTTAATTCTTGAAAATTGATCGAGCTACGCTCAGTCATTCAAAGAACAATACAACAGAGCGTGGAAGAAAAAAACGAAGGAGATCGAGACGAGAAACGGAGGGAGAGAGAGAAAGAGAGCGAGAGAACCAAAAAACGAAATTAAATCCGACATACTGTTGTGCAGCAGAACGTCTGGAAGAGCAATCTTATTAATATCTACAAATTTACAAAATGTTACGCATAATACTCGTATATTATACATAATCCGAGCTTTTTTATCACCCTCGCTATCTCTCCCGCTCTCTCATTCGCACACTCTCTCTCTGTTCTCTCTCTCTCTCTCTCTCATTCTATATTTATATTTCTAATGCAATAATCTATCGCGCGTTCGATGCAGTTATCAGTCCAACTTGTCGAATATTTTCCGCTCTCGACCAAGTCAGAGCTATGAGTTTAGTGGCAGCCTTATTCGCTTGAAAGTGTGCTTTTTCCAATAGATATATAAATATACGTAGTATACATATATATTTATATATTTCTTTGTCGATTTATCGTTACATATATGAATGTGTATCTATGTGTGTATATATATAGTATTTAAAATTTGCTTTATATTCTAGAATATAACTTACTATGTACAAGTGAAAAAAGAGGCCTACCTCGTCGCTTCAAAACTAACGTCCAATCATTTCCACCAATGATAATGCATAAATCTGTATACAACGTTATCGGCAAATGTGTACATCTTTTTATAGGTGTATATTAGTGTTTCAACTGCGTATGAAAGACTAGGCCACTGTCTTTCAATAAAAATATAAAATTCTATCTTATAACGAGACAGTTTTCAATCATCAAGATATATATACATATACATATATATGTATGTATATATGTATATATATGTATATGCATATGTATATGTATATATAATATATGCATCTCGCGGAATCAATAGAATAATAATAATAATAATAATAATAATAATATAGCTACAGGTCGAACCTCCTCTATTTAGTTGGCTATATATAAATGTGTGTGTGTGTGTGTGTGTGTGCGCGTGCGCGCGTGCGCGTGTGTGTGTGTTTGTGCGGGCGCGCGCATGTGTATGTTTGTGTGTAAGAGCGGAAGAGCGAGCAAGTTTTTTCGGCAACGGAACGCTTCGAAGTCGAGTAACAATACAAACGCATGTCGAATGCAGCAATTTCCTCTCGTCAGGCGTGCGCGCACCTCGTTCCCTCTTTCTTGTCCATCTGCGTTCGAGCGCCCATCGATTCGCCTGTCCGTACATTTGTTCGTCGGTGGGGAGGAGGAATCGGATGGCAGGTTCTCGCCACTTGAGTGGGTGGGAGAGTGGTTCGCCGGGATCCCTTCGAATGCGAAAAGTCGAAGGGAGAAAAGGAGGAGGGATATCGGGCGGGAGGGGTGGTGAAAAGGAGGAAGAGGAGGAGGAGGAGGAGGAGGAAGAGCACTGCTCGTGGTGAAGATTAGAGGGGATGGGGTTGGTAGAATGCGTGTGCGGCGAACAGTCGTCGACAGACGAACGGGCAGTTGTCGTGGTCGTGGTCGTCGGATGACTTTGCTGCTCGATCTCGGCGACAGAAGCGGCATCGGAGCAGCAGCAGTAGGAGGAGGAGGAGAGAAGGATGAGGAGGAAGGAAGCTGTGGGGTGAAGCGTATCATCGGTTTGCTCTACTGGCTCGGTCGCTTGCTCTCGTTGACACTCGCCATCCGTGCGGAGGCTTCGGCCGGGCAGCTTGGCTGGTAATTCCAGCTGGGCATCCTCGTGTGCTCGATCGGTGGAGTGGTCTGCAAGTTGATTGCAAATTAGCCGGCGGCGGGTGGGGGAGGGGGAGAGTCTGGAAGGCAGCACACGGGAGAGAGCAGAGTTTGGCTTACCGAGTTGTTGGGATTCTTGGCCATGAATATCATGAGAGAGCGACTGCGACTGCAAAAGGGCCTGAGCTCGGGGTCCCTCGGTAGGCCGTCCACCGCGTCGACGCCGTTGCCGTTGCTGCGGACAAGCGAGACGAAAGTGAAATAGAGTCCGAGGCGGTCGAGGCCGATGACGGCAGCAGGCAGACTCACCTCTTCATGCGCAACTCCTTCTGCTTTCGCTTGCAGTGGATATAGACGGAGATGAAGGTGATGACGGCGAGGACGACCGCAATCGTGACGGCACCCGCGATGCTGGCAGTCTCGAGCATGATGCGTTGGCGCGAGGCTGCGGTGCGGACAGAGAGGCGCTTTGAGCGAGCGGTGCGGGTAAAAGGGAGGCAAGAGCAGCGGGGCATACTCACGCAGATAGGAGCCGTCGAGATCCTTGAACTCGCATCTCTGGCCGATGTAGCCGTTGGCGCAGCTGCAAGAGCGAGCGGGGGTTAGTGGGTTAGCGGGGCGCCGGCGCCGGCGCCGGGGCTACTCACAGGCAGTTGTAGAGCAGCGACTCGACGATCTTGACGGTGAAGCACGTGGCCCCGTTGAGGCAGTACCACTCGGCGTAGTCCGGCGGGCAGGTGAACATGTGGAATGTGATGTTGGGCCGGGGCGTGGGCGCGGGCGGGCGCGGCTTGGGGGTCGAGCGCGACGAGCAGGCCTCTGCAAGATCAGGCAAGGTGGTGAGTGAGGCGGGGCTCTGGCGCTCGGCCCGGATGATCGGGCTACCCACCGGCGCAGGAGATGAGGCCCGTGGAGAGGATGAGCAGCGTGGCCGCGAGGCAGGAGGCCCGCCAGCCGGCCTCGGGCGGCCTACGCCGCAGCACCGCGGCGGCCCGGCGGGCGCAGCCGCGGCCGGCCTCGGCCGCGGCGCGCCGCCGGCGCGGGTGCCTGGCGCGTCTGCAGTGGGGCGCCTGCTGCTCGCGCGGCCCGTCCAGGCCGAGCAGCTCGCACGAGCAGGCGCTCTGGGCCCGGCAGCGCGCGCAGCTCGTCTCGTCCGCCTCCGGCATGCTACTGACGGCGCGCGCCCGTGCGCGCGCGCCGGCTGCGCCCGCACCTGGCCTGCGCGGGGAGCGCGCGTGCCGCCACCTCCGCCTTCTGCCTGCGGACAGAGGAGAAGCGAGGGCCGCGTCAGCCGTGCGCGCGGCGACGGCCCGCGGCCGTGCGCTCTGCGCCGCCGGCGGCCGCGATCCCCGCCGACTCGCCGACCGGCTGAGTCAGCTGATTGCGCGCCTAGCCGCTCGGCGCGCGTACTTTCCCCGCGACCCACATATTATTGCCTATTCCTGCAACTAGCTAATTGGCCGTTTCCCGCTTAGGGGCCTTGGCGACGCGCGTGCACCGCGCCGCTTCTCGCCGCTTCTCGCCGCTTCTCGCCGCTTCTCGCCGCCCGCCAAGTGCGTAATGACGTGCAAAGGCAGCCGCGCGCGAGCCAGCTGCCCGCCGATCTCCTCTCTCCCTCGCTCTCTAAACAGCCGCGGAGAATCCCGAGGCAGAGCACAGCTGAACTGGCGCTCCGACTGACTGAGAGGACCGGATGCAGCCTGCCCCCGCGACTCAAAGGGCTCTCTCTCCCTCTCTGCATATGTGATCTCTCCGGCTCGCTGCTGCCGAGCGCGGGCCCAAATATTAATATACGCGCGCAGCTGCCTGCTACGCTCTTCGCTGTGGCTCGGCCGCCGCGGCGCCGCGGCGCCGCGACGGCCCTCGTCCCGATGGCCAAGTGCGCGCGCGAATCGACCGGCAAGTGCGGTCCTTGCGTCGGGGCTTATCGCGACAATGCCACTTGTTCGCACACCTGCGACGGCGAATCGATCCGCGGTATCTCGAGCAAACAGCGATTGCGCACACCTTGCTTATCGCTCGGACGAGGGACGCGTTGCCAGCGCTATTCCCAGTCCGAGAAAGAGAGGGAGAGAGAGAGAGAGAGAGAGAGAGAGAGAGAGAGAGAGAGAGAGAGAGAGAGAGAGAAGAGAGAGAGAGAGAGAGAGAGAGAGAGAGAGAGAAAGAGAGCGGGGCAGATGATTGATCAAAGAGGCAGGGAGAAAGAAGGGAAGAAGAGAAAAGGAGAGAGAGAGGAAAAAAAGGAAAGGAAGGAAGGACTGCAATATGCAGTGGGGGCGTGCTTCGGGAATACAAAGAAGCGCGCAGGCCGCGAAACGGGATCGCACATGTCGCCGCCGACGCTGCAGGCGCATTGAGCAGAGTGGCAAGCAGCTGGCGCGCCCGAAGCCGCGGCGCAGCTGCAGCCCTCGCGCGCGCCGAGGAGCCGGGCCGGCTGATAAGGCGGCAATTGATAGCGCCGAGCCGGACGGCATCTGTCGAGAGACGAGGCGGAGAACCGCAGAGGCGATAATTAGGCGCGCGCGCGCGCACGCGCGCGCACGCGCGCGCACGCGCGCGAGGAAGAGGAGAGCGAGCGGTCAGATGAGCCGGGCGGTCGCGTGCCGCGCGCGTGCTGCCAGCGGCGGGTGCAACGAACTGCGCACGAAAGACGATCCGCGGCGCATCTGCCGGCGGCGAGCGGGCCGCCGCCGCCGCCGCCACCGCCGCCCCCGTGCACCGATCGCGATACGTGCCCGCGCCCGTCTGCCGCGGCCAATTGGCCACTTCGGCACGAGCCGCACTTCCGATCGCCAATCGACCGGATAACAGTCGCCCGACCGGCGGAGAAGCACTTGCGCGCGGGACCGAATTACCTGCGCGCGCCTAATTGGCCGCGCAACCCTAGACAGCAGCCACATGTCGCTGGAAGCCGCGAGCGCGCGGTCCGCGGCGAGAGGAGGAAGGATCGCCCGGCGACATCGATCGCGCGCGCGCCGCGAAATGGATATGGAGAAGCCCGAGCAGTGTCGCGGAATTCGGCCGGTGCCGGTTACTCCCTGCGCCGTCGCCGCATTGTGCCGCGCAGTCCCGCCGCCGACGACCGGCGCGGCTCGCCTCCGTGAAACACCTGGCCTCGCCTCTCCGGCCGCCTCGCTTTTGTTGCAGGCACGCTCTCTCATTAACTGGACCGCACACCGAGAAAACGACGCGGCGGCGGCAATCGACGACGACCACCCCTCGCCGCGTCGTGCGCTCGCTCCAATTTCAATAATGATCTCGGCGACGACGACCAAACAATTATATTAACCACCGTCTTTCTTTCTGTCTCTCTCTCTCTCTCTCTCTCGCTCTCTCTCCCCGAAAAACTGGCGTCTTTCCTTTTCGGCTCGTTCGGCAGATTAACTACCGAGGGTTCGCTCGGGGTGATTGAGTCGGTGAATGGGCAGGGGGGAGGGGGGAAGAGAGCGCGCGGCTCGTTGTGCAGCCGTGAAATTGCCGATTGGAGCGCGGGGGTTTCCCACAAACAAAAGCTCGCGCGATCCCACGATTAGCGCGAGAATTTCACGCTGCCGCTGCGGCAGGTAGCCGCGCAGTCCGTTGCGCTGCTCGCCGCGGCGGATCGACTATTCGCGCGAGCACACGTCGCGGAGAGGAAGACGTACATGGCGGCGCCGGATTATTTGTCATCGTCTGCCGCCGCCACCGCCGTTCGATCGATATCCAGCGCGAGCGACCACGGGGGGACGACGACGCTGCTCTCTCTCTTTCTCTCTCGTTTCCTCTCTCTTCGCGCGAAATTTCGGTGCATCTGCCGCCGCCGATCGACGAACAGATGCGCGCTTGGCTGCCTCGTATCAATCGGAGCGTCGTCGACGGACACGACGACAACGACGACGACGACGCGTCCCGAACAATTTGCCAGAGAGCTGCCGCAGGACTTTTATTCGTATGGCGCGCGCGCGTAACAAAGGACCAAAGAGAGAAGCTACGGGGCCGGGGGCCTATTATGAAAATTGGTAATGGCCGGTGCGTGTTTGAAAGCAAATCGAAGAATAGAGGCGAGCCACGGCGCTAGTATTTGGGAAAAGCGCGGCGAAAGGGCGGCGAGCAGGCAGCGGCACTGTCGCGCACAAAAACCCGAACAATGGGCAGCGGCGACGGCGACGACGACGCTCTACCTGGCGGTAAAACTTCGTGGGAAAGATCGCCCCGACCGTCTCCGTGCTCGCACGCTGGGACGCGCGGATTTTCGAGCGCGCCGCGGATTTCGATGACTCGCGCGGCGGCGGCGGCGGCGTTCCGATAATAACGGGATCCATTGTTGCCGCCGACTGTCCCACAGTGCCACGCCACCGCCCGGCTCGCTCGCTGCCTGTGTGTCTCCTCTTTTTTTTACGAGCGGCGCGAGGAAGGGGCAAAAAACGCAATGCCCACCCAAGATGCAGTGGCGACGCTCCCAGCCGGCGGCCGATACCGTCGCGGCGATCCCGACGATCGAAGCTCGAGCGACGTCGACGAGCTTGCGCGGGCTGACGCGCGCGCCAGGAATTCGGTTATGCAAGCGCGCGGCCGCGGGCGGAGGGGCCGGCGCAGCGGCAGGTATATAGAAGGCGCAGGGAACCGGTCGATCCATTAGCGGCTCCGCCCGAGAGACCCGCCTCGTCGCGCGCGACATGCCCGACAGGGCCCCGCCGGCCAATATCTACGAAATCTCCGTGGGAGAAGCGCCGGCGGCGGCCTTTGCGTCGCCGAGGTAACTTCATCCTCCTCGATAACAGGCCGCGCGAACGCTGTCGCCGGGCAAGGGAGAGGGAGAGCCCGCGCGTAATGGGCTCGAAGACGCGCGGAGCGAGAGAGGCGAGCGGGCGGGCAGGCAGGCAGGCACGCAGGGACACCGCCCACCCACGAATCGAAATTGCACAATAACGCGGAGACGGCTGTGGAGAGCCGGCTCATCCATATTCATGGGCGCGCGTGCGCGACTCGCGCCCGGCCGTTTCGCCCGCGAGCGCGGGCTTATCGACAGCGGAAGCGCAGCGCTGCAATGGGCACGGACGGGCGCCGAGGCGTGCGCGCGGAACGCGCGAGGCCGAGTGTGTCAGAGAGGTGAAAAAGGAGAGGCGCGAGCAAAGAGAGAGAGAGAGAGAGAGAGAGAGAGAGAGAGAGAGAGAGAGAGAGAGAGAGAGACAGAGAGAGAGACAGACAGACGGCGCTGTGTATTTTTAATGTTTCCTTCGTCAAGCGCCGCCGCGCCGCCTCAGAGCCGGCTGCATTGCCAGACTGCGGGGAAGTGCGTCTGCAGCCTGCCGGAAAAGAGATCCTGTCCAAAAAGACCGTTTTCTTCGGTCGGCCCGTCTGCCTCCCTCCTCTTCCCGCTCCTACCCGCCCCTCGGCGCCGCGCGTGCACACCGGGCCGCTCCGCACTCTTATCAGCGCCAACGCTCGCAGCCTCTCCGCGACAGCGAACAGGCCTTTTTGTCGGGTAGCCGGTCGCCATGGCGACACGCGAGGGCCCCGGTCGCGAGCACACTGCGCTCGCGACTCGCCCTAACCTCAACGCGTTCGCTTGGACATCGCGGCCCCGCGGTCCGGATCGGCAGGTGCACGCTGCTCGGTCCTGACGCTTTAAAAGTAACGCAGGCGCGCGCGAGCTCGCTCGCTCGATGTTCGCGGCCCAGATATCTCCTTCTCGCTTCTCGAGCAAACACGGCCACGCACTGGCACGCGCGCGCGATAACACTTCGCCGACGGCAGAGCGAAGCTGTCCGTCGTCGCGCGTACTCACCTGAGAGTCTAGCGAGGAAACTGAGCATGGCCCTGCAGCTCGCGCTGGTGAGGACGCGGGGAACGGTTCCGTCGAGGTGGGCCGGCCTCTTGAGGGTACGACAAGGCGGCCTTCTCGACCTCGTCGTCGCCGTCGTCGTCGTCGTCGTCTTCATCGACTGCCGCCGCTGGCGCCGTCTTTCTTCAGCAGCTGCCTACTCGCGCGAGGTTTTGATGAGGTGCCGCCGCTGCCGCTGCCGCTGCCGCCGCCGCCTTCTCCTTTCCTTTCTCTCCTCCCGCGACGATGCGCGCACCCAACAAACGACCTAACCTCAACACCAAGCGACAACTCGGCTGTCTCTTATCGCGACTGCCAGCGACGCTTATCCTTATCTCTCTGGCTGTCTTACTCTGGCTCGCTTTTCGATAATCTCGATTCTCAGCAAGTCGTGCTGTCGCAATCGACGTCGAGCTCGGTCTGCTCGGAACGGCCGACGTCCGCACTGCGGCTGCTGCTGCTTCTTCTTGTTCGTCTTGTTCTTCAGGTTTTCTTCTTCCTCTTCTTCTTCTTCTTCTTCTTCGTCTTCTTCTTGACACACACACACAGCGGGCACACACACAGAAATACACAACACTCGCGCTCGACGAACGGCAAGAGCAGAGAGATGGACAGAGCGCGAGATGCTCGCGCTTACTGGTCAATTGTTTAGCACTCCGACACCTCGGGTCAACACGCTTGCGAAACACCCGACGTCGTGTCCGCGAGGACGTTGACAGTCTTCGTCGGAGCAGTGATCTAAGCCACGCCACAGCCTCGTCTGTCCGCGAGCTCGCTGCGGCGCTACACCTGGTGTCTTCTTGGCGTCTCCGTCCAGGAGCAAGCTCGTCCGCCTCCTCGATAGAGACCGACACTTGCGGCTACGACGATCGCACCTGCTGCTTTCTTTTGGAGGTTATGGACAGCAGCAGCAGTAGTCGAGCGATCGTTGCGAGCTATTGCGAAGCTTATATAGGTGTGTGTATATAGGCACTAAGTGAGCGAGAGAGAGCGCGCGCACGAGCGAATGTCAGGTGCGATAAAGAGAAAGAAAGACTGGCAGACAGACGAGAAAGAGAGCACTGCGCTTCCAGCGAGAGCTCTCCTACACTGTCGCCGCGAACACCAAGTAGTTGAGCGTCCCTTGCGATCTGTTCTGCGTGCATCGGCGGCGGCGAGGACGTCGTGGCGAATGGTCGCGGGACATAATGCTGGTACGCTCGGAGACTGTCGCTCGGATACGAGTCGACGACGGCAACGACCCAGTTGCAGGCGGCCGGAATGCGAATGGCATCGTGGGAGCGCGACGACTCGCACTCTACTTGTAGACTGGCTGCAGCCCCGCCGACAGGCCGATCACGCAGTAGACCAACACCAGCAGCACCCAGAGCAGCAGCGCTAGCATCAGCTCATTGTCATTGGGCCTTCTCGCGCCACTCAGCCCACGCATGTTTTCCCATGCGACGAGCTGCACGGAGCACACATCACACGCGAGCGCGCGCGCGCGCGCGCACGTACACTGCAGCACTCGCGGATTCGCTCGTTTGTTCTTCGTGCACGCTGCTCTCGGCGAAGGCACTGCTCGGGCGACTGCGACGATCGATCGACGATGGTTGGACCGCTGAATCGGCTCCGGGGCCCAGTTTCCGTCGGGACGTCGCGGGCGCAACGTGCCTCGGACACTGGATCGCGCGAAAAAGAGGCCGCGCCGAGAGAAAGAGAGCGATTGCCCGTGGCGCGAGTGTGCGAACGTACGAGATGTATTGCGCGGAGTCGATGCGTGCGTGGCGCACGCGAGAGAAGCGTGATGCCGTCCGCGCGAGAACGCGAGCAAGGGCCAACTGGTGCCAGTGCTGCTACGTGCTGGCCAGCTTGCCAGGCAGCGCGCCTCTCTCTCTCTCTCTCTCTCTCTCCTCTTCTCCTCTCTCTCTCTCATCCTCTCTCCTCTCTCTCGCTCTCTCTCTCTCTCTCTCTCTCTCTTTCTCTCGCAGCTTGCTTTCTTCGTCCTTTTCTCCCGCCCGTTCCACTGCACTCCGCCGCGTTGCTTAGTGCCAGCGCCTGGCGGATCGGGGGCGCCCCTCCGCCGCCGCCGCCGTCACCGCCCGCCGCCGCGCGACAACGCCACACATACGCACACAGAGCCGCAGGCCCTCCACTGCACCGTGGAGGTGGTGGTGGTGGTGGTGCTGTTGCTGCTGATGTGCTGCTGCTGCTGCTGCTGCTGCTGTTGCTGTTGCTGCTGCTGCTACTGCTGCTACTGCTGCTACTGCTGCTACTGCTGCGCTGGTGCTCACGAGCAGTTACCTTCGTCTCTCTCTGTCTCTCTCTTTTTCACCAGCCAGCCCTCGTACGTAGCGCGATACGTGCCGAGCGCGCGTGACTACCGCCCGAATTTCCGTGGTTGTGAGACCTATAGCGTGGCCAGATTGTGCCCTCGATCGCGCGCCCGTGTCTCCCCCCGTTCCCGGCGCTCGTGCTCGTGAACGCGCCGGGCACTCATTTCGCTCGATTGGCGAATCGACGGCTGTAATGTACCTGGCGCCAATCCGATATTCCGGGCGTCTCTCTGGCGTGCGCGCGGCCGATCGCAGGCACGCGTATTCGGGACGACGTTTGTAGCCGAGCTAGCCGCGCGTCGCGCACGCCCACAGCGGGCCAACGGCTGCGGGCGGTATACCTATAGGACAGGACACATAGGAGAGCGGCTTGGTTTGTCATCCTTGTCGGTTGATCCGCGTGTGCGTGGCAGTTGCAACTGCGTGCCCGCGATGAATGGGCTTTCTCTCGGCGGTGGGCGCACACTCGGGATCGGCCGTGGCGTCTCGGAAACGTACGATCGCCTTTATACGAATATATCAATCGAATTCCAGGCGGATCCGACGAGCCGCGACGCGAGTAGCCCCTGAAAGGACGGGGTTTGGGCTAATCCTAAGCGGATTTTCCGAAAAATGCCGTCGCGGACAATGCGAGCCGGCGGAAAATCGGCGAGCGCGCGGGAGCCCATTGTCGGCGCGCCGATGATTTTTTAACGAGCGCGCGCGCGCCCTTCCGGGTTCTGCCGCCTTGAGCCAGTCACGCGCCGGAGCCTTTAATCCCCGGTCGCGGCGCAGGGAGAAAGGCCTGTACGTGCTCTTGGGGATGGACCATTCGTCGTGTGTTTTTGTTGGATCTCGCGTGTCGCCGCTCGCAAATCGCCGGGACGGCTCGCTGGCACGCATCGTTCTCACTCTCTCTCTCTCTCTCTCTCTCTTCTCTCTCTCTCTCTCCTCTCTCTCTCTCTCTCCTCTCTCTCTCAGCCTCTCTCTCTCTCTCTCTCTCTCTCTCTCTCTCTCTCTCTCTCTCTCCTCTCTCTCTCTCTCTCGCTCTCTCTCTCTCTCTCTCTCTCTCTGTCGCTCGCTGCTTCACGGAACGCGGCCGAGTGCGCGTCCATCGCGCCATTGGCCGCCCGCCGCTGCGACCGTTAGCGCCGACCTCTGTCTTACGCGCGCGCACACTCGGGGCATCCGCGAGCCAACGCGATTCGACGTATCGATCGGCGTCGGCCGTCGTCGCACGCGTCGTCCGGACGTCGTCGGGCCTCGCGCTCGTTTCGTGACCCACGCGCGCGGACCGCCGGTTCGATTCGTTGGGCGGGCGAGCATCCCGAGATCGTGGTCGCAGATAGACGCGACCGAGAGGACGGAAAAATCGGTGACCTTGGCGCGCGCGCGCGCGAAGGAGGGAGGGAGAGCGAGAGAGAGAGAGAGAGAGAGAGGAGAAAGAAGCGAGAGCGGCCTTCTGTTATTGAGCGCGCGTCGCTTCCTCCGAGCTGGGCGCGCGAAGCGGAGGCTCGCTGCGAGCGCCGAGTCGCCGAGGTGTTACGCATTGCCTCGGGAATCCCGCGGCGACGCGTCGCGCGCCGGCCCCATTACCCGATAACGCGGATAGGCGCGTGACGCACCGCGCGCGACCTCGTCCGCGCGGCAGTCACTCGCGGTCGCGGCGCGGGCGGCGCACGCGACACCTGGCGTCGAGATCGCGCGGCTCGCCGCCGAGGAAAACCAGGCGTCGGCTCAGCCAAGCATCCCGTCGCCGGCGGCGGACGAAACGATCGGCAGCACCTGCCGGGCCGCGCGCGCGCTCCGCTCGACATCTGCGCCGCAGGCCCCGACTCGGGGCAGCCGACGCAGCTCCCCTCGAGCGTGAAAATTAATCAAGCCGCGGCCGGCCCGATTTTCCGGCCGGAGAATGTCCGCGCGCCTCGCCTCGATCGATTGCGGCGCGCCGAAGGGATCTTCGCGCGCGCGACAGCTGCCAATCGGCGAGCGACTCGTGCGCTCCGCCGCCCGCCCCCACCCCCCGAAATTGCAGGCTCGCGCCGTCCTGAATTATGCAGAGCCGCGGCGAGCGAGGCTCGTGTGCGCGCCGGGGCCATCCGACTGCCGCCTCGCGGACCGACGATCGTGCGTGCGAGCGGCGCGTCTCCGAGCGACGTCCGCGGACGTACCGCGAAGGCGCGCCGTTGATTCACGCGGATGTGCGCGCGGTTTCGCTATTTGGGTCACATCGATCGCCGAGCGAGCTCATGACATGTATGCCCTGCCTCGCAATTACCTGCAATTTCGCGTCCCTCCATCATCGTCGGCAACACACCAATTGTTCGGCGAGTCCGAGGTTCTTCTGCCTCCCTTCGCCCCGCCGTCGTGCATAATGCCGCAGGTTACACTAATGGACGCGAAACGCTGGCCGGCGATTTATCGATTATGTGCCAGCGGTGACAATCTGCCATTATCAAGATCGCCGTCGGAAATGCCACCAACGAGCAGAATCGATCGCGAGTATTTTTATTCGGGCGTATATTCGTGAGCGCTGCCGTCCGAGGCGGTGGACGAACCGCCGGATTCCAGGGAGAGATAGAGCGGCAATGTCGCGACAGCCGACGACGACGATTCGGCCGAAACGACGGCGACGCCGATCGGGGCGCGAGCGTGGCTCGCGTGGCGGATCGTTCGCCCTTATCGCCTCCGAGGATCGCCGATAAAAGGCGGAGGAAGGGCGACGAGCGCCGGAGCGCGTGAAAGCTCGCGGTCGACGCAAAAGAGAAAAGGGTTAGACGATTTGATGGGCAGGTGGATGGAACATTAATGTGCGCGCGCGGCAGTGCGCGCCGCGGCAGCGTCGCGCAGGGGTGGCAGGGGCGGCCGGCCGCCAGTCGCCGTCGCCCGTTGGAACGCAGTCTCGTCGTGTCCGCGACGATGTCGAGCGGTCGGCTCTGTCGCCAGCTGCTGCTGCTGCTCGGCTTCGGCCTGGCGCTCGCCGCCTCCCAGGCTCCCGTCGTCATACGTGGGTCTCCCGGCGCCCGATTTCCCCCGTGGCCCCGCTCGCTCTCTGGCTAGCTCCCTCTCTCCGACCCCCCTCTCTCTCTCGATCGTCCTCCTGTTTCAGTGCTGGTGATCGAGGAGCCGGATGCCGAGATCCTGGGCAGCTTGAACGACGTCGTGGCCGAGGCGGAGAGCCAGTTCGGCGCGAACCTCGTCAAGATCGACGTGAAGGTGGTGCAGGTGGACCGCGAGTTCGTCGACGACAACTACGACAGAGGTGAGGCTCGCTCGCGTCCTGACCGGCGATCCGCTCAGGCGTGCGGCGCGTGGTTGCAGTGTGCGCACAACTGTACAAGGGCATCACCATGATCCTGGACATGACGTGGACCGGCTGGGACAAGCTGCGCGACCTCGCGCGCGACTTCAACATCGTCTACAAACGCGGCGACACCACCATCAGCGCGTACGTGCAGGCCGTCGACGAGACGATGATGTACAAGAACAGCACCGACGCCGCCCTCGTGTTCGAGAACGAGAAGGGTAAGAGGAGAAGGCAGCGACCGCATCCGGCAGCCAACGGCCATCTTGTTCTCCCGTTCGCAGAGCTCAATCAGACGCTCTACTACCTGATCGGCAACTCGATCATCCGGCTGGTGGTCATAGAGTCGCTCACGGCCCAAACGGTCGAGCGCATCGGCAACATGAGGCCCCTGCCCTCCTACTACGTCATCTACGCGAGTACCAAGCAGATGGAGGAGCTCTTCAAGATGGTAACGGGGCTGGAGGCGCGACGCTGCGGCGCGGATGAATTGTCACTGATCTCGTTGGTTTTGGCGCGCGCGGAAAGGCGCTGGAGGGCGGCTTGGTGAAGCGCGACAAGGTCTGGTACCTGGTGTTCACCGACTATAACTACGCCGAGTTCTCGTACTTCAAGGACGCGGCCAACCTGAACGTCAGCGCGAGCGTTCTGACCATGAAGGAGGAGGTCTGCTGCCACCTGATGTACACCGAGGCGCCCTGCAACTGCCCCGCCGACTTCCAGGTGCGACCGCGCGCCGTCCGTGCGTACGAGCCCGTCTCTCGCCTCTCGCCTCTCGCGCTTCTTCGCAGATATTCCCGCACTACTTCCGGCGACTGGTCCACTTGATCGTGGAGACGCTGAGCGAGTGCCAGGCGGCGAACCAGCTGCAGGAGCCGCAGACGGGGCAGTGCCAGAACAAGAACGCCAGCGACGGCTCGGCCAATGCCACGCTCTCCGAGTTCGACAGGCGGCTGCTGGCCGTGAGTATACGCGGGGATAGCCGGGCCTCCGAGCATGCGCGAGATCGATTTGTGCGCAGAAAATCGAGAAGAACGACACGTTCGAGTGGGTGCAGCAGCGGAGCCTGGTCGCGTACAAGGCGGTGGCGGACCTCAAGCTGCTGAACGACAAGGGCGGCCAGAGGGGCCAGCTGGACGCGATCGGCGTGTGGTCGCGCGCCACCGGCATCCAGGCCCTGCCCAACAAGACCATCGAGGCGGCGCGCCGCTACTTCCGCGTCGGCACCACCGAGGTACCCAGCCGCTCGCTCTGCCGCTCTCTCTCTCTCTCTCTCTCTCTCTCTCTCTCTCTCTCTCTCTCTCTCTCTCTCTCTCTCTCTCTCTCTCGCCAGCTAAGCCGCCGGCGCCTCGGCGCGTCTTGCAGGCCATCCCGTGGACCTACAAGAAGGTGGACCCGCAGAGCGGCCAGCCGGTCAGGGAGGCAGACGGCAGCCAGGCCTACGAGGGCTACTGCATCGACCTGATCAAGAAGCTGGCCCTGATGATGGACTTCGAGTACGACCTGGTGGTGCCGACCGAGGGCGACTTCGGCCAGAAGGTGAACGGCCAGTGGAACGGCCTCGTCGGCGACCTAGCCAAAGGCGTAATCACCCTTGATCGTTACTATACTCGAGCGTCGACAGCCTTCTCAGCCGCCGTTTCGTTTGCCCGCACTAGCAAACCGACATCGCGGTCGGCGCGCTCACGATGACCTCGGAGCGCGAGGAGGTGATCGACTTCGTGGCGCCGTACTTCGAGCAGTCCGGCATACTGATCGGTAAGCGCGGCTCGACGGCTCGAACGAGAGCGCCGCTGTCGCCGACTGCAACTCGCGCGCTCGTTTGCTTACAGCGATGCGGAAGCCGGTGCGCAAGGCGTCCCTCTTCAAGTTCATGACGGTGCTGAGGCTAGAGGTCTGGCTGAGCATCGTAGGCGCGCTCACGCTCACGGGCATCATGATCTGGGTGCTGGACAAGTACTCGCCCTACAGCGCCCGCAACAACAAGCACATGTACCCGTACCCGTGCAGGTGAGCGCGCGACCGGCGCGACCGGCGCCACCGGCACGACCGACTGACCGACTGATCGAGCGCGCGCTCTCGCCCAGGGAGTTCACGCTGAAGGAGAGCTTCTGGTTCGCGCTGACGTCGTTCACGCCGCAGGGCGGCGGCGAGGCGCCCAAGGCGCTGTCCAGCCGCACCCTCGTGGCCGCCTACTGGCTGTTCGTCGTGCTCATGCTGGCCACCTTCACCGCCAACCTGGCCGCCTTCCTCACTGTCGAGCGCATGCAGTCGCCGGTGCAGTCCCTCGAGCAGCTGGCGCGCCAGTCGCGCATCAACTACACGGTGCTGGAGAACTCCACCATCCACCAGTACTTCAAGAACATGAAGATGGCCGAGGAGAAGCTCTACCAGTGAGTGGGGGCCGCGCGCTCGCGCTCGTGGCTAGCACCGCTGGCCGCTCGGCTTGGTTCGCAGGGTCTGGAAGGAGATCACCCTGAACAGCACGAGCGACCAGGTGGAGTACCGGGTCTGGGACTACCCGATCAAGGAGCAGTACGGCCACATTCTGCAGGCCATCTCGCAGGTGGGCCCGGTCAAGAGCATCGAGGAGGGCTTCCGCAAGGTGGAGGAGAGCGAGAACGCCGAGTTCGCCTTCATCCACGACTCGTCCGAGATCAAGTACAAGGTCACGCAGAACTGCAACCTGACCGAGGTGGGCGAGGTGTTCGCCGAGCAGCCGTACGCCATCGCCGTGCAGCAGGGCAGCCACCTGCAGGAGGAGATCAGCCGCAAGTACGTCGCCGACGGCCCCTCGACTCGCCTCACGCGCTCGGCGCCGCCCTTGCCCCCCAGGATCCTCGACCTGCAGAAGGACCGCTACTTCGAGCAGCTCAGCTCCAAGTACTGGAACCAGTCGCTCAAGGGCAGCTGCTCCAACGCCGACGACAACGAGGGCATCACCCTGGAGAGCCTGGGCGGCGTGTTCATAGCCACGCTGTTCGGCCTGGCGCTGGCGATGGTCACCCTCGCCGGCGAGGTCATCTACTACCGCAGACGCAACGCCGGCCGCCAGGACGAGCCGCGCTCCAGGGTCGGTGCCGACGCCGCCGCCAGCGCCAAGGGCAAGGACCTCGACGCCGACCAGATCGCGATCCAGAAGCTCGCGGCGAGGCTGCAGCTCAAACCCGCGCCCGCCGTGGTCTTCGACCAGAAACCCAGCCCCAACGCCGCGACCAAGCCGCGAGTCTCCCACATCTCCGTCTACCCGCGGCCCTTCCCTTTCAAGGAGTGATCCCGCCCCCGCCTCTCCCTTTCCCGTGTGTCCGCTGCAACCGCTCCACCGCCTCCCAGGCTGCGAATGTCTCTGTGCACGCCTGCGCAACGCTGCACGCGCGTCAACTGTAGCTGCTGATATCTCGCAAATAAATAGTCCTCACCAAGCTCGCCGAGTTTTCCACGGGGGCGCGCCGGCCACCGGCGAGAAATCGATTAGGCCCGTCGCCGAGCGCCGGCCAGCCGCGTGCGGCAATCGCGCGGCGCTTCCGCGTGCAACGCGGACGTCGTTGCGCGAGAGCGGCTCGAAAAAGAGCCCGCGAGCCGGCAGTGAGGCAATCGGCGCCAGATCAGCCGTGACCGCGAGAGCCAGGCGCGCCGCATTGCATCCTGCCGGTCCGCTCGCGACACCCTCTTCGCCGTTGCGCAACCTCGCCCGGGCGAGCTTGCGTAAGCCGCCCCGGCGACGTTTCCGCGGCCAAGCACGTAACCGCGCCGCGGCCGGCGAGCTTTTTTGCCGGCGAAGAGCGGCGGCGCGTTACGCCGGCGGCCGAGGGGCAAAAACCGAGCCGCGCCAGCGAGACGGAGAAAGTCGGAGGGAAAAGGCGCGACGCCGTTTTTGCGCCGAGCGCTTTCGCAACGCGGCCGCGGCCCGGGTGCCCGGGCCCGAGCGGCCCAGGGCCGAGGGCGGCCGCGGGCAGAGTCACGGAGCCGCGGAGCCGCGGAGCCGCGGAGCCGCCGGGGTGCGGAGGCGCGGGGCCACGGAGCGACGAAGGCGGGCAGGCGACCGGGGCCCGAGCGACCGGAGCACAACGCAAGCGGCCTCGGCGCTGGAAGGGAGAGAGGCGTTACGTCGCGGAGCGCGACGCGGGAGTCGATATAAAGTTGGCGGCGCCCGCGCCTGCCGAGTCACTCAGCGCGGGAGACGGAAGCGATGAGCGCTCGCAGCTAGACGTCCCGAATCGAGCGAAGCAACATGGCAATCAGTCAGCAGGTAGGTCGCGGCCGGGCGGGCCCCGCGCCGGCCCCGGCCCGGGTCCGAGGCGCGCGGACTCGCGGCACCGATCCGGTCTCCGTCCGCGCCTGCTCGCAGTTCCTCCTCGCCAGCCTGCTGCTGGCCTGCAGCGTGCTCGGCAGCCCGCCGGCGCCGCCCGGCGCGGAGCCGGCCGTCGGCTTCGAGCGCGGCAAGGCCCGCTGGCCCGGCGGCCAGCCGACCGACGGCTCGGGGCACGGCGCGGCGGCCGCGGTCGTCAAGCGGCTGCCCGTCGAGGACAAGTCGTCGAAGAAGAGCACCGCGCCGCCGCTCGACGCGGCCCGCTGCCAGGAGGTCAGCGCCCGAGGCGGCGCGGGCAGGTGCCTCAGGTGCAAGGAGCCGAGCAGCGGCGCCACTTACGAGCACTGCACCTACAGCTCGGCTCGGCCGAAAGCCCGGGGTCCGCGATCGAGCGACAGCGGGCTCGCCGCCTCGCAGCCGGCGGGTTACCGCTTCGGCGATGACTTCTTCCAGACCGAGTCGGCCGAGCCCGGCGCCGGCGGCGAGCTCGAGCCGAGCTCCAGCGACGACTGCCGGCGCGAGCGGCGCGACTCGATGCTGTGCATGGTTTGCAAGGATCCGAAGACCAACGGCAAGTACGAGCAATGCTCGTACGTGGGCGGCCGCCAGTCGCAGCCGCCGTCGCAGCCGCAGCCGCGGGCTCGGGCGCATCAGCACCGCGAGCCGCGGGGCAAGGAGCACAAGGCGGAGCGCCGCAAGCACCGGCGTCGCGACGAGGCCGAGAGACTCGGGGCCGGCTCCAGCGAGGAGGCGGCGGACGACCAGGGCTCGCGCAACACCTACCTGGGCTACCCCAGCTTCATCGGCGGCCAGTCGAGCGGCGGTGGCGGTGGTGGTGGCGGCGGCGACGGCGACGGCGACGACGACGGGGAGGCGGCGGCGGACGAGGCTCCGCGCAACGAGAAGCTGCGCTCCGCGGACAAGGGCTGCCGGAGCGTGAAGAGGGACGGCGAGAGTTGCACCGTGTGCACGGACCCCGACACCGGCGCCAAGTCGGAGAAGTGCAACTACAGCTTCGAGCCCAAGGACAAGGCCTACGCGTACAGCAAGTCCCAGAGCTTCGGTTACCCCGACGGCGGCGGCAAGAGCCACAAGCGGCCGCAGCCGCAGCGCCAGCGGCACGACGACCACTTGGACGAGGAAGACAGCGCCGACGAGGAGGGCTACCACGCCGAGGCGGAGAGCCGCGCGGAGAGCGCCGAGGACTACGGCGCCAGCTACGCCAGCCCCGATTACATCCGGTCCGAGTCCGAGCGCATCTCCAAGACGCTGGCGGACAAGGGCGAGTGCCGCGAGGAGCGCCGCGACGGCATGCTCTGCCGGGTGTGCAAGGAGCCGCACAGCGGCGACGACTTCGAGCAGTGCAACTACTCGTACGAGCCCGACGACAAGGTCTACGCCTACAGCAAGTCCAAGCACTTCGGGAGCGCGAGCCCCGGCAGCGGCGAGTCCGAGGAGCCGGCCGGCCAGCCCGAGGAGAGCGCCCACGCGTCCTCGGTGCTCGACTACCTGCCCAAGCCCGGCGGCCGCTTCCCGAGCTTCGCCACGCCCTCGCCGACGCTCGCGGCCGCGCCCGGGGAGGCGCCGCCCGCGCGACAGCTCGACTCCGGCTCCCGAGTGGACAGCGGCTTCGACGGCGCGACGAAGCGCCGCGCCGAGATCGAGCGCATCACCCGGGCGATGGGCGCGCGCGACCGCTCGGGCTGCAGCCGCAGCCTGCGCCGCGGCATGACCTGCTACAGCTGCAAGGACGACAAGGGCTTCAGCAACGAGGAGTGCGTGTTCGTCACCGAGCCCGAGGGCTCGGGCGGCGCGGCGCCGACCACGGCCGCGCCGGCCGCGCCGGCCGCGGCAGCCGCGGCAGCCGGGCGCCGGCGCCGGCGCAGCCACGAGGCCGGCCGCCAGGAGGAGCGCGAGCGCCAGCCGCCGGCGGACGAGGAGCTCGCCGAGGCGGAGGCATACGACTACGTGGCCGAGACCAGGCCGGTCTACGACGCGGTGCTCGGCCTCACGCTGCCCGCCTACATGGTCAACCCGTCCAAGCAGGAGCTGGACTTCGACCGGTCCGCGGAGAACGCCAAGCCCTGAGCCCGCGCTGCCGGGTCCGACCCGGACCGCTGCACCCGAGTGCCCGTTGCGCTCGGTCGCCGCACCACCTGCTGCGCGCGCCGACGACCGCCCGACGGCCCGACGGCCCGACGGCCCGATGTAATTGTCCTCGTGGAATAAAGGAACAGTGCGAGTACGAGAGTGTGTGGCGCCTTTCTTGGACCTGGCCAGCCCTCGCCCGACCCCCCCCCCTCCTTCTTCCTTGTCCCGAGCGCCGACGAGCGCGGACCGTCGAGCCCGATCGGGCGCCGCGCGCGGGCCGCGCGTGCCGATCGCGCCGATCGGCGGCCGGCCGCCGCGCGGCTTCGGACTATTCTGGTTGACGGAAAGCCGAAATACGGCGGCGGTGGCGCGGAGCGGAGGCGCGGCCGCGCGCGTATTTATAACAGTTGGCCGGCGGCGCAGGTCCAGCGCCCGCGCCGCCGACAGTAGTCGCTGAAGCGGCGAGCTACTCGCAAGCTCCCCGACCAGCCAGGCCGTCTCGGTGGGCGCTCTCGCAGAGTCTGGGCTGCGCAACCTTGCCGCGGAGCGCCGCAGCCAGCAGCGACACCGGAGACAGCACGATGGGCGACGCCGCCTGCTCGGGGTAAGCCATCCGCGGCCCGCGGCGCCGGGGCTCCGGGGCTCCGGAGATCGGGCATCTGGCGCCGGAGCGGAGAGAAAGAGGACGCCCCGCCACCCTCGCCGAGCCGAGCCGAGGGAGCGCGCGACGTTCTAAAATTACGCTCGCTCTCCCGAGGTTCGGCGCGAGCTTTCGGACCGCGGATACGCATATGTGGGCCGGCGCTCCAGATCCGGCGCGCGACAATGCCGCGCGCGGCTTTATTTTTAAACCGGCTCTGCTCGATAAACACCTCGCCGACGGTAATTATCTATTATTACTCGGTTCGCCGGCTGGCGCCACGGATGCGGCCGGCCCGGGCCGAGGAGCGCCGAGAGCGCGCGGCTTCCGGGCCGCGTGCCGGAAAGCCAAGCTTGCGCGCGGCCGTCCGCGCGATCTACGGCCGGTGACGTGGCGAGGTGCGACCGCCGGCCGCAGCCGCGCGCTCATCTTATAAGGCAGCGCTCGCGCGAGAGCGCGCTCGAGGAAAAGCTCTCCCCGGCGGCGTTCGGCCGAGCGACGAGGCGCCGCGCCGTTGCCGAGGCTTTCTTCGCCCTTGAGCCACCGCGAACGTACGCGCGAGCACGGACCTTGTCCGCGTAAAGCCGCTTCCTTAAAAGGACTTGACCAATGGCGCGCTCGCCTCGCTCGGCCGCTGCCCGCCGTGTTTTGCGTCCGACGCGCGCGACACAGTCGTGGCTCGCGAACGGCCGAGCTCGCCGTTGGTCGTTCGCTTCGTCTTCTTCGGCAGTCCCTCGGCGCGCCTGGCTGCAGCTAGTGAGTTTGGCGACGCGTCGCTCCGCGCGCTTGTCCCTGAGCCCTTTGGTCCCTCCGGCGACGGGCCGTACGCCCCGACGTTTCCGGTTTCGCGCCTTCCCGCCGCGCGCACGACACGCTTCTTTCTCGTCTACCGCCTACCGAATGCTTCGGACGTGCTCGCGAGTGAGAGAGAGAGAGAAAGCGCGCGCGAGAATTTCGTAGCGGCCAAAAATACGCGACGACGAGTTCGTTCGCAGCGCAAAGTCGTTGTTTCCCAAGCAAAGCCGGACGGTCGCGCAGCGCATCGTATACACGCGGCTGTGCGCGCCAGGCAGGTCGCCTTTCGATACGCGATTCGCCTCGCCGTGATGCCTGACTCTAGAGCGAGATATAGTCGTGACAGACTGTCCGAGCCGTGCCGCTAATTTCTCGCCTGTTTTTTATTCTGTTTCAGAGTCTTGGCGAACCCAAGCCGAGGTGAGTTGGCGACCACGCGCGTCCGCGGGACGATGTTGCGACGATCGACGCGGGCGGTGAGAGAGCCGTCGAGGAGGTCGTTAACCCGCTTTCTCGGTGCTGTCGACGCGGACCGTTCCGCTTTTCGACTTCACAGCTGTCTCTCTCTCTCTCTCTCTCTCTCTCTCTCTCTCGTGCGCGCGAGACCAGCGAGAACAGTCGAGCTAAAAATAATCGAGCAAAGATACGAGATTGGCGCGCGAGAGAGAGAGAGAGAGAGAGAGTGGAAGGTCGGACGGCATTGGGCATGCGACCCAGTTCTCCCATTAATCGGGGCTACACGCAACGGCCAGCCGCAGTGCGCGAACGTGAGTAACCATCGGGCACACGGCAACGATGGTTGTTCTGTTCGCAGCTGCAGCGACAGCAGCAGCGCCGCCGCCGCCGCCGCCGCCGCCGGGAGCCGGACAAGTGCCATCTCTGCGCATCAGCACGGCGTCGGAGGTAAGCGAGCGCGCAACGGAGCCGACGCTCGGGGTCGCGACACTAATCGACGTCCGATGCCTGGCAGCTCGGCCCCCGGAGAGGAACGGGCGGGCAACAACAGCAGCAGCAGCAGGAGGGCTACGAGCCGCCGCCGGCCATACAAAACGCCATGATGACCAAGGACAAGAAGCCCTTCACCTACACGCCCGGCATGGGCGGCAAGCTGGACCTGTCGCAGATCCGCAGCCCGCGCATGGCGCGGCGCGTCGCCAAGAACGCCAACGACGAGGGCATCGAGGGCCCACCCAGGCCGGCCGAGCAGGAGGCGCCGCGCGGCCCTGCCGCGACCAGCGTCTACGCGCCGCCGCAGGTGGCGGTGCCGGTCTTTCCGCAGGGCGGTCCGCAGCCCGGGGCGCTCGGCCTCAGGAACAGCTGCCTGCCGCGGGGCCCCAGCGCCGCGGCCCGCGGCGCGCCACTCGACCAGCTGGCGTTCGCACCGGCCGACGGCCAGCAGCCGGCGGCCCCGCGGCCCGCCGGCCGCGCCGCCGAGAGCCCGCGCAGCCCCACGCCGCCCGCCTCGCCCGCCACGCCCGCCTCGCCCACCCAGGCGAGCCTCGCCAAGGCGCCCACGCCCTGGATGCAGCGACAGACGAGCAGGGAGCCGGAACTGCCCGAGTGGGCCAAGCGGCCCGCCGCCCGCGGCGCGCAGGAGCCGGCCGCGCGCCCCCAACAGCCCGGCGCACCGCCACGGGTAGGGGACGGGCCCCGTACCACCTCGCGCGCGCGCCGCCTGACTCGAGCCTCCTCGTCTGCTTTCTGTCCCGGTGCAGATCGAGGACCGGCCGTCGGTGTTCACGGCCATGAACCAGCCGGGCCACCACCAGCTGACCAACTCGAGCCCGCACCACGTGTCGCGCTGGGGCAACCCGGTCGGGCAGAGCGGCTACCAGGCGCCGCCGGCGGCCGCTGCCTACCTGGTGCCCGTGCAGCTCGACGTCCAGCCAAGCCAGCCGAGCGGCCAGGAGCGCGCGCCGCACCGTCAGGACGCTCGGTACGCCCAGACCGCCTGGCCCCAGCCCCCCTGCCCGATCCCGCTTCTACGCGCCGCTCTGGCTTTGCAGGCGCGCGCCGAGGGCCCACGCGCAGCAGGCCGAGCCCGGGCCCCTGCAGTCCCAGTCCTTCCGCGTGCTGCAGAAGATCACCGACACCTGCAGCCCCGACCAGCCGGACGCCGAGCAGCTGCGCAAGCTCCAGCTGACCGAGGACGACCGCTGCCTCATGAACAAGTTCAAGGAGCAAGGTGAGCGCCCGCGCTTTTCGCCCCGCCCCGCCCCGCCCGCCCCTCTGCCCCGCTCTCGCTCCGGCGTGTCTTTGGACGCGACTGCGAGTAACTGGAAGCTCGGTTATTGCCAGTGGACGGCGAGCAGTACCTCCACCAGGAAGAGGACCCGAGATACCGCGGCGCAGCGATCCCCTCGCGAGCCTTTCGCTACCTGCAGACGATGACGGACTCGACGGACCTGCCCAACTCCAGTAGGTTAACGCACCGAGAGCGCCGAGCGCGCGGTCGGCCGACCCCACTAATGTATCTTGTGCGATTTTCCAACAGCGTCCAGGCCGGCCAACTCCGCCCCCAGAAAGTCCAATAGAAACTCGAGCAGCTTCGGTAACGAGTGCCGCTGTTATTCGTGTTCTCTGTGTTCCCAGCAGCCCGTCGTAACCCGCTTTCTCTCTTCTCTCTTCTCGCTTTCTGTGCGTGTGCGTGTGCGTGTGCGCGTGCGTCTCTGGATTGCTTCTAATACTTGCTTGCCTGAAAGCGCTCTCACCGCGCTGCTACCGTCGCTGATCAAAGCGCTCGACGTTCTCTCGTTGCAGAAGAGGTGCCGATGCAGCCGTACATACCGGCCAGCCAGCAGCAAGTGCAGGAGCCCAAGAAATACACGGGCGCCGCCATACCCTCGAGGTCCTTCAGGATACTCCAGCAGATGACCGCGCCCGAGAGCGTCGGTGAGTAGTACGCTCGTCTCGTTGCCTCCCGGCGGTCCGTTTTATTTTTCTCTTTTTTCTTTCTCTCGGCGACGCTAACGTCGGATGAAAACCCGCGCTCGCTGGCGAGACGTCGCTCTCGCGGCCCATCCGCGCAGTCCCGAGGCAACGTTTCGCGGGCAAAGAGTGGACTCGACGTTGGCGCAGCTGCGCGCTCGAGAGATCCTCGATGCCCGCATGCCGCGTACGCACGGCGCTCGAACGACTATCGCGGAAACTATTGGACGTGCCGCCGCGTCGGCACTTGCTCCGAGCACACCGAGGCAGCCGGCCTCGGCCCGCTGCGCCTTCATCCGTCGCCGTGGAGCTCTATACGCACCAGCACGGAGATGCTCCGATGCTCGATCGTGCCTGACATTCGTGCTCTATCTACCCTTCCGCGCTCACATTCAAAGCCTCGCTATAGTTCGATCTCCGCTCGCATCGCACCGACAGTCACGTCGGTTATCCGCATTCGTTGGACTCGCACGGCAGTCGCCGCATTCGACGATCTACATCGATGTAATGACAATAGACATTTTGAAGCAACAGAGATATTTGACAGCGAGAGAGAGAGAGAGAGAGAGAGAGAGAGAGAGAGAGAGAGAGAGAGAGAGATAAGGAGGTGCAATGTGGCATCAACGCGCGCAGACGAACGTCCACGGGGATTGGCAGTTTTGTCGTAGCAGTCAAGGTAGCGCAATACAGAAAACGGCCGGCAGGCGTCAGCGACGTGCCACGTGCCGCCCGGTCGGCAAGGTGTCCAGCCCTTTCCTCCCTCTCCGCTATCCTCGGGCACAGCCCCGTTGCGACAGCTGCGACCACGGCGCATCTGCCAGAAACTCATCTGCTCTTTACCTAGGACGTTCTTGGGGATGCGATTCGCCGAGATACGAGGCGCCGACTTGTCCACAACCCTTAATCCGCCACGGCTGCAAGCGCGACGATTCTCGCCCCGGGAGATGCGACGGCGGAGATAACGGCGCAGATAGCGGCGGCGTTCGCGCTAACGGCCACGAGCAGCAAGGAGAAGAAGGGATAGAGGCGGCCGACGACGACTCGATCGACCGCGAGGAGCAGGGCGCAGCGCCGAGCGGCGCCAGGGCCAAGCGGTACGCCAGGACGCAGACCCACTCGAGGCTATTCGAGCTGCTGAGCGAGGAGCGGCTACGCGGCGCGGCCCCGCCGCGGCGCAGCGTCTGCTGTCCGCGCACCGACGCCGCCAGAAGCGTGCCGCACCAGCACCGGCAGCGCCGCCACCGCGCCAGCGCCGCCGACCTATCCGTCGCGCCCTTAACCCCCAACGGGCGCTGCTGATCGCCCGAGGAACGGGTCGCTTGCGCGCGCGGCTCGCCTCCTTCAGTCCGCACGCCAACGGAAAACGAGCGATCGCGCGAACCTTTACAGTCGCTGGCTGCAGCCCGCGTCACTTGTTGCCCATCGGTACTTATCAACGTTATTTCAGCTTTTGCATCTCCACTCACTCTCACTCTCTCTCTCTCTCTCTCCCTCCCTCTCGCTGTGCTTCACACGTCTGCTTCTAGATGTAGGATGCCGCCCGCGCGGCGTCGTGCGTTTCGATAAATTAATGCACGACGCGCTGTGCCGATTGCGCGCGGCGTCGACAGAAACCGAACGATCGATCCTCGCCGCCCCCATGGCGGATTCGAGCAGGTGGTCTTGTCGGAAAGGAGAGCTGATCGCCGCACGAGCTTCGCGGACAGCGCCACGGCTTGCCGAGCGACGTGCGCGCTCGCGTCTCGTCGCTTCCGCGCGCGCCGAAACGCACGCTCCCGACGGCGGCTGCAACCGAGTCGGTTAATCGGTGCGTGCCTCTTTTGCAGGTCCCGACGTCACGGACTACTGAGCGGCAGCGAGCGCGAGACAAGGCAACTTCTACATTGCGAATGCAGTGGACCTGGCTGCCGCGCGTATACTTCTCTCGCTTGGATCCAATCTCTCGCTCGCTTTCTCTTTCTGTATAACGTTTTTCGGGCTCAGCGGGCGCGGAAACCGACCGCGCGCCGTGCAACTGCCACCGAATCGATCCCTAATCGCTTCTGCAATAGATCTAATTTTTTTTCTACGACAATGCTATATCGCTCGAAGATATGCGCGTTCGCTTGCACGCAATTCGCGCGCTTTCACTTTTACACCATCACTATGTACATTTATTAAGTATTGTATATAAATAATATACAATAGATATATGTTTGATAAGACTTATCGATACAACACAGTTCGATTTCTCTTGGATTAATCGGTTCTCCAATTAATGTATTTGCTTTTATTTTCTCACTCTTTCTCTCCCTCTGTCGATTGACAATTTCAAACTCTTATACTTAACATTAATATATACGTGTACTTTTACGTGTGGAGGAAAGGGATTGATAGGAAAACGATAGATAATGTATGTGTATCGATTAACGTGGTTATAAAAAATTAAAAAAACAAATAAAAAAACAAAGAAAAGAAATACGGCGACAGTCCTTTTACGCCATTGTTTTTGATAAATCAGCGACAATATACAGGTTGAAATTACATCAATCGTCGTTCGTTGGCAAAATGGATTGATTTAATCTATGTGCAAACGACAACAAAACAAGGAAATCGATGTGTAATGCTCAAATAAAAGCTCATGAAGACAAGAGTTGTATTCTTACCGTAAGCAGGTACAATCTTAACTATATATAACACTTGATGTTTGACCGAACTTTGAAAATAAATTGTATAAAAATATTCTCTGCCTTTATTATTGGTCGACCTTTATTATCACCTCCTATCCCAAATCAATAGAACTAAAATTTCACGAGTTCTCGTCTTTCGTGCAAACGTCATAAATATATATTAATAAGGATCGAAAAGGGCTCGAATGTTTGAATTATTGTTGATAAAGACACTTGATAAAGTTACCGACCAAGTAGGCGCAAACCGTTCTAGAGGCGCCAGCTGCCGGTTTGGTACATACGGCTCTACTCTACACTACAGTGACTCGCAACTCTACACGCTTTCCTAACCTAGGTAGAGAGCTCCCGAGATAATTGTTTATTTGTTTCAACATTTTTAATAGATTTAGCTGATAAAATGCCGGAAAGTACTAAAACAGAGGTTTCCAAGGCTGTACCTGAAAAGAAAAATGATAAGGAAGAGGACAAATCCGATATGGTGAGTAATTTACCTACCCTGCAGTTCTGTTGTTTGCATTGTTCAAATGATCGTTTGTTTCCGAAGTTAAAATTTGAATGAGCTCTTCTACTCCGAATTCTATCGTTACGCCAACTCAATGCTTCGTTTCATTTCAGTCCGAAGAAGACAAACTTTTGCAAGAAGAATTGAATCAGTATGTAGAACAATTGCAAGACTCGAATACCAAACTGTATTTAAACGCTTTGGATTCGCTTCGAACGCTCATTCGTACTTCTACGACATCGATGACGAGTGTACCAAAGCCATTGAAATTCATGCGTCCGCATTATGATATTATGAAAACTGTGTATGAAAATCTGGTGGATCAAAAATGCAGGGAGCTGTGTTCCGACATTATTTCTGTCCTAGCAATGACAATGGGTGAAGGCAAAGAATGCCTTAAATACAGAATAACAGGTATATTCTCAAAATTTTTCAAATATAAACAAAGACACAAACAATCATTATTAACATCAATAATTGTCAAACAGGTTCAGCACTTAACATTGGTGAATGGGGGCACGAGTACGTGAGACATGTTTCAGGAGAGCTTGCTGGTAAATGGGAAGAGCTTGCAATGGACGGTTCAGAAGATATGCAGCAGAAATTGATTGGACTCGTTCACGAGATTGTTCCTTACAACATGGCTCACAATGCAGAGACAGAAGGTTGCGACTTACTGATGGAAATTGATCGACTGGACTTTTTGGAGCAGTATGTTGATGAGAGTGCTTATCAGAGAGTGTGCTTGTATTTGACAAATTGTGTTCCATACGTTGCTGATCCAGAAAACAGCACTCTTCTACATGCAGCGCTTAAACTTTACAAAAAGTTCAATCAGTATCCACAGGCTCTTAGGCTTGCTATGCAGCTTAACGACTTGCCTCTGATAGAAAATATTTTTACAAATTGCCCAGATCTGTAAGTAATCTTGAATCCTCTTAATACTAATAATGAGGAAGACAGACGAAGATATAATTAATGAATCGATCTTTAATTTCAGATCGGTCCAAAAACAGTTAGCATTTATGCTCGGCCGTCAACAAATTTTTTTAGAGCTGCCGATATCGATAGATTGGTACGACGACCTTGTGGAAATAATGACCAATTCTCATTTGAACAATTACTTCTTGAACTTGGCTCGTGAGCTGGACATAATGGAAGCAAAGACACCCGAAGACGTTTACAAGTCTCATCTGGAAAATTCGAGACCACCGTTCGGTGGCGGACAGGTCGACTCGGCCAGGCAAAACCTGGCAGCAAGTTTCGTTAACGGCTTCGTGAATGCCGCCTTCGGTCACGATAAACTACTCATTGAAGACGGCAATAAGTGGCTGTACAAGAACAAGGAGCACGGCATGCTCAGTGCCACGGCTTCCCTCGGGCTCATACTCTTGTGGGACGTTGACGGTGGCCTGACCCCGATTGACAAGTATCTCTACTCATCTGAAGATTACATAAAGTCGGGAGCTTTGCTCGCGTGCGGAATCGTCAATTGCGGAGTAAGAAACGAGTGCGAGCCAGCTCTCGCTCTGTTGTCCGACTACGTGCTGCATAACAGCAACACCATGAGGATCGGTGCTATCGTTGGTCTTGGCTTGTCTTACGCCGGATCGAACAGAGAGACCGTACTGAGCTTGCTTATACCGGTGCTCAGCGATCCCAAATCCAACTGGGAAGTCATTGGCGTGACTGGCCTCGCTCTGGGTATGGTTGCCGTTGGCTCGTGCAACGCTACCGTTACTACGGCCATCATGCATACGCTGATGGAAAAGACCGAGAGCGAACTCAAGGTAACAATTTTTTTTCTCTTCTCTCGATCAACATTCGTAACCGTTGCTCACTTGATGAGCTTCTAGAGCTTAGTTGAAAAAGCAATCCAATCCCCCAGTAAGTAGACGAAAATTAACGTTGATATTTGCAGGACACGTACGCTCGCTTCCTTCCCCTGGGATTGGGTCTGTGCGTGCTGGGCAAACAAGAGGCGGCTGAGGCTATAATCGCCGCGCTCGAGGTAATCCCCGAACCGTTCAAATCCATGTCAATGACCTTAGTGGAAGTGTGTGCCTATGCGGGCACTGGTAACGTACTCAAAATTCAACACTTGCTACACATCTGCTCCGAACACTACGAGCCCTCGAACGAGAAGGAAGAGTCTAGCAAATCTTCGGGCGCCAATAAAGACAAAGATAAGGCCAAGGAGGAGAAGAAAGAGGAGAAGGAAAAGGATCTGAGCTCGAGGCAGGCGATCGCCGTGCTCGGCATCGCGCTCATCGCCATGGGTGAAGAAATTGGGGCCGAGATGGCTTACCGCACTTTCGGCCATCTGCTGCGCTACTGCGAGCCCGTGATTAGACGCTCGGTTCCTCTGGCCCTTGGCCTTATCTCTGTCTCTAATCCCAAGCTCAACATACTTGACACTTTGTCCAAGTTCTCGCACGATAGCGACCTCGAAGTGGCGCACAACGCCATCTTCGCTATGGGTCTGGTGGGCGCAGGCACCAACAATTCCAAGCTCGCCCTTATGTTACGCCAGCTTGCCCAGTACCATGCCAAAGACCCAAATAACCTTTTCATGGTGAGAATTGCTCAAGGTCTTATCCACTTGGGTAAGGGTACCATGACCCTCTCGCCTTACCACAGCGACCGACAACTGCTCAGTCCGGTCGCCCTGGCTGGTCTCCTTGCCACGCTCATTGGATTTTTAGACGTCAAAAACAGTTAGTCTCGCTCGCTTTTACTACCTTAAACTTTTTTGACGATCTGACACTTACATCGTTTACCTTTCGCTTGCAGTTATTCTGGGACGTTCGCACTACCTGCTGTACACCCTGGCTGCAGCGATGCAGCCGCGTATGCTGGTCACATTCGACGAGGAACTACAACCGCTGGCGGTTCCTGTGCGCGTGGGAATGGCCGTGGATGTGGTTGGCCAAGCAGGTAACCCTAAGACCATTACCGGCTTCCAGACGCACACAACGCCCGTATTGCTGGCGTACGGTGAGCGGGCTGAACTCGCCACCGAGGATTACGTGCCCCTCACGCCCATCATGGAGGGTTTTGTGATTTTAAGGAAAAATAAGGACTCGACATAAGGCTGCTTTTTTTCTGTGTTTTTTCCGTTTTATCCATAAAGCCTGTACAATTAAGATTTATATAATTAAAATTTGAATAATTAAATCAGCCGCTCAATTGATTTGATAATGCTGTTCCCTCTTCTCTGATATTCAAAAGAACAACGATATTTCTGGATGTCCTTTGACCAGTCCCCTCTTTTGCACCTAATGCACAGAAATAATCCAAGTTTTTTTCCCAAACATTAACCTCCCATCTTTTACCGCCTTACTTACCACTGCCATGGTGATTAGGAAAGATATCACTCCTGCTGCAAGTATTCTCGTGTCTTTCTCGTCTCTGCGCTTGTAATGCTCAGCCCAAGGTCCTTCGGGAACCGTAGCTTCGTCAAATAATGATTTTGACTCGGATCGACAGCAGTCGTGTGATTGTTGCCGAGCTTTTATTACAGATTTTTGCCCGAAGTTTAAGCTTTGCTTCAGATTGGAGTTTTGAAATAGTTGTCCTAATCATTGAGATAAATCCGCATTTAACTATAAAATTTTTATATTTTTAAAATTTATGATGCATGAATTACGTACCGCTAATTGCCCGTCTGCATATGGAAATGCTCTTTTTTTTCCAGCTCATCGTTCGCGAATGCGTTAGCTTTGTTCCACGCGAAATAATAATCCAACGATCGACTCGTTAAAATGAAACAAAAATCATCGGATGCGATGAATGCGTTTCTTTACACTGAATATTTTTGCAAAATCGATTCGTTGATTTTGACGTCGAAAAAAAGAAAGCCCCTGGCAATGTTTGAGATAAATGAAAATCAACGGATATATAAAAAGAACGACATCGAAGAAACAAAATAGTAATAGTTAAACTGACTAGACTGCATAACTCAAATATCAGTCAAACGCCGATACAATATGTCTATTTTATTTTTCATCCGATTAAACTATTAAAGTTATTAGACGAAAGTAGGTTGAAAGTTCGCACCTTCATTCAATCAGCCTAATAATTTGAATCTAGCTATTGAGTTTTTTTTTAATAATAGTCGTCATTATATAGTGTTTCTCCGATACAAATTAAATTTTCTTTTTATATTTTCAACTGTATAGTTTAAAACTGTATAGTTAAAATAACATTAAAAGCAATGGTATTATCCAAATCGTATTTAGTATAGTTGCATCTTGCATTAAATTGTAATTCTTGCATGTTCGTTTCATTTTCTTATCTTTTGTCATTTATACACGTTCGCGTTCGTTCCACGCCAAGGCAAACGACATCGTAAAAAAGGAAACGAGGAAGGTAGAAAAATGCAGTTGGAGCCTCGAGGCAAAAGTCAAGGTTCAATGCGCCTCTTGATCTTGACTCGTTGCAAGAAAGTACTCGTTGGATAAAATTTCTCTCGTGAAGCCGACATTTTACGGGAAATCTAATTTTAGATTCGGATCGGGGATATTCCGATAATTTGAAAATATCAGCACGATATTAATCGAAAGAGCAACGGCGATCGATAGTTTAGCTCACTGGAGGCATGCAAGTGTAGGTAAACAATGACGATGCACTGCAACATATGATCCTTGGATGGATCTAAATTTAGAAAGTTTAAACAGTGTCGTAAACGCAGCACGTAGCGCGCAGTTTCCACTGAAAATATGGCAAAATTAAGAGTGTGACTAAAGCAAACTTTCCGCGAATCAAAATCAAAGGAGTAATCCGTGACGTTGTGGTCTCGTGTAGACAACGTCATATCAGCTGGCTTCGAGGAATCCATAACAAAGGTTTGTACGTATACAATACAATGGACGAGCTCAGCAGCTAGTACATTATACGCCATAACGCGCCTAACTTTTACTTTTTTTTGCGATTGCATGTCGTTTATTCGATTGATCGTAATAATGTTTTGAAAGCGAATTGTTTATTCTTCAAACTATAAACAATGTAACGCGACACTAATTAAAATACTCCAAGTTTATTGCAGTAAAATCAAACTATTGTTTTTATGCGATCATCTTGCATTTCACTCAACAGTTGGCAACTTTCTCATTGCAACCTTTGAATGATTAATGCAAAGTTCATGGGTCCATGGTTTTTACATTCCTTGTTTTTCAATGACAGCAAGTATGAGTCATAAAGCAATAATGGTGACTTTGGTGAAACAATGACTACCTCAAGTGCAAGAAAAATTAAAGTCTAAAATGGCAAAGCAAGTTTGAGGAAGCAGTTACTTATTCAGAGCTCAGTGGGTGTTCTTTTTATAGAGACTGTTCGACCTCATTTACAGCGGCAACCAGATTAGTCAACCTGTAGATATTGCTGGATACAGTTGGGTGATACTGCACAACAGTACAAGTGCTCTTTTATGAACTACAAAAATGCCTAACAAGTATACTTTGAAATAAAAGTGATTTATATTTGCTGTGTTATTAATTATAAATTATTATCTATTTACTTTCATTGTAGAAGTGAAGAAGTGAAAGATGTTCATAACGATGAGAAAAAATCTCAAGTTGCTGAAGCTTCCGGATCAATAGATTGTGCGTTATCTGCAAAAAGTAATGATCAAAATACCCTGGGAAGGTATGTATCGACTGTTAACTTTTTATTTTACTGAAAATTTTAGCAAAAATTGATTTTTTAATTTTTATATAGTGTGCGCAATTTTATGCTGGATGGTTGGACTACAGCTTCTCCACCAAAATTTGTTTCCCTCGAAGAAATTATGAAAGCTGCTAAGGGAATGCAAAATATGGCATTGGCACACGAAATAGCTGTTGATAAAAACTTTAAGATAGATAAGTTGGAAGCAGAGGACAATTCATTGCACAAGACAGTTAAAGAAATTGTACATAAGGCTTTTTGGGACATTTTATCAAATGAGCTATCCCAAGATCCACCTATTTACACGCAGGCTCTACGTCTTTTACAAGAAATAAAAGAGGTATTTGAATTTTTACTATCACTGGTAAAATACATTTTTAATAAAACATTTTAATATTTTGTGTTTAGTCATTAGATGAATTGTTGTTTCCTCATAATGCCAGACTAAAAGAAACTATCAATCAAGTACTTGATATAGATTTGATAAAACAACAAGCAGAAAATGGGGTGCTGAATTTTCCTCATTATTCTCAATATGTTATTTCAATAATGGCAAAAATTTGTGCTCCTGTGAGGGATGAAAAAATTGAAGAATTAATGAAATGTACTGATGTAATAGAAACTTTCAGAGGAATAATGGAAGTATTACAACTAATGAAATTAGATCTAGCCAATTTTACAATCAGCATGATAAGACCAAACATTGTAGCATCAAGTATTGAATATGAAAAAACGAAATTCGCTGAATTCCTCAAAATCCAAGCTAATGGATTGCAATACACCAAAAGGTGGTTATTAAGACATTTAACACCTGACATGATTAATGCTGCTTCTACAGATGCCAATTCACTTAAACAACTTACACATTCACTTTTGGCTGAAGCTTATTTAGATTTATTGGAACTTGACTTTTGTCCCAACGCTGAAGTAAGTTCATTTTACTCTATAATATTTTTCAAATATTAAAAAAAATAGTTGATAGATATCTAACAGAACAATTGTAGACTTTAATGTTGGATCAAGGAAGATTACTTGATTTACGTAATAAAACGAGTAGATTGGCTATCACGGGCTCTATTTTGTTGTTATTAAAGCCCTTACAGCATCCATTAATCGACCAACATAAGCAAGAAATCAAAGAACACGTTATGGTTCTATTGGATTCCGTAGAATCCAGCAAGTACGTATTTATTTTATATTTCAATTTGATAAATTCAAGTGTAATTTTACCAAGATACATACATTTTTTTAGTGATTTAGAAGGGGTTCTGCCAAATGTTTTGATTCAAGTAAAAAGCGATATTCAAAAAATTCTTCAAAATTCTGATGATGTTACGGCTAATCCAGAATTTAACAACTTTCTGTCTATTTTAGAAGGGCAGATAATCGAATTACATAAGCACGATCATAAAATTCGTCAACTTGTTAGTGAGTATCAACCTCCAATATTTTTAAATTTTTTCTCTACTGCATTTGTAATGAATGGTAAATATTTATAATTCCAACTTTGTAGACTCCAGAATAAGACAATTCTTACAAAAAATTATTGTATCACAATCGGCGGCTCCACAGCAAATACCCCCCGGTCTTTCGTCGCTTCAAAAAGAATTAACTGATATAGCAGCTCAATTCGCAATACTGATCGCTCATAATAGAAGTGTCTTTAGTGAATATTATCAAGAAATTGTTGCCACTGCTATCAACGAAACAAAATCTAGCTGTAATCTAAGTGCAATAGAAACAAATACATGATTGTTTTAATTTGTAATTCACTTATAATTTATTTTTTTATCCTTTGTAAGGATGATATTTGTTGATATTTTTGAGAAAATTCATTGGCCAAAACGTACTGGATAAAGTCATCTATCGGAGATAATAATTGTTTTAACTCTACATCAATTGCTGTCGCATCGAAAAAGAAACAGCTATGATGGTACATTTAAAAAATCTTGTAGTAACGATCGATCATAAATGAATTTTATTTTTTAATTATTGATGATGATATTTCAGTAATTTTGAAATCATTCAGAGCAAGTATTTTATTTATAGTATAATATTAAAATTGAATCAAGAATGATTTCTAACCACTGTATTTAGAAAGCACACACATTTTCTTCGAAATGTATGTAACCTGGATATAAAATATTGTAGCAAAAATATGTATACAAATTATTGACATTGTACATTTTAAATATTTTACAAAGTAAAAATCATTTTTCTGGAGCATAGATCACAATTAAATTATGTACATACGTACAGTATCATTTTTTATATAAATATACTTCAAAACCACTAAAAAGTAAAATATGTTCAAACAAAAATATACCAATACTGTACAAAATGAAATAAATAAAGTATATCCGCCTATATTGGATGTAGCCATTGATTAAAAATAAAAATTCTAAATCTCAAAATTATGTGTATCATGAATTGTAAAAATTGTCTTATGCACATTTGTATACCTAAGATAATCATTGCTTATAAAATATAGCATAACTATAAAACTTGAATATCATATGAACCTTAACAGGTATTTTTAAGTTTGATACTCTTCAAGATTGCCCCAAGCTGAACCAACTTTGATTTTGACTGGTAACGGTACGCGAAGTTGAAAAGCATGTTCCATGGATTCTTTGATTATGCTGACGACTTGTTGTAAATCTCTTGAATTCACCTAGTTATCGTAATCTTCGTTAATATGCTTACTAGTAATGTAAAATAATGTGAGTGAATAAAAAATATACCTCATAAAGTAATTCATCGTGGAGTTGTAATACCAAGTAAGCACCGCGCAGTTGCGAGTCTTCGTCAGTACTACGTAACTTTCTTTTATCTTGTGTCGTTGGAAAAGTCATCGGCATATGTGAAAATTTATCTTTCAGTTTATTTTCGATGAGAACCATAGCTTTCTTCGTGATATCCGCTGCCGAACCTTGAACTTTTGTATTGACAGCTTGACGTTCTGCTTGCACTGCAAAGTAATCGATAGTGTGGCAAAACTTTAACTTTATTCATAAAAAGCACGAAAATTATTGAAGTTAAATTTACATTTGATCGATGAAATTTTACTGTTAATGCCAGGCAAACTTCGGCGTCGGCCAGTTAAAGTCGACACAAAACCGTCAAGTCTAGCTTGCTCAATGGCACTGTTCAACCAGCTGCGAATTCCTTTGTAAGTTCCCATGAACGACTCCAAATAATCTTTGGCTTCAGATTCACTTACGAAGAGAGATTCCGCTAATGACTTTACGCCCATTCCGTAGATCATAGCGTAGCATAGTTGCTTAGCGCGTTGTCTCATGTCATCGTTGACCTAATTTTTTTATAATCACAGTTGTAGTACAGCTCTGCGTTGAATTAGAATAAGAAAGATAAAAAGCAAAAGACGTACCCCCTCTTCCATAATTCCGTGAAGTCTTGCGGCAATGTTTTTAAAAATATCTCCTCGTCCTTGTAAGAGTTTGCACAGTACAGGATCATTTGAGAAATGAGCTAAAATTCGGAGTTCTAACTGGCAAAAGTCTGCGGATAACATGACGTTGCTGTCTACAGGAACAAATGCCATGCGAACACTTAGTATGCAGCCACTAAAATCAATTTTTATTTGGCTATTCTCTTCAAATTACCCCAATCATGATGAATAAAAACACAAGCTACCTTATTTCTGAAGTAAAATCACGAGGTATAGTTTGCAAATTGGGCTCATGCATAGAAACGCGACCCGTAACTGTATATGTAATACAGTTACCATGAATTCGTTTATTTTTCTTTTCCAATTGGAGTAACGGATAAACGATCTAAAATTTTACATATTTAATCGATTTTTAATGAACGATTTTTATTTAATTCTAACAATAGAAATTTTAGTCTCACCTTTGTCTGCACGGTACTCAATTTTCGCCAAAGTGTTACCAGCTTCGAGATTGGATTTTCACATGATCGTAAGGTATTTTTATTCGTACACCCTCGTCCTTTTTTCACGAGCCCAAGCACCTTAGACAAAATATTCACTGTGAATCGCAATCCAGCCACCATTTAACAAATATCGATTTATCCATAATACCTGAGACACTTCCTTAGATGAATAAAAATTAAATTTTCGGCCTGCAAGTCGAAAAGCTTCTTCCTCTGCGCGAGATAGGTCATTTTTAATCACAGTAGATAGTTCTTGTAATGCTGGTGTGTTGATGCCAAACCCTCTCAATTCCATCCTTGCCAAAATTAAAATCGTTGGCATTTCAATGTCTACTGAATGAAATTAAGTTGAGTGAATAAGTTTTATTGAAATAAAATTTTATGATTAAAATAAAATATCGTTTGCCTTCATAACATTCTAATAAAGTTGAACAATGCTGTTTGATAGCGTTTAAAACCCCCTCAACTATATACCACGTAAGTACCACTTTGATGCCAGCTTTCATCGTTCCCGTGAGCGCGTAAGTTCTGTAATTATTTTCATAAATAGTTGCTATGTCGATACCCGTCGGAAAATATTGAGCCGTCTAAAACGAAAATAAGAAATAACAAAAGTATTAAAAAGAAACAAAAGAACAACAACAAATTGTTTGCACACACAATTTTACCAGTTCTGTTAAACTTTTATTACACGTGTCAGAGTTGAGAAGCCAATCTCCGGTTTTTGGATCCAAGAATTTGCATGACGGTTCAATATCGCAGCATACGTATAGCATCTTGTATACCTCTTTGGCATTAAAGCAACGCATGGTGATTGTTCTATTAGTTAAGATATCACGCAAAAAACTTATTCTTTCTCTGATTGTTATTTTAGTTTCTAAAAGAACATTTCATATGTTAAATCCAAATTGTTAAGTAAATAAATTATTTTTCCATAATGGTTACCTCGAGTATTAGTAAATGGCAAGTGATACAGTGAGTTAATACCCCACGAAACAATTACTCCAGTGAGCTTCCGGTCATCATAAATGTACGTATTCGATTTCTTTTCCTTTTTCTTCTTTTCTTCTATGCCAACGATCCTTTTACCAATAGTACTCACGGGTTCTTTCAAATGTGGCTCAGTAACTAGTGATAAAGCCAAATTATTCCTTTGGCCAGACTTTAACGAACTCTCTATGTCTTCGCGGAATAAACGAAAAGTTCGTTTTGAATTAACAACGTTTACAGGTACTATCGACTCTGGTCTAATTTTTTCATCTGCGTTTATCACGCTGAAATAACTGTCGCTTCTAAGGGGTTTAGTTTTATTCGTCGGTGACACGTGTTTCTTAATCTGCTTCTAAAACGAGTCAATTCACTATTAAGTTTCAATTGCTATCTATAAAACTGATTTTCCATTTACCTTTTTTGCCTTCTGTTCTTGAGATCTCACCGTATCATCCGAATCAAAAAGCTCAATACTATCTACGTCTTCGCTATCACTCGAGTCGCTTTCTGCACGATAGTCAGAGTTAGGCTTAACCAATTTTTGCTCTATGCTATATTTAGATTGCAAATTCAAAATCTTCTGAGATTTAAACAGTTTTTGCGTGTTGACCAATAATTTCTTCTCAATTCTACTACGAGTTTTGTTGAAGATAATTGGTAGTGGACTTTGGGAATTCAAAATTGATTCGTCTGAATCGGATTTCCTTATGCTGCAACAAAATAATTGATTTTTTAAATAAATGTATCAAAGCTAAAGTATTGCATTGTTTGTTTACTTGGAAGAGCAGGGTAAATTTCTAGATTCGTAACTTCTGACACTCTTTATAGGCGATTCCCTTATTTTATTAAATATTTGATGACGGAAAACGCTTATCGGTGAACTTATAACCGGTGACTGACTAGTTGAAGCTTGAATCTTGCTAAGAGCTGCCTGAGTTGCGGCTATTGTCTTAAGTCGCGTTTTTAGTCTAGAAGTCTGCAGAAGCGACGGACTCTGTTTTTCTTTATCCTCTTTACTTTTCTTTTCGTTAAATGGCAAGTTTTTAGACTGATCCCAAGAATCTTCTACCCAAGTTAGTGGTTGTGAGATTTTTTTTAAACAATTTATTTGAGTACATTTATCCAAAGAGCTATTTTTTCGATTTGTATTGTTTAATTTCTTGTCGGGTTCTTCTTTTGTTTTACTCTCATTATTGTTACGTTTTGGTGGTGTTGCATTGTCGATGTTGATACTTTTGTCGGGAAGTTTAGGTGTCGTAACAGTTTTTTTAAATACTTCAATTGACCTATCATTTGCAAAAGTTTTCGTCGCTTCTGCCTTTTGCTGAGTAAAACTGCTCTTTTCAAAGTCAGCGAAACAATTGGGATCAATGACATTTTGCTCCAAAATACTGCAAATTTGGGGATCCAAAAATGAACTATCGCTAAAGAGACTGGGACTCTTGGTACAATTAGAACCCGCCGAAATCCTTGGTTTCTCGTAATTTGCCTTTCCGTCGATAATAGGTACAGGCATTGGTACGGTATTCTTGATATTTTGTTTTTCGACAGCTTGCATCATTTCTTCTAAAGCACACTCACTGATAACGAAAGATTCTGACATTTGATTATCTTGAGCTTTTTCCTGCTTTTCCATTTGAAAAACACCAAAATTTTGAGAGCGAATAGTAACGCAATTTTTATTCAGAGAACTACCTGCTTTTTTTTGGTGGTTGGGTGAGTCGGTATTCTTTAAGAAGTCTTGTGTAGATACAGCAATGTGACTCCCCTTTACCAAAGTATTTTCTTTTTTAGAAAGTTTTGGTGAATTATTACTGTCTAAAGAGTCTTGTGTACATATAGCAATATGATTGTCCTTTATTAAACTTTTAGCTTTTTCGGAATGGGATCTAAGAATTCGAGAGCTTGATTGTTGATTTTTACACTGGCTAATAACGCGTATTCCGGGAAGTATTGACGCATTTTCGTTAGCTTTAGAGAGATATTCAGTAGCACTTGCGTGAGAATTTCGAGATTCTGTCTGTTTGTTTTCGTTGACTTCGTTTGTAGACGCGGAAAGATTTTCATTGCTGATAGATAGAGATTTATCGACAATATCGTAGCTTTGTTTCTGAAAAACTTTCAAAGGCCCGTCAGGTGTTTTTTCAATGGCTAAATTTATTTGAAATACTGGATGGTCTTGTACTGATATAGATCTCGTAGGAGTGATGATACTTAGTATGCTAGATGATTTTAAAGCAATTCTGTTCCCATCTGGTGAGCTTGGTTCGGACGGGTTGACGTTGCTGTGAGCTTGTCTCCACTGCATATCGCGAATCCCTAGCTCGTTCTTTTAAAAAGTAAAAGAATAATGTATGTACGTTCACGGGTAATTTTTCACAGAGTAGAAAATAACTTATGTTACCTGAAGTAAGGTTCTAGCTTCTCTGATGACGAGATCTGCCGCTTCGTGGGCAGTTAAGCCGTCTTTTCCAGTGATAAAAACTGTTCTCATTTTAGTTTTCTTTGCGATTTCAGCTTCAGTCTCTCCGTCGAAGTCTTTTTCGCTACATAAAAAAACGTTATTATCGCTTGGAAAACAACATTGCATCAATCATTACCTTTCGAAGGGAAGAGCTTTATTCAGTGCCTCTTCGATGTCTAGCTTATTAGCGAACGCAAGTTCAGCAACAGTTGTGATACCATGCTTGTATAAGCTTCGAGCACGAAGACCGTTTAAGCTAGGCACTCGTAAAAGATCAAGCAAATCTCTGCTCACGCCAAAATGTAGTCGAGTTTGAAATTGCGCAAAAAGAAGCTCCATGCAGTCCCACTTTAGCTCCTTGCAAAAATTCGTCACCATACCTAATTGAACGTCAAAAAATCAATACTAAAACAAGAGCAGATATAAGAAAACGAATTCAAGTTCCTTTACCTGCAAAGGTTGACGATGATTGCTGTAGGCTCTGCAATAAACCGCGATTGCAATTGTATTTTTTGCAAACGGTGTTCAGTGGCACTTCGCGAACCAAATCGTGTAGCGCCATTGCAGTGAAAAATCGACGATGAATGTTTAACTGGAGTGAGTAATAAATTTCAATAAGCAATCTTCAAAGACAGGAAATAATTTAGATCGACCTACAGCTTTGCTGGGCTTGACAATGCCACGCACAGCTGCCATCAAAAATCTTTCTTCGACACCCACAAGCTGCCCAACGCGCTTTTCGCTCTCCGACAAGGACCTCCAAAGCTCGGCGTAAGACATCCAATCAATCGTACTTATCTGGCTGCCAGTGTTGAATGGGGTCACCAAATAGATCACATGCAATTCGGTGTCCAGGACGAAGCATTTCCGAGCTCGTTGCAGCTCCTCGAACAGGAAAAGTCCCTCGCGCGGTGCGATCGAGGCTGACAAGCAGGCTTTTCCTAAACAGGTTGCCACGATTCTTTGCTCGTTCTCTTCTGAGTTCTTGAATCTGGTATTAAGTGAAAACTAGCTTCAGGCTAAATTTCATGTTTTTTTTCGTCATTATTACTCACTGTAAAAATTCATTTGAAATGAGAAAGTGCACAGCTTCGTCAACCATTTCTTTCACTTGATCACTTGCACATTTGAAGACAAACGTACACTTGCTGTACAAATCGAGATCTCGAGGGGTGCGCACCACTTGACTGGCAATGGCCTCGAGAAGGGCTCGTATTAAAGGACCTGAATCCTCTAAACACGACTCAATTGGTTCCAAAGTTGAGCTCATTAAATTGATACCTATTGGCCGCTCGTTTGGTTTACAAATGAGAATACTTTCGCCTAGCGATCGAGTTCAATCAAAAATTACAAATCTATTTACAACATGACAAACAATAGGGTTTAATGGACTTTTACCTTGAGTGTCTTTTCCCATACGACCAGCTCGCCCAATCATTTGTTGATATGTTAATTTATCCAAAGGCTTGCCGTTAAAAATTGGCGAGCGTATAATGACTCTTCTGGCGGGTAAATTCACACCGCTACTCAATGTCGACGTTGCTATCAGAACTTTGAGCGCTCCTATTCGAAAAGCTCCCTCAATTATATCGCGTTCGTCCATAGTTAAACCAGCGTGATGAAATGCTACTCCGAAAGACACTGTCCTCTTCAATACGTTATCTAGCCCAACCGGGCAATGTTGAAGTTGAGCCAATATTTCTTGAACTGCTGCTAGATCGATATTTTTCCGCAAAATTTGACCGTGAAATGTGTTATCACGACCTACAATTTGAATCATTAAAGTAACCATTCGAATTAAAAGCATCTTTAAATTTACCTAATTGTAAAAAAGTTGATGCCATTTGAATAGACAACTTCTCGCACCAATTTTTAGTTGGGCAAAATATTAAAACACCGTGACCTCCATCAATCGTTTCTATACACAATTGAATGATATTATCTGTATCATTCACTATGTCTGTAGCCATTGGCAATTCTTTAATTGCATTCATCTTTGAATCATACAGAGAAAGACCTATCTAAAAATAAAACATGCAATAATAGCATTATTAATGTATGACAAATCCAGTGAACTTTAAATTTTCAGTATACCTTGCATAGTTCATTCAAAGGAATTGGTCGAAAGTCAGTTTTGTACAGTTCTGCATCCAACCAGTCTGCTATTAATGAAAGATTTGGAAGTGTTGCTGACATGCCGATCAACTGAATGTCTACATGTTCCAAACTGAAAGACAAAATTATTTGAAGAACTCACCATATCATGCAAACAAATTCATTGCCTTTACTTTATACTCATGTATTTTAGTTTTGTTAAAAGCAATTCTAATATGTAGCCTCGACTTGGATCACCAAGCAAGTGTAATTCATCAATGATAACAGCTCCCAGAGTCATCAAATCTCCATCTTCCATTAGTCGATTAATTATTGAATTAGCTTTCTCGATTGTTGCTATTGCAATGTGAACAGATGAGAAACCTCCAGGAGGAGCCACTCCTCCCATAAAACCTTCCACTCTAACACCACTATCAGACAGTAGATCCTAATAATTGTTTGCAATACCATATTAATGGTTTCAAAATAATCTTCAGTTGCATAAAAATACTTACTTGAAAATAGAACATCTTTTCTCTGACAACAGAAACAAATGGCAAAATGAATATTGCTTTCTTTTTTTTTTCTAAAACTGTCTTGAGCATAAGAAATTCAGCTACCAGTGTTTTACCAGCTGATGTTGGAGCTGAGTATACTAAATTTTTGTTTTCTTCTAAAATTTTCTTATTGGCCAAACACTCTACTTGCCATGGAAACATAGATTTGATTCCACGAGCTTCATATCTCTAAATAAAATAAATATTTGATTCAACTTTGTATTAGCATATTTTATTTACTAGAAAGATAATACATTTTATTTACCTCTACTATTAATGGAGGTAAGCCCCAACTGGATAATTCAAGACGTTTCTGACTATCTATATCACTCAATATCTGACCGCTCAATATTTTTGAGCTGCAAAAGCTAGCAGTGATATTATTGAAAATATCACTTTTATTATTTTTAAAAGATGCAAAACATTTATACGATCTTGCAACTGACAGACTTGTCGAAGAATTTTTATAACTTGAGTCTTTAGAACATGGATTAATGACATTTTCCACTTGTTTAGAAATTGGCAGGAATTGTAAAGGGCTGCATTTTGATTTTTTTAAAGGTGTAAAATTACTCGATTCATCAGTTTTATATTTTTTTCCAACGATTCTGGAATTTGTGTTGACTAGAATATTTTTAAGCGTATATGATACCTCATTTTCATCGTATTTTTCAGCGTTAAAATTTAAACAATTATCATTATCGCGGTCTTTCTGCTTCAGTAAACAACTTGCATCTTGCGAAGTTTTCAAACGTTTCTTTTTTGCAGTTTTGTGAGACATGATTGTTACTTAAAACTAAAGAAATTAATAAAATAAACCAACTTGTTATTAATAAAAAATCAGACTTGCATGATCATGGTTTTAGAATCGTCACTCGTTAACCGACAAAACAACGCAAATTTCAAAAGCAGTTATTCTTAGGGAGTGTTTTCATTTCTTTTAAAATGAGAGCTGGTGAAGACTTGAGATGAGATTTGCCGTTGAATTTACGCTTGTAATTGGCCAATGAAGTTCACCAATCACAGGCAGTCATCAGGGTCGAATGGACTTGGTAACTGCTATGTGCGTTCGCTTAGCTAATGTGGACCAAAATGTCAAGAATAAGCTCTGCAATGTAATGCCGAAATGAAAAGGAGAAGCATTACAATTGAATATATTTAAGAATAAAAATTTTTTTACTCTAGATTAGATTTAATATCAGAAAACAAAACGTAAGTATTTTATATTGACGTACTTCTAATATATAATATAAAGCAAAATTACACCTCGAGGTAACCTATAAATGTATTTTTGTAATATCTTTTGCATGAAAGATAATTAATAACAACGAATAATTGAATGAATGACTGGTCAAATGAAAAGGATTAGACAACTACAGAGAATATGCATATGTAACATACAATTTGTCATTCCTAAATGTCATCAATATGAAAAGACTTACTATTTTATTGAAATTTTGAAAAGAATGTTTATTTTATTGTAATAAACATGCCAAATGTTTGTATTGTCACTCATATTTTAACGCAGTATGAAATAAAGTAACGATAAAAAAAAAATAAAAAAAATTCAATTTATATTTGCAAATGTAAATGTTTAGATGACGACTAATTCGATAAAACGGAAAGCTGACACTCAAGTACCAGCCGAGGAAAGTGACCTGCTGTTAATTAGACCTCTGGGTGCTGGTCAAGAGGTCGGACGTTCCTGCATAATGCTCGAGTTCAAAGGCAAGAAAATCATGCTCGATTGTGGAATTCATCCGGGCATGAGCGGCATGGACGCCCTTCCCTTCGTTGATATCGTCGAGGCTGACGAAATAGACTTGCTTCTGATTTCTCATTTCCATTTGGATCACTGCGGTGCCTTACCCTGGTTCTTGTTGAAAACCAGCTTCAAAGGCCGCTGTTTCATGACTCACGCGACCAAAGCTATCTACAGGTGGCTACTGTCGGATTACATCAAAGTTAGCAACATCGCCACAGAGCAGATGCTCTACACGGAATCCGACCTAGAGGCTAGCATGGACAAAATCGAAACGATCAATTTCCACGAGGAGAAAGACGTGTACGGTATAAAGTTTTGGGCTTACAATGCCGGCCACGTTTTAGGGGCTGCGATGTTCATGATTGAGATAGCAGGTAAGTCGAGCGACATGTTCGAGCGAGAGGGCTTGGCATCGAATCAATGTTTTGATTTGTAGGCGTGAAGATTTTGTACACCGGAGATTTTAGCAGACAAGAGGACCGGCATCTAATGGCGGCGGAGATCCCGAACGTTCACCCAGATGTGCTGATCACGGAGTCGACTTACGGCACGCACATCCACGAGAAACGTGAGGACCGCGAGAGTCGTTTCACGAACCTCGTACACGAAATAGTCAATCGGGGCGGACGCTGCCTTATACCAGTTTTCGCATTGGGTCGAGCGCAGGAGCTACTTCTGATCCTTGACGAGTACTGGAGTCAGCACCCGGAACTGCACGAGATTCCGATCTACTATGCGTCATCGCTGGCCAAGAAGTGTATGGCTGTCTATCAAACATATGTGAACGCAATGAACGACAAGATCAGGCGGCAGATCGCAATCAACAACCCATTCGTGTTCAAGCACATCAGCAATCTGAAAGGCATCGACCATTTCGAGGACATTGGGCCGTGCGTTGTGATGGCCTCGCCGGGTATGATGCAGAGCGGCCTCTCGCGTGAGCTCTTCGAGTCCTGGTGCACCGATGCCAAGAACGGCGTGATTATAGCGGGTTATTGCGTGGAGGGCACCCTCGCCAAAACCATACTCTCCGAGCCCGAGGAGATAACAACGATGACTGGCCAGAAGCTACCGCTTAAAATGTCTGTAGACTACATCTCGTTCTCGGCCCACACTGACTATCAGCAGACCTCAGAGTTCATCCGCACGCTGAAGCCGCCGCATGTCGTACTCGTTCATGGTGAGCAGAACGAGATGAGTCGGCTAAAGGCTGCGCTACAACGCGAGTATGAGGATGATCCGAGCACCAGCATGGAGATCCACAATCCGCGTAACACCGTAGCCGTGGAGCTGTACTTCCGTGGCGAGAAGACGGCCAAGGTGATGGGAGCCCTAGCTATGGACACGCCGAAACCCGGCCAGAAACTATCAGGAGTGCTGGTCAAGCGCAACTTCAACTACCACCTGCTCGACCCTTGCGATCTAGCCAAGTACACGGACATGAGCATGAGTCAGGTGATTCAGCGTCAAAGCGTTTACTATTCGGCCTCGTTGCCCACGCTCAAGCACCTGCTCACTCAGATCGCCGGCAGTCTCGACATAGTCGACGACAAAAAGCTGCGGGTCTTCAAGAACGTCGACGTGACGATCGAAGGCAAAAACATTACGATGGAGTGGTTGGCCACCCCGGTTAATGACATGTACGCCGACGCGGTACTCACAGCGTTACTGCAGGCCGAGACCATGGATAGCAATCCCAAGATGCTCGCCGCTCCTACCAAGATGGATCGCATGCACTTCAAGGAGTGTCTCATCGAGATGCTGCAGGAAATGTTCGGCGAGGACTCGGTACCCAAGATTTTCAAAGGCGAGAAGCTCTATGTGAGCGTCGACGCCAAAAAAGCTCACATTGATCTTCTTACTCTGGAAGTCACATGTCCCGAGGACGATACCTTTCAGCAAATCATACAGACAGCCGTCACTAAGCTGCACCAGTCCCTCGCACCTCCTATCGATACCTGAACCGACAATGTTCCCTGTCAACCGAGATCCTAATTATTCTTCGTACGACAAAAGACGCTCTGACAATCGTGTGGCTTTCTAGTTGCACGGACATGGAAAAGCCTCGAGCCATCCATTCATTATTCTATTTCCATCTAGTGTTCCTCTCTACTGGTATTTATTTTGCGCCACGTCATCGACTGTGCGCAGAGGAGATTACTCGTTACGAAATCCAACTAATTGGTACATGTACGTATATAAGTGGCGAATGTAATAGGCTCACGCGATGCCTAGAGAGGTCAGACTACGAGATAATAAAAGAAAAGTGACAATACTTTTTGTAACGTGACAAAGAAAAATGTTTTTTATTCATTGCGTGGAGACAGAAAGGCTGGTGAATGCGAATGGTATAAGAGAGAGAGAGAGTAGAGATTGTGCGAATATGATAAATTAATTAAAATTTAGTGTGGGGCCGCTTGTCGAGGTAAGCCTTGATCTTGGGCGTTGAACGAACGGTTTGGTCGAGTTTGTCCAGCGCCGGGAAATCCTTGACGAACTCTTTCTGGGCGATATTAGAGATGAGCTCGATGATCGCCGAGAAATGGGTGTCGGCCCAGCTCAACTGGTTGCGTAACAGATAAAAGCACAGAATGTTATCTCGATGAGCTATCGATTTGGATTTACTCGCGGTGAGCGTGGCATACCTTGCCGGCGACGAAGTATCCGCCGTTCTTCTTCACTCGTTGTTCGAATTTAGCCAGGTACCACGGGGTTTTCTCAATGGCAAGCTCAAGTAGTTTGGCTTTCCTGGCCGGCTCTTGTTCGCGGAAATGGGCGGAGTAATCTGCAAGAGCGCGCGAAAGTTGTAAAACATGCAAGCCTCGGCGATCGATGCAGCTCTTTGAAGAGTGCTATAGCGTGTTCATACGCCTCGCCGTGAATAATTCGGTAAAAAAATGAAGCGTAATTTACATAGCCTGCAGTCCTCGATATCGTCGACGCACATATCGATCTCCAGCGCCTCGAGCTCGTTGCTGCCATACAGGTTGCCCTTCTTGGCAAGATAGCGGCTGATGGCTCTGGTTTGATGATAGACTCGGCCATCGATCTCCAAAATCGGTATCTGCTCCATTGGCATCTCTGCGTCACATTGTGGATATTCGTTGGGTCATTTCATGGCTACATAGTTCGCGAGCGGCACGCGATAACGCTCGGGCAGAGAGCAATTCAGTACGGCAGTCCGCGCGTTGAACCACATAGAGCGCCACGGCGTTCGATCGGCAAACGCCCCCGATAATTTTCCCTCGAGCTCAACGTGGAAAATAACCACGAAGGGAGAGAGCTCGCGCGGTATCTCGGCACGTCCCCTGCGCGATCTTATCGCATGCCGCTGATCGCGAGCTCATTGCGAAACGCGCCAATCGCGCCCTGACGACTTACTGGACTTTAGAGCGGGCCAATCCTCGAACTCGACACGGAAGTCCTCGAAGTCGATGCCGGCGTAGTGCAAAAGGAAGCGCAGCGGCTCGCCCAGGCCGGTGATGTTGAAGTAGGTGAGCTTGTAACTCGGCATGGTCGCGGTAGCTTTCGCTCTTCGATTCAACAAGTGTTCCTTGGGATAGCTGCGGTCCGAGCTGCGAGAGAACGCGAGCGAGACTACGCGGGCGACGCCGCTACGAGCTGGCCTTTTAGATTGTGCGCCGGTCGTTATGCCGAGCGACTGCTGACTCGTTTTCCATCCCCCCTCCCCCTGCCGTGCCACTCCCGCTACGGCTCGCACAGATCCCATATCAGCCTGTTCTCGACTAAGTCGCTTCTGCCTTTTGGAATTCTCGTGTTAGTCGGCAAAGGATTTGGCTCGTCCGTCGCGATCTCATTTGATTCTGATAATGCCCGCGGCTTGAGAAAACGTCGAGATTTTTTTTCTCAAATTGTGAGAATTTTCAGGATTATTGTATTGGTTGCGAGCAAGCCTCGAAAATCGAATTATAAATAGATTATTCAAGGTCTGTGTACCGTACGTCTGAAATAACTTTACCTATCCGCACTTTTGTTTACCTGGAACACACAACCATGAATAGATCTTTTTCCACATGGAAGATTTTGTCGAGGCACAACATTGTAATAGTTGAATTTCTAAGACGGCTATCGTGCTGTTGTGTACCACCTTTTATGCCACAGCGTGTACACTTGCCTGCGTCTGCACGGTCTACGGTTTCTTTCATGCTAATCCGCGAGCATTCATCTGAAAATGATTTGTTTTCCTTATCATTTTTTTTTCACTCACACTGTGGGTTCACAAATCGACATTTCAACATCTCGTAATCACGTTGAAAAGACGCGAACGAACCTTCCGATACCATTATCTGCATAGTCAGACATTTTTGCTGATTACGGTATCAGCATCATCGCAATAATTGCGACAATGAAGCGAGTGAACAAAAAAAAACAGGAAAGGACATTCGAAGGAGGAAGATGTTCGAGCTGAAAATAAATACGCCGTTACGTTTTTTTGCTTTTGAAATTTTTGTCCCATTATGTTCTCAACTTTATTTCGTTACGCTAAGAACTAAGCCATTAGTTAAAATCCTCGTTGATTTTACATAGACGACAAAAATACGTTCTAATATTTACAAATGAGGTGTATAACGTAAGCCTAATATAGGTATAATAAATCTGCAAAAAATCGACTCAGCATCTCGTCGGCAGTGGACACGAGCAGACGCGAGCTATGCACACTACCTACGTTCGATACAATTAAGTAGTCGAAAAAATATCCTTCTCGCTTATTTGTTAGTTAGCATCATTTTTTTTCTTCGTACTTTTGCGGAATCGCCAATTCGTTCGTACAGAAATCGACCGTTCGGAGGGAAGAGGTATTAGCGATGCTTCATAAGGACTTGCGAGGATCAAAAGCGAATAAACGACAAGAGATTTTTAAGATTAATATTACGTGCAGATCGTCGCATCTTCAAATCATTGCATCGTCAGTAACGATGGCAACGATTTTGCTTGCGTATCCTTCCGCGACGAGACGAGTGCCGCTATCCTTCGCTCATCATTATTTTGTTCGAGTTTCTTTTGTTTTTCACCTTCTTCGCATTCCTCATTTTATCTCATTATTATTTTTTTCGCCTCATCTTTAAATCAGATTTTACAATCGCATAACAATTATATGTGAAAATAATAACAAACGTACCTAGTTCATTGTTATTTTCATGACAATTTTTCCCATCGGTCAATTCGTGACTTATTTTCATCATTTGCCGATTTCTAAAACATTTACTAGTCAGTTGAATTCATATTAATTGTTCTATGTACAGATGAATATTACATTGCCGTACTTATGTGATATCCACTAGCAATAAAATATATTTATATATATAATAATGTATGGTGTATAGTGTCGAGTTTCCAAAAAGGCAGCTCAAGCCTTTCATCTTATTTATTTCATTATTATTATTATTATTTTTTTGTAATTTTTTCCGTTTTCTTTTGTTAAACTTAATAACGACGATATTTTTCTCTCTCTTCTTTCTCATTCGCGATTTATACCTGTGATAAAAAGCAGCCCCGGTCAAAAATACCCCAACACGAAAGAGCGAGTTAGAGATTACAGAGCAAGCTGTCCGACGCTTCATCGTATAATAATTTTGTTTGAGCTTCTGTTCAATTCGATCCGCGTAAATATGGATCGACCAATATAGGAGGGAATAAACAATGGCGCGTGCAACTGGTGCGACGAAATTTAGTCGTTTAATAATTAGTGAAACTCAGCTAGTCCATCAAGTTTCAACCAGCCACGACGCTTATTCATATCATTTTCCTCGGCTTTTAATGCTCAAAGCGCGGCACTTTTACCAGGGATCGGAATTGGAGAAATGAGGAACAGCCGGGCGTCGCGCTGATAAAAAGCGCTGACATGCCTGCTCGCGTTTCAAATTTGATTGGGGCGCAGCCTGCACTTCGTACACTTGTCGTCACTGCGACAGTAATTTTGACGGCGATCACGACGACGACGTCCTTTTGCACATAAATTCATTAATACTCGCGCGAGCCTCCTCGCTTTCTCGGTCCCAACAAACAATCATATAGCAAATATACATAAAATTGATTTTTTTTTCGTTAAAATTTGGCTTAAACAACGGATACATCTCGGTACTCGTTAATACGTCCATCCTGATTTCCGTTTAAATCATCGCCATCGACGGGTTGGTTTCGCACGTTTCTAATATTTGTGTATTGTAATTTTTTTTTGTTTTTTGCTTTACTTAAAGGGGAACTCGTCGCGCGAGGTGTGACGAATCAATTGATTATAGTTAATGCCATGATACACGTATTATTGTTTTGCTACACGTTTGCGAATATTAGAATTACTATTAGTTCCTGTTCAGTTTGAGCCTCGCCATCCTTTCTGTCTCTTTCTCTCTCTGTCATTGATTGTTCGTTTATAACGGACAACGACGTAATCAATTGTCATTGTATTTGACACTTGAGCAGGCGCATGTAGGCCACGCCGTATTTCACATACACACGCAAACACACACGTGAACACACCCGCGTATCCGTGCGTTCGTGCATACGGACACACACGCACACATACGCGATTGGGCTTTGAGCTGCTCTCTCGACTCGATCACACGCGCGAACATCCGCGTGTAATGCTCAATCTACATTCGATATAATGTAGTCGCTCAAAAACGAGAAAGCACGCATTCAGGAGCAAGCAACGAGTGTGGAGCAGAAGCCAGCAATATTTTGATGAAACGCTTATCAATGTCAATCGTTTTTCTTTTCTCAGCCATTCTCGGCTTTTATCATTTTTTCTACCTTTCTCTCCGTTTTTTTGCTTTTAGCTATCGACTGTCTTAGTTGTGATAAAACAAACAGAGAGTTATCGCAATAAGTTTAGCAAGTCTCGCACTACGAGAAGCCTTGCGACAAAGTAAAAATAATATGTAATATCTAAGCGAGGAAGAAAGGTAGAAACGAATATTTTTTTCTTTTTCTCTTTTCGACAATAATATCTCGAGCTACTAGGGAGGCAGGACAGTGAACGCACGTATAAGAAACACAAATAACACAAAGATTGCTTTTGTTGACGCACGTCTGTCTCTCTTTCGCAAAAGATAGACGGCATATATATCTATAGTGTACATGCAGAAACTGCAGAAACTGACGCAATATCGCAAACGCAGAGTAAATCGATTCGACTGAGCCAGAAAACGCTATGCTGCAGACGAAACCAAAGTATTAGCATTAAACAGCACAACAGTTGGGCGTGCGTAGAAATTTTTAGACGTTACTGTCCAACTCGACGACTGCGGGCACCGAAGAAAAAATTGAGAAACAAAAAAAAATAAAAAAAAAGTAACAAAGGAAAACGTGTCGAAACAACAAGAACGGGACGACGACGATGATAGAAGAGGAGGGAGAGGAAAAGAGAGCGCATATCGACGCGATAACGGTAGCATGCGCACGCGCGACTTGGTGCAGTGTACAGAGCTTCGCGGCTCGTCCCGCCCGATTGCCGAGTTTCGATTGGATAGATGCATAAGAGAGAGAGAGAGAGAGAGAGAGAGAGAGAGAGAGAGAGAGAGAGAGAGAGAGAGAGAGAGAGAGAGAGAGAGAGAGAAGGAGAGTATTGCAATGTTCGACGACTCGCGAGAGTTTTTGACAATGATTTATTTCCAACCGAAGTCCACGCGCGCGTGCGCGCTCCTTGACACGTCGAAAGCAAAAGAGAGTGTATAATAGTACATTTCGATTCTAGTGTGAGAAAGTGATTTAAACCTCATGTGCAGGTTTGCACCCGAGCGAAGCAAGAAGGCGAAAAAGCCACACGAGGATGAAATTACTTTCCATGCATGTGTCTAACTTTATTTTTCGATACGACGCGTGCGAACTAGATTGGAAGTACATACGCCTGCTTTCCTAAGTTTGCTTAAATTGAGTCCTCGTGCACGGAGTGTCGAAAATGTTAGATGATGCATTCTCATGGCTCCGTTTATTCGCCTAGTTCCGCATTATATATATTTGTTTATAATTATGTACACGCGCTAGAATTGGCTCTGGTCTCAGCGAAATGAGTATGGGTGTGTGTGTATGTGTCGCGAATAGGAGATAGGGACGGGATTTACTTCACACAAGCGGCAACGCATGCCAAGAAGGGGAGGACGAGGAAAGCCGGAAGTGCGAGGCGAAAGTAAAAGGCTCACGCGCGTCGTAACTGCACTTGCCGTGCGTGTGTGTCTCTCTCTCTCTCTCTCTCCCTGTCTCTATTTTTCTGCCGCTCGCGCGGTCTTACGCAAAATCTGTGGCGAGGAACGAGCAGTGAAGCACGCGCCTCTTAAGTACGCGCTTAGCGAAACAATCAGCGGGCCGACATCTCGCTAAAGAACACACTTTGAAGACTCGTTCGTCGAGTTAGAACGTATCACAAGATCGCCCCCTTCGCCTCTTTCTCTCATACACTCTCTCTTTCGTTCTGCGATCTGTATTGGAATTGCACTGGTACTGCATCGTCCCATTGCCTCGGGATGATGAGCTGCCGTAGTGTGAGGTGGCAATCGGCTGATGGTCTCCTCCCTCCCTCTCTCTCTCTCTCTCGTGCGTGTCGCGCTTCATTTCGCTAGTCCCGCTTCGTCCTCGGACTTGTTCTTCTTTACAGAATGCAGCAGGACGCCGAGCAGCAACTGCTTCCGCCGCCTTTGCTCTTCTGCCTCTGATCTACAATGCAACAATGATAATAAACGCGCGTTCGCCATCTCGCGACAAGCGATCGAAGACGATGCTTGTGTAATTGTCGAGTTTATCCGGACGGCTCCTCGTCGCGAGGAGCACAACCGACAAGCGGACGAAGGAAAGGAGACAAGGAGTGGCGAGGAGAAAGTTTATTGGCAAATTTTAATTTGGGAGCGACAGGAACATCGATGCAGGCAGGTCAGCAGTAGTCGTCGGGCAGCACGTGCATGTACTCGCCAGTGGGCAGGATGCCTGCGGAAAGTAGAAGGAGGAGAAGAGGAAACGGCAATTGGGGGGAGGGGGGGGGGCTAAGCCACTGGATGATTACCTTGAGAGTTGGGCTCGGGCAGGTTTTCTCGGGGCACCAGGTGCATCACCGTGGTCTTGCCAAATGGAAGCCCGAGAGCGCCGAGCGTGACGTTGCTGTGCAAAAAGCGGCCCTGGTATATCAGCCGCAGGATTTCCGCCTTGGCCACCGCCTCTTCCGTCCAATCTGCAATTTTGTCTTTTTCGGCGTTAATGTCACGGTAGACGCACGGAAAAAGTGAATTCCAATGCTCACCTTCAGGCCAATTCTCGAAGACGTGATGGGCAATGTCCCCCGCGGAGTCGCTCGGACTGAATAGGAACTCTTTTGTCTTGCCGCTGACGAGGATGAGGCGCAAGTTGATCTGTAACACACGGTGTCGGGCACTTCGTCAAATGCTTCGCCACTTGATCCTGGCGCTCGTTCGCGTTGTTCGTCGGTCACTCGGAGTCGCGAGGGAGTCGCCGACCGAAGGTTCGAGCGAAGGAGAGTCGAAAGCCGCGAAGCAGCCACAAAGACTGACGCGCACACGTGCTCGCGGCGTCGCGTGGACTTGACCCAGTTCGGGCGGAAAAGCGGCGAGATTTCAGGGCAATTTCAGCGCCGCGGAGGTGTGCGCGCGCGTGCCGCGGGCCGGGGAGGGGGGAGGGGCGGGCGCAGCACCGAGCGGCGCGGAGTCGAAACGGCAACGGGCAATAATGCCGCTTCGACGGCGATTGCCAATGGAGACGGGAAAGTGCGCGTGGAGAGCGAAATCGAAAGCCGAAAGCGCGCGGCGAGCCGCAGCGGAGAGGCACGTTGCGGCGCCCGAGGTTCGCTCGCGCGACTCCTGAAAAACTGGACGAGCGGAGTACGCGGCGGCCGAGGTCGTCGTCCTGACCGAGCGAGATCCTATTATTGCGGTATAGGCGAGTTACTGTTACGTCTCTCTCGCTGGCGCGCGCCGCCGAGACAATCGAGGCGGGACTGTCGGTCGGGGGCCTTGGGGGCGAGCTGCCGCCTTGGGCCGGTGCGCGGGGAACCGATCCTGGGAGCTCCGAAATTTCTCGGGCGCTCTCTCGCTCGACCCGCGAACGCGCGCCGATCGATGGCCGGCCGCGCGGCTCTAATTGCCTAATGGAATTGACCGAGATACCTCCGCGGGCCGTGGAGGCGAGCTTCCGACCGCGAGCGCATCGCCACTGATAATCCGATAGAGGTGAAAGGAAACGAGGCGTTCCGTGAGTCACGGGGCTGTGCCATCGCAGACACGTGCGGGACAGGCCGAGCGAGTGCATCGTCGCGCCGCTCGGCAGAGAGAGAGAGAGAGAGAGAGCGCGCGTGTGCGGGCAGGAGGAGGCGGCACATCTGCTCGCCAGTTTTCGAGCTAAAATTGAAGTTGCGCGCGGTGCAAGCGTGAGAACGCCGAGAAAACGACAACGAGCAGCCGAGAGTAACGCGAGATTTCGACGTCGACGACGACGACGGCGACGTCGAGCGCGCGGACTTTATTGGCTTTAATTGGCCGACCAGACAATTATTCATTGAGTAGCTGCTGCTGCTACTGCCGTCGCCGTCGCCGCTGCGGCTCGTAAACTACCAATCAGAGCAAACTGCCGCTGCGGAAGGTCTCTCTGTCTCTCTCCGCCCGTATCAATGACGAGCCATTCGCAATTGAGCTTTCGAGATGAGATTCGACCCGATCGATTGTACGCACTTCCCGGACAATTATGGCCGATCGCGCGGCCTGCGTGCTCGAACCTCGGTCGCGCCGAGATCAGCATCCCGCTCGTGCCGACTCGGTCGACGCGCTCCCCGTCATCCGCTTCTTGCCGATTCGAACGGGCGGAGGGGGCGAGCAACTCGCCACTTCCCGATTTCTCGCTGCGCGCTAAGCGATGAATACAAACGAGAGCTGCTCGGCGAGAATCGACGGCAGCAAGCCTCGTGGTGCGGCCAATCAGAGCGATAACCCAAGAGGTGCAGCGAGGAGAATGTCGAAGCTGCCTCGATTCGTGCTCGAGGTTGTACTCCCACGGCGCGCAATGTCGAGCGACGCGACGCGCCGCTGCGAAAAACGCGGGTATTTTTATCCGCGCGGCGAGTACAGATGAATCACAATCAACGAGGGAAAAAAAAAATATAAAAAAGGCGCGTAAGAGGGATGAGTCAGAATTGAGAGTGCGCGCGAATTCAGCGGCGGCTGGATTGGACGAGCGAGTCGCGAAGTCAACGGCGCGCGCCGTTGTTTTCTCGCGGCGAGGCCCAAAAATAGACGCTGGTATCTAGAGCGCGTTGCACTTTGTGCCAGAATTAGCGGGGGCCAATTTTCCTCGCAGCTGCGACGCCACGAATACCCGGGACTCTCGCGACGTCGAAAAGCGCGAAGATGCAAGCGCTCGACCAACAGGTGGCGGACGACGACGCGGCGACGGAACGAGAAAACAAGAACAAGAGAAAGCACAAGTCCGAAAGAAACGACAATCTGCTGGTGTACGTGTGGAGTTTGAAACTCGAGAGGAGCGAGCGCGCGCGCGCGAGCTATCCGGTGCCGCGGCCGAGATTACGTTACCTGGGAGCGAGGAAGCCCAGCAAGGGTGCGAACGCCCGACGACGGCAACGGTAACGCGGAGGCGTCTGCCCGCGAACGCGCGAACAGCTGATGACCCAAATAGAGCGCTGTCGTTTGCGCTGACGAGCTGCTGCTGGGAGGGGAGGGGGGGGGGGGGTGGTCGGCTACGCGAGAATCGATCGAATTCGTATTATACGCCTATAAATACAGGCCAGCAGCGGCGCACCACGATTCCAGACTGTACATGCGATTCGCGTAATGCCCAAGTCCTCCGTAAAGCGCGCCGAAAAGGAGAGCGCCCACCCGCCACCTCCCCGCTCACGAGAAAGAGAGAGAGAAAGAGAGCATCGCAACAGTCTACGTCATTGCGGTATATGCACTCGTCCTCTGCGCTTGTGTCTTTCTCTCCGATATACGTCTCTCTCTCTCTCTCTCTCTCTCTCTCTCTTTTCTCCAGATGCAACTACCCTATTCACGCACTACACTATCGACGCGTTTCGTGTGTTCTTATCCCCCCCCCCTCACTCTCTCTCTCTTTCTCTCTCTCTCTCTAATGCTTTGCTCTGCTTTGTCGTCACCACAAGGACCTGAAGGACGAGAGACGCAGCAGCAGTTTCATCGATTTGCCGTGCATATAGTGCGCGAAGTTGAGGCAAAGGCAGAGAGAGAGAGAGAGAGAGAGAGAGAGAGAGAGAGAGAGAGAGAGAGAGAGCGCGAACGGGATAGAAAAAGAGAAAGAGAGAGGGAAGGTGGGTGGCTAGCCGGCAGCAGCAGAAGCTTTGTGCAGGGTGACTCCCCCAATTTTCTCTATACCGCGCGCATCGCTTAGACACACGAGAGAGCCGCGCGCGACCATGCCAAGCTGCACCGCCCCGAAACTGGGTCAGACGATGTTTCTCTTACCGCGAGACTCTCCTCGGTGGTTTGCTTACCTTGTCCGAGGGTATGTTGCGCGAACTCATCGTTGGGGATGCCGCTGGCTCCGACACGAGTCTCTTCGACCACTCGCGAGCGAGCAGTTCAGAGCACACAAAACACCGCGCACTCCTCTTGTTGTGCGCTTGCTGCCGCTGCCTCGACGACCTGACCACCAGCGAAGAAACGACTACAACTGATGCTAGAAAGCTCGGCCTTTGTGGGGCCGCGACCTAGGCTGCATCGCGGCGCCTGCTGTGGGCCTCGTCTTCTCACTACTTCCGCGCGACCGACACACTCGCACTCGCACTTGCACCGCTGGCTTTTCGCACTGCACCAGCAAAGGAGGAGCCGCTGACCGCAAAAGCTCGATTTCCGCTTGCTTGTCTGCTTTTCGGCTCGGATGAGCTGAGCTCTAGATGGACGAGCCTCTTCTTTACTTGTAGACGCAGCTGTCGAGCGCGAGCCGCTGCTTCAGTAGCATCGTTCACCTTTCCAAGCTCGCTTTCTGCCTCTTTTCGCGTACGTTCTCTCTCTCTTTCTTGTCTCGCGCTCACCTCGCTCTATCTCTCTCACTCGCTTGAAGCAGATCGATTGCGCACTCACGACCACGGACTCTTGGCAGCACTATCAGCAACAACAGCAGGAGCTCGTCTGCGGGGACTATCTCTCGTAGCACTATGTTGACCACCTGACAACCGAGACGACGACGACTAGGCAGAGCTGCCTACTCGTCTGCCTGCCTGCCAGCCAGCCTTCCTGTTCACTGCTTGCGAACACCCAAAGCCAAACAACACGTAAAATGGCGATCTCGCGCGCGCGCACTCCGACCCATTCGCCCGCTCACGCACACATGCACGCCGCCAGCCGAGCACGGCGTCACACTCGCGCGCGCGTCCGCGAACGTCGTGCAGGCGAGCACAAGTCGAGTCGAATCGAGCCCTCCCTCGATACCCCTCCCCTATTCTACACTCTTTCTCTCTTTTTGTTTTGGAGCTCTCTCTCTCTCTCTGTCTGTCTGTCTATCTGTCTCTCTCTCTCTCTCTCTCTCTCTCTCTGTGCATGCAACTCCACCGCCACTGCTAAAGAACATAACTAGATAAAAGAGACAAGGGACATCCTTTCAACCCCGTAACCTGCGGCCTGCTCATATATGTAGCATCGTTCATTTTATCCTATCCCCCCTCCCTTGCCAAAGACGTTTCTCCTTCGTCCATACGACTCCAAAATACGGACAATTTAATTTCTACGAGCGAGCCTATTCCGTTTTTGGCTCCAAAATCACTTAATTCTTATTTATCCTTCGGTTGTTTGAGTTTCTCACAAGTTTATAAACAAATAACTTCAAAGTTGACAGATTACCATTGCAATTTCATTGATAAAAAAATGAATTGATCTCATTAATTTGTTCAAGATTATTTCTAACGTATATCCACACAATTTTCAGGAATATATTTTAAAAAATTGCTGCGTATTGCGCAGTCGAGGTAGGATAGGCATTGTTCGCTGTCGGTTGCACATTCCCCGCTCACCTCACGGCGTTCTCAGCGGGAGGGATTTACCTATAGCTGCTAGCCTGCGCAGGTATGCCCCGCGCTCCTTTTATAACTCTCGTCATCCGCCCACGTGATCCGCTTTTATCCGAACGACCCGCAAACAATCTTTTTTTTTCAATTTTTGATTAGTTGACGATAATTTACTCGTCTGAAAAACTGCTCTTTTATTTATCAATGTGTTCTCTTATAATTTTCTTTTAGTAATGATAATGATGTTACTTATTTTGATGACAAGAATTTGTTTGATTTTATATTGATAAATAATATTATTTTCGTAAAACGTAGCTGATTTTGAATACTGTTTTATCGACCGCTGATATGTAAATACGTCAACAACAAGACATCACGTGTTTCCGGTAGGCGTAAGCGTTTACACTATGTAAAAGACGACTGTTGTATTTATTTGTAAACGGAATGCTTTTTCAATGGTGGTTATTAAATACTTTTATATTTTTACACGATGTCACGTTTAATTGTCAAGAACTTGCCGAAGAACGTGAGTGAACCATTAAGATTTTTTTACAATATATATTGTTTATTGTATTTTAACGAAAATGTATCCTTGTTTTTTAGATCACAGATGAAAAGCTAAAAAAACTTTTTGGTGAGTACGATGAGAAAAGTAGAGGTTACAAATATGTTATCACAGATGTACAGCGCAAATTCACAGAAGATGGTAAATTTAGAAGATTCGCCTTTATTGGTTATAAATCTGAAGAAGATGCTGCAGCTGCTTTGGAATATTTTAACAATACTTGCATTGATACATCTAGAATAACTGTACAATATTGTGCTAGTCTTGGTAAGTTTCATTAATTTCTTTCATTCACCTTGATTTTTCTCAGATTTTAAAAACCTTAATCAATTTGCAGGTGACCCTTCAAAACCTAAAGCTTGGAGTAAATATGCACTGGATAATAAAACTCAGACAGCTAAAGATGTCAGTGATGAAACTGAAGAAATAAGCAAGAAAAAAAGAGACAAAACCAAAGAAAATGATGGTAAGAAAAATAAAAAAAAGAACAAAAAAGATGAAGATAACAATAAAATTAAGGAGATATTAGAAATGGTATGTTGACTAAAGTTTAAGTTTGTTATTCATTGCTACATTTGTATCTAGTAATTAATTTACTTGCAGCATAAGGATGATCCACTGTTCAATGAGTTTATTGAAAGTCACACAAAAGGTGACAAAAAACTTTGGAGTAACGATACACTACTTGGTGTCAATGAAGAGGAAGAAGATTTTGATTCAGATGAAAATAGTGAAACTCAAGACAGTGAATCGGAAACAGATGATAAATCAAAGAATAAATTAGCCAAAAAAAACATTAGTGATAAAGAGTATATGGAATCTCTACAAAAAAAGAAAATAGATAGAACTTCAAACAAGCAAATTTCAGAATTAAAAGAAAGTCGCGGGCCAAACAAATTTTTTACTGTAAAAGTTCGAGGATTAGCTTACAATCACAAAAAGAAAGACATAAAGCTATTCTTTAAAGGTTTGCAACCCAAATCTATAAGGGTGCCACCAAAAATCAAAGGTATCGCTTATGTTGGCTTCAAAACTGAAAAGCAAATGAAAAAGGCTCTCAATAAAAATAAGAGTATTCTAGGTAAATAAATTAATGCAATTTAATTTACATTTTAATAAATAATTACATTGACTCAATAAATCTTATATTTTTATCCAGAGGGAAGATCTCTGATTGTAACAAAATACAAAGAGAAAGAAAAAAATATTACAAAAAATGAAAACAAGTACGTAAATTTAAGGTGGAAACAGCAAGAAGAGTCTTTGAAAAATGAAGAAAATGTAGCAGAATCAGGAAAAATATTTCTTAGAAATTTGGCTTATACTACTACAGAAGAAGACATTGCCAAATTGTTTGAAAAATATGGTTTGTAAAATCCTGGTTTGAATTTATTTGTTTTTAACTACTTATTGTCAATGTTCTTTCCTCTTCAGGGCCTCTTACAGAAGTAGATATGCCAATTGATAAAGCCACAAGAAAACCAAAAGGTTTTGCAACTGTGACCTTCTTAATGCCTGAGCATGCTGTAACAGCTTTCACAGAGCTTGATGGAACAATTTTAAATGGCAGATTGCTTCATCTTCTACCAGCAAAAACTAAAGCAGCTCCTACCGATTTGCTCGATCAAGGTTGCTACATAATTATCTTTTGAATTAAAAATTGTATGATTTTATAATTAACAGATTTTTTCAGATGGTTTGAATTACAAGCAGAAGAAAGAACTGCAATTAAAAGCTACTGCCAAGTCTACTCACAATTGGAATACTCTTTTCTTGGGAGCAAATGCTGTTGCCGATGCCATTGCAAAGCAGTACAATACGACAAAAGAAAAAGTAGATAATTTAATAATTTTTAATATTAATATAATTAATATAATTAATATAATTTAATATTTAACATAATTTTATCTTATCAAGATTTTTCTATTATTTAAATGAATTATAGATACTTCAACATAGCAACAATGGTCCCAGCATAGCTGTAAATTTAGCTTTAGGAGAAACTCTCATAGTGCAAGAAACTCAAAAATTTATGGAAGAACAAGGTGTTCGATTGAATGCCTTCAATCAAGTAAGTATTTTTAACAATTGGCCATTCAACATAATTGATTTTAAATACTTTTGCAGACTCCAAGCAAAAGATCCAAAACTATAATTTTAGTTAAAAATTTACCGTCTGGGACGAAGAACAATGAACTCGTGAATTTGTTTGAAAAACATGGAGAATTAGCTCGAGTAGTTTTACCTCCTTCTGGGATCACAGGTAATTTATTGGTAAATTTCAAAATAAATATTTGCTATCAGCTTTCAACTAATTCAATAATTTATAGCCCTCGTCGAATTTTTTGAACCATCGGAGGCAAGGCACGCTTTCAATCGTCTTGCTTACTCTAAATTTAAACATTTACCTTTGTATTTGGAGTGGGCGCCAGATGATAGTTTTGTATCGGCACCTACAAAGAGTGATGACAAAAATCCACAACAAAATACATCTGCTAAAACATCTCAAAACTCGACGAAGATGGACAGCACTACTAAACTCGGGCATGACAATACTAAACCAGAAAATACTAACGATGAAGATGACGAAGACGAAGACGAACCAGAACCAGATACAACTCTATTCGTAAAAAATTTGAATTTTAGTACCACGGAAGCGCAATTGAAAAAGGTAATTTAAAAATGTAAATGTGTATAAATGTATGTTTTTCAAATTTTGTCATTGTTACATTGATATTTGATTGGCAGCACTTTGCAAAATGCGGAGCAGTACATTATGCAACTATCAGCATGAAAAAAGATCCGAAAGATCCTGCTAATAAATTATCTATGGGTTATGGATTCGTTAGGTACAAATTTAAATCTGACATGGAGCGAGCTTTGAAACAATTGCAAACGTCCACCTTAGATGGAAAAACACTAGACTTGAAACGTTCTGAACGAACTCTGCAGTAAGTTGGAGTCTGTTCATCAATCACTTGACAAATGGCTGTTCATTATTATAATACATGCTATTTACCTTTCAGGACCGAGGTTAAGTCTCAAAAGAAAACAGCTAAAATTACTAATCAAACTGGCACTAAAATTCTTGTTAGAAACGTCCCATTCCAAGCAAATGCCGATGAAATCAAAGACTTATTCAAGTAAACGCACTGCTTACGAAATAAAACAAATGGATTCGTAAATTAATTAACATTAAAATACGCTTTTAAATATTTTTACAGAGCTTTCGGAGAAATCAAAGGAGTAAGATTACCAAAAAAATTGGTTGGTGATGAAAAGCACCGAGGTTTTGGTTTTGTCGAATTTTATACGAAAAAGGAGGCAAATGTAAGTATTTCGAATTCTTTCTAAGTATTTTCAATATTGATTTACAGCTTGTTGAAAAAATTAATTTTATTCATAGAGAGCATTCAAAGCGCTTTGTCAAAGTACTCATTTATACGGCCGCAGATTAGTATTGGAGTGGGCGCAAACTGAAGAGGGCATCGAGGATATTAGAAAACGAACTGCAAAACACTTCCACGAAGGTAAGGATGTCATTCTTATCTGTTAAATTGCAAGTAATATAGACTAATCTGATAGAAATTTATGTATTTCCAGAAAGCGCAGTTAAAAGAAGTAAAAAGGGTACACTGGATCCGGAATCGATAGGTTTGGAAGTCAACTAATTGATATTTATCTAATGTTCGCAGAAGTGATAAAGAAGTATGCATATTTTGTAAAGAAAAAAGTTTTATTCATAAGTTAATAATAATAATAATAATAATAGTAATAATAATATGATTTCATACAAGATGTCTTGTATTTATCAGGAGGTATACAATGATACTAGTTTTATCGATTAAATAGTCCATGACAAGTCGAGGACGTCTGCGACTTAAAAAAATACGCAAATCGTTACTACTTAAGACTGCAAATCAAGAAACCAACTTGCAACTGTCAGTTTTTTTTCCTTACTATTATTGTTCGCAATTTTTTAATGCAAACGAATAGAACGCATAAATTTCAAGTATAAAGCTGTGAAATAGATTCGTTTCAGCATTTATTTAAATCAATACGGCTCACCTAACTGAGTGTTAATCCTTTAATATGTAATTAGCTATTAAATTTACTAAAGCATTCAGAGCTTGAAGTATGGTCATTTGAACAGCAGACTCGACCGTAAAAAAAGGATAAGAAAACTTTGCCAGACTGTTATTTTCGATTTAATCAAACGACTAAATTACGAAACGATTAAACGCTTGTGAAGTAAACAATTGGAAGAAAACGCGCGTCTTTTTTACGTAGTCGCTGTTCTTATAATCACAGAATTGCACTCTCGTTAGCGTATAGCGCACGAAAAAATATACTTATATACACACGCTTTTCTGTACACATGTTTACCGTTTTGTTTTCATTATATATCATTTATTTATTGTAAGCATAAACAACACATCCGATCTGATCGGACTTAATGATACTTTCCTTTCGTTATGTAAACCGTCGGCGGATGAAAACACACATTATCCAATAAGCCGACAACATTGCATTGCGAAAATCGCAAGGTGCACGCGCGAGCAAGATGACAGTTTGCCCGCGGGCGCTGCTACGCGATTGTGGCGGATCGGAAATGGAAAAAAACAAAGTTAGAAGTGACGGCGACTCTCGGCAAATACAGCAAACATAGAACTGAGATCCAGGAACAGTAGGGGGAGGGGGGTAACAACAACGTCGACGAAAAAAAACTTATCGTTTAACTTGTCGTGTGTGTGAGAGATCGGCTGCGCCGTTGGATGCTTTTTTTTGTTTCTTTTTTCTTTTTATTTCTTTCTTTCTATTTTGCTTCCGACAACTCTGTCCGTTTTATTTCGACGCGTTTCGAAATTTCAACGGCAGCCCGCTGCCGAAGGAAAACGTGGCTTCGCTCTCCGCGACCATTCATCACGAGGAGGCGACGTGTAACGAGAATATCTGCAGCTGCTGAGAAACTTGCGTTATCATGTGTGAAGCTCGTTTTCGGATTTTTTCCGGAAGCGCTCCTCCAGGTAGCCTGGCGTCTGAAAAAGTGTCGAAACAGAAAAACACAGCGTTACCCTTACGATGACTTTGTCGCCTGACTCTCGCCGATTTGCACTCTGCGCTCATTCGTGCTTCTACTTCTGGCACACGTGTCCGCTGCACATCGATCTCGTTACGCATTTAATTTGCTCGATTCAATTGTGCAAACCTCATTGATTATTGACGATCGATGAGAAACTGTGTGTGTCTTGTTAAAATAAATGAAAGTCTACCTACTTTTACATCTGGCAGATATTAAAAGCAGTAGTGACAAGAGAAACGAGAGATGAAAGACTGTAAAATGAATATTATTCGTTATTACTCCAACATCTTTTTGCTTTATTTTTGTAAACTTTTTCTTATTATTAATTTTCGGTTAGATGTGTCAAAAATCACTCGAGTGAAGTTTTTAAGTGGCACACTGACAGTACGCGTGAGAATGTGAGCAACGAGGTGTTAAAAAAAAATAGGTGAAACGTACATTGAATGCTCGATGTTTTATCAACCCTATGTCACCTCGGAGTACCAACAAGCCCCAGTATTGCGAGCCTCATCATACTCAGACATGTAAACAGATATTTAAATGTATTTATTAAATCTGTATAATAGTAGATTTTTGTTGATTTCTTTGTTTCTTTCTTTTCTTTTTTATTACAAACATCGTATAAACGTATATTGCATTTACAATGAAAGCACAAGACATTCATTAACATCGCTGCTGATACTTTTGAGTGTATATAAAATTGAGCTAACAATGACAACGAGGACATAGCTGACAATTGCCTCGGGTATTATTCACATACCTATATGAACGAACATTGATCGCTCCTAATGCTCTTTTTTCATTTGTATATAAATCTTCAACTCATTTTCATTTGTATATAAATCTTCAACTCATTTTCATTCTGGCTTCTTTTGTGTGAAACAAAAGCTAACGATGCAGCAGCAATAACAATATAATAACTAGCAAGACAGCGCTATAGATACTGACTAAGCTAATGCAATGATTCATTGATTTATCTGTTCGTTTTAGTCATAATTCATATGCGTTTATATTATTGTAAGAGAAGTAAATTTAAAAAAAAAACAATTTAACGTATGTAGTATCGATTGCACAACGGGATACATTGACAAAAAAGTTTAAAAAGACGTAAAGAAAAAGATAAAGAGTGAGTGAGTGAGTGAGAGAGAGAGAGAGAGTGAGTGAGTGAGAGAGAGAGAGAGAGTGAGTGAGAGAGAGAGAGAGAGAGAGGATAAAAAAGAGAGAGCGAGAAAACACGCTCCAGTCATTTGAACACGCGCAACAATAATATTAGTAATGCGTGATTGATGCGTGTTCGGTGAACATTAAGCGTGTTGTTGAATATCGTGTGAAAAATAATGAGAGAGCTCCAGATCGCACAATTGTCGAGCAGACTGACACTTGACCTAACAACGTGTTCTGCGTGCTTATTTCCATCATATAGCTACTAAATAATAAGACACGCTGGCACAGAAAGGGAGGGGGGTAGAAAGAGAGAGAGAGAGAGAGAGAGAGAGAGAGAGAGAGGGAGAGAGAGAGAGAGAGAGAGGGAGAGAGAGAGAGAGAGAGAGAGAGAGAGGGAGAGAGAGAGAAACTAAAAAAGTGAGGTGCAGACTATTTGTTGCATTAGTGCTTGGCGATCACGGTTCTATAAACCATTAAGCCTCTACCTTTGGTTTCGGCCGATGCGTGTCTACGGCAGCAATGGGCAGCCGTATGTTCTCTACTTTGCAGCCGTAGGCGACGGGCGTCAGTTTGATGATGGTGTGCAGCGGTACCTGTAGGTACGGCAGCTCGTCTGCAAAATAGAAGGTTTGGGTTGGTGGTGATGGGCAAGGGTCTGCTTAGTATCCGGATGTTACAGTTATCGAGGGAGAGAGGAGAGGAGCGTATACTTTTCTTTAATCTCTCGTTTGCCAAAGTACACAATTGATCAACACTAGACAGAAGTAAGTTTGGCTATACGACAAACCTCCGATGAGTCGAGTACAGTGAATGGGCCCGCGACTGGTCTGGTGCGCGCAGGGATGAGACTCGAGCGAAAAGGGCAAGAGGTGGCTTACCGGCGTTCTTGTCGAGGAAGTAGGCGAGCAAACAACGCAGCACGGCCTGATGGCTGACGACGAGGACGTTACCCTGGCGCTCGAGCTCCATGATAACGGGCTCCAGCCGCGCCACCAGGTCCTCGTAGCTCTCCCCCCGGGGATAACGATAGCAGAATTTGTTTTGGTCCCTGGCAGCGAAGTCTACGGGATACTTGCTGGCGATTTCCTCGTAGGTCATCTCCTCGCAGATGCCCTGTGGGTGGGAAAGAAGGGGGTGGTGAGCGAGCGGACGGGCGAGAGGTCGAACGGGCTACTGACGGCGTCGATCTCGTTGAGGGCCTTCCATCTCTCCTGGGGGGCCTTGACGTGGGCAGCGGTCTGGATGGTGCGCTTCAGCCAGCTTGTCCAGACGCGCAGACCCTGGATGTCCTGCTCGGCGATGTACTCGCCGAGGGCGCGGGCGTACTCGCGGCCGCGCTCGCTGAGGTCGGAGTCGCCGCCGATGCGGCCCTCGAGGTTCATGGCCGACTCGCCGTGCCTGGTGAGGTAGATGGTGCGCGGCACGATGTGGATGTTCATCAGGTAGTAGACGATGCGCGACTGTATGTGGCCCTCGTGCTTGTGCACCAGCACCTTCTCGCCCGTGTTGTAGATCTTCATAAAGGACAGGTCGCTCTCGTACTCCTCGTCGAGCGGCTGGTACTTCTCCTGGTAGTGCTCGATGCGCAGCATGAAGTCCGCCAGCACCTCCTCCTTGTTCATGTTGGTGTAGTCGGGGCTGCTGACCTTCACCTGCGACCGACAGACGGGGAGGGAGAGAGAGAGCGTACACGATCCCGAGCGGCTCGTCCGCGCTCTTGGCTTACCTCCATGATGTTCTGCTCGACGATCTCGGGGTCGTTGCAGACCGACTCGACGAAGAACAGCTTGAAACCCATCTTCTTGACGACGATGTCGCGGATGAGCTGGCGCCGGTCCACCGTGGAATTGGTGGCGTCGAACACCGCCACCTCGCCGTCGCCGCTCTCCAGCCACTGGCACACGTCGTTCAGCGCGTCCATGGCGCACTGCGTGCGGATCGCCATCGCCTTGATGTTGTCCGGCCGGAAGAAGTCGTGGCACTGATAAGCAGTGGTCGCGTGCCGCCTGTACTCGCCCAGGTTGTACACCTTGGTGTTGATGCCGATCCAGTTCAGGTAGCGGCAGAGCTTCTTCGAGATGTAGGTCTTGCCGCGCGCCGGCAGCCCGACCATCGCAATCACGTGCGGCTTGTTCACGAAGTTCGCCCGCTCGCCTGGCCGGACGTACGACACTGATGAGTTAGTCTCGGGTCGGTGCCATCCGATCTCCTTCGCCGACGCGGGGCAAAGGCGCGACCGAAAATCGAACGGAAAACAGAAGCCGCGAACGTCGCCCGGAGGCCGCGCTTTCCCTCGGTTATCATGCCGATTGCGCAACCGGCCGAGGCCGCGGGCTCGCCGACGAATTAATCAGGCGGCGCTCGGATGGAAGCCAAGTCGTGCGAGCGAGCTCGTGGAATCCTCGACTGGGCCCGCTAAACGTAACGTGCATCGACTCGACTCGGCGATCGCTCGCAATCCTCGCCCGCTAAAAGCCAGTCATGTTGACGATCGCGCGCGAAAACGCGCGACGATAAAACCTCTCTCGCATTTATCATAACCCAACCTCACGATAATCAATCTTATCGAATCCCACCGAGCGAGCTCTTTGTTCGCTATTTTCACTTCATTTGGATACGCAGACGGGCACTTTACAACTGCGCACGTCTTTGCCGAATGCCATAGAATACGCTAAGAGGCCAGGGTGCGATAAAAACCGGCTGTTATTTTCGCTCTCGGCTCCCGAGAGCTGGAATTGACCTTCGGGCAAACGGAAACTCACTGCCATTCTTCGAGGATACTTTCTATTCCATGAAACGAACGAGCTCGGCTAGCACTCTAAGGGATGAATAATCTTTCGGAAGAAAAATCCATCGATCAACGCGCGAACCGTCAACAATTTCTCATCTTGCTTTTTGTTATTCGCGCTGTTTATCTCCAATTTCATTATTGATATCGTCAATATTTTTCGATAAGACCGTGGGCAAATCAAAGGATTATTTTTAGCTCTCTTCTCCGAATTGTCCGCAGATTCATCGCAATATTTTGAAGTAACCTGGCACATCGGCGAGCGTTTCGAAGCGAAATTGCCGAATGTTTTGGAGCGATTAAACAAAAAAAAGTGAATTAAAAGTTTGGTACGTACCTCTGATGGGGAAAGGCTTCGTTTGGATGGTGTCGGAGGTGGGTGGCGAGAAGTGCGCTTCAATTTTGCACTCATCCGAATTGGAGTTTGAATTGGAATTCGAGTTGGACATGATGTATTGCTGCGTGCCTGGCTCGTGACTTTATCTTGAGAAGGACAGAGAGGAGCGAAAGTCGTGGCTCGACTGCTAGATGACGATGAATAAAAAAGATGTAGCCAGTCGTCAGCAGTGAACAACTTGTCTACACGCTAAAGCAAAATAAAAACAATGCTCGCGCACTAGGTACGAGTGTCTGCGTGAAAAGGTTTTTTGTGTGTGGCCAGGTGCCGACGAGTGTACAACCACAGTCGCAGTACTGGCAGCAGCCGCGGCAGCAGTAGATTATCCCTCGTGTTGTGTTTGCGTGTTTGAACTTGTGTCCGTGTGTCCGTCTGTCCGCAAGTCGAGAGAGAAAGAGAGAGAGATAGAAGTATCGGACTGGTAGTTAACCTTAAAGTTGGGCGGCGGAAGCCCGATTGCGACGTTTGCAGCAGCAAGCGGCGGCAGCGGTAGACAGTGGCATGGCAATGTTCGCTTGCTCTCGCGACACACTGCCGCCAGTCGTCGTCGCCGTTGAAATGTTCAAGATGATTCTCGGGGGGACTCGCGGAAGGCAAAGGTCACACGCGCCAACAATGACGAGACTGAGCAGTAGCGCGGCGCGGAGAGAGAAAACACAATCACCTTTTCTACGCAGGCCAGCTGCTGCTAGCACTTACAGACACGGCGAACGGATTGATAGTGCGCGCGCTCTTTCCCTCTCTACCGTCTTCGAACCACGGTCAAACTGCTCGCGCACCCGCAGATCTCACACTTTTTACTTTTCCGACTGCTCACCATCAGCTGCTCACTGCTGCTGTCTACCGGCGAATCGTGCTACGTCGCCGGCTCTCTCTCTCTCTCTCTATGCTGCGTTTACCCCCTCCCTCCCCTCCCGATGTGCTTTATTTTGCCAACACTTTTGATTTGTTCCTGATCTTTTAACAAGTGTTGTACTCAAGCGAAGGTGTGCCAACAATTTTCTTTCTTTTGCAGCGAATTTTAATAGTAGTCGAGACAAATGTATCACGAATGCCAACTTGAACGTCAAACCGATTACGAGCTTGCGTTTTATTCACCATTTACAGCGGTTTGTTAATCATGACGCTGACGTTAAAAAAATTGTCGGTAAATATCAGCACCAGCGCGAATAATTTGAGTTACGAAGAGCGCAATGGCCAGTGTCACGGCGAGGCTTCGCATGCGGATCACGCGAGTCTTGCGTCACGCAGCTTATATGCTTGGCTAATATGTCGATAATGCATCGGTGCACGTGTGCGCGTGGCTGTTGAAGCACGCAACGTGTATAGGTGGCCGGAGCCAAGCCGCGCGTGCGCTCGTCTCGTTCGCATGTTTGCCCGCGAATTAGCAGAATATAAACACAATTATACATCTACATTGCGCGATTCTGTTGTCGTGATATATGCACTTCGGTTTGAAATGATTGACGTTAACTTGTCTAGACGCGGTTTTTTATTTTTCGGAAAGACGTTGAACGAAATGTATTATTAACAATAAAAATACTTGCTATTATTCAGTTATACGTTATATACACACATTGTTAAACAAAGTTTGAAAACAAATTACTTCAATTACATAAAATTGTATATTCAAGTTCAAATTTCACACCTCCTAATTGTACCATAGATCGACAAATACTATATTCATACATCGTATTTTTCCAGAAATGAATTCATTACATCAGCAACCTTGTCTTGTTGCATCATGTGCAGATGATGAGACCCGTCGAGGTGAACTGATCGGAAATCTTTGCTAGAATATTTCAGGATAGAAGACACTTCAGACCAATATGCTTGTTTTTTGTAGAACGGAGATTTGGTTGCCTTTATGACGAGGTATGGGCACGTTATCAACTGAGCCATCTCTTTAATCTCCTCTTGCGTATAACAAGAATTAAATCCGTCGATTGTCAAACGGAAATCACGAGTATAATAGTATGTACCATCCGCTTTTTTGTTTGCTCCCCTGATCATTAGTACCTTGGTGGTTGGAACATCTAGATCACTGAAGAACGTTGCATCTATCCATTTTTGAATGAGTATTTCTTCTGGATAGCTGGGAGGACCATTGATCATTTTTTTTTCAAAATTTATCAATCTATCTATTGCTCGAGCTCTCCTCTGACTGTGACTAGTCATATTGTTTGGTGCAAAAGCTAGAGAATCTATACTTATCACAAACTTAGTTTCCTCAGGGTACAGTCGAGCATAGTTGAAACACAAAATTCCACCCATCGAATGACCTAATAACTTTACTTCGTTCCAGCCGAAGTGATTCACTATTATTCTAATACACTCTACACTTATATCCTCATTGTAAGGAATTCCACGAGGTAACCAACTAGACCATCCATGCCCTGGTAAGTCTATTGCTAGTACAGAAGAGTTTTTCAACAGTGGAGCAATCATATCAAAAGTACCCGCATTGTCTTGCCAACCATGGATTGATAATATGGGTTGTTTATTGGTAGAACCCCAAAGTTTGCCTATAATTAAAAAAAAAAGATTATTGTCATGTTCACAAATTCTTCCTATTTTAGTAACATTAAATACCATTAGTTTCATCATACCAGCTATTTTTCCCCATGGTACATTTACTTCAACTGGAGTGAACTGATTGCTATTGGCTAGATTTGCATTTTGTTTGATTCCTCTGGTTACAATAAAATACTGAAACGCCTTACCTAAGTTTCTAGATTGTTTAAAAAACATGCTTGATGATCTACAAATTTTTTATAACTATTAATGGAAATTTTTAGATGCAAGCATTGAGTAAATTTATAAAAGCTCTGTATATCTGTGCAAACCTTGTGACACTTTAAAGGCAACGAAACTTTCCAAGCGAGTATTTTAAGGGATGACGTAAAAATTTAGACAAATGCGTTACGCATTGGTCTCCGATGAATGACTTTTCAATTTTTTTCATCTTGACATTTTCACTTGTTAGAGATTTCTAATAGTAGTTTTTGTATCTAATACATTGTCGTAACCGTTGTGTTCGATTATCAAGTAAAAATTGGATTAGAAAAATAAAACGGATTTGAGAGATGACTAATCTTCCATTACGTCGATGATATACACACAGCATGCGTTCTCAAGGATTACATTGCAAGAACTGACGAGCAGAATTCATATTTGTATTGTAATTTGTCAGCCAATAGAAGTTCAGCGCTTACTTCATGTCGTTCATTTAAAACTGGAAGCTGACGAGCACTTGATAAGGTCAATCGCCGAATTTTTATGAACTTTTGCTTTCCGTGCAATATTATTGTTTTACACTTTATATTATATGGATATTTCATGTGATAAAAGTATCATTATTGATTTACAAAAAATAGATAGTACAGCTGAACGAAAGATAAAGCCGTTATTTTGATTGCTCAGTATCAATCCAAAAATAAATAAACTGTTTCACACCTGACTTTTTAGCATCAGTGAAAGTTCATATAGATATACAATCTATTATGGGCATTTAGCAATTTACACTATTTGTTTTATTTATGATCGGAAAGAATTTTCAATATAAGAATCAAATGATTTTAATGCAGCATAACATGATTCTATTAAAGATCGTTACAAGTCCACTAAAGATTCTTTATTTTAGATGATATTTTATTTATTTTTTATTTAGAAAAAAATTTAAAAAGGAGATGGGCTCGTGGATATACAACAATGAATTAAATGCTCCGTATGCCACTGTATACGCGCGCTTTTTTTGAGATTGCGCGCGCATTTGACGGTGCTCGACTGCTCGAGCCCGCGCAGACCACATATTTCCACAAGTGATTCACTTCATATCACAAAGCATCAAAGCACACTGTGATCTGACGGCCAACGGTACACAGAATTATTCGTTTTCAAAGAGGAATCTTTCCTCCGAGTGACTGAATCCTGTGTTTCAAAACGTTTAATAGTTTGACTTTGATCTTGATGTAAAAGTAAGAGTAAGGCAGGAAGTCCATCGCCGAGTAAACAAGCACTCGGACAATAGGAACAGTGAGTGATAATTGTACGCGAGCAGCGAAGAGAAGCCTCGTGTGTTGCTACTGCTAGTTATTGCCTTAGAAAGCACACTTCCGTCGACGAGAGTGAGTTGTAGTGTAAAAAATTATTGGAGTGTTTTCGTCAATACTTTCGCGCCTGATCCTCGGGATCGAGGGACGCGAAAGATAACTCGCAAAGTAGAGGAGAAAAAAAAGTATTGCTTGTGGAAACGGTGTTATGTAAACAAGTGCGTGCAAGTGAGAGCGAGGTCGAAGCATCATAGAGAACAAAAGAAACGTATCCTTGAGCCTGCACATTAGTAAAGTGCGTGTGGTGGATTGATAATGGGCATCAGCCAAGGCCTTAGCGAAAAGGGTAAGCACTCCGTGCTGCAGGGCTGCGGCAGCCTAGCTTAGGGATGGTATCGCCCTCCAAGCTCCAACAGCAGCCAACGCAGCAATTTCACGCCGAGCATCATCAAGAGATCGACAGGCAACAGCAGATCATTCCTGGGAAAACCAACAAAAATCTATTTACCACTAGCCTAGCTTCACCGGCTTCACCGGTTTCGCCAGCCCCCAGCAGCGGTAGGTTCTCTAACCTCATCGTTCCGATTGATATTTTATTGTCTTCCGTGCGCTTGTTCGTGCTGTGCTCCGTTCTCGTTGTTCCTCGCAAGCTACACGCAACTCGTTCGCGCAATCGCTATTAATAGGTAAAACAACTATTATGCGTACTTAGTTTATTCGCGCGCGCGCGCACGAGAGCGATAACTTTTTCCGGAGCTCTTGTATTCTATCCTGCGCCACTCGCTTGCAACGTTCCGCCGTCGTACCAAACCAGACAATAATCAATTCACACGCGTTCTTTTCTCACCACGTTGATCGTTAAGCTACATTTGCTAACAGAGTTGACATTCACGTAACTGAGTGCCTGGCTGCTCGTCTCTTATTTTGCTTGAGTCTGCAGTAATTCGAACGATGCTCGTCCGCGCAACAAGCTTGAAATTTCAATGATCGCGGAGACTTGTTCACGGTTGTGCATTGCAATTTCAGTTCTTCGGATTCAGCGAGGGCCAAAGCCGTTGGAGAAGAAGACGTTCTACCTGGATATTAAAAATCATGGACTGTCTGGCAAGTTAGAAAGCCGGATCAAGGAGCTCGGTGGAGTGAGTACGACGATTGTCTGTTTGCTAACAATTAGTTTGCCTGTCTGGTTGTCGCTGCAGCATTTTGTCGGACGCGATGACATCGGAGTGTACTCGCAGTACCGGCGAGGGTGCGCGAAACTTGAGCGATTTGAGTCATTTGGCTCTACGCAAGCCTTTGTCATCGGCGAAAGCAGCAGCGTAAGACTTTCTTCGGCGTGGGTAGGCACGATTCGTCTTGTCGAGTCGAGAAACGCTAAAAAGAAAGCGCTGACCTGGAGTGGGTGGCAGCGGCAACAGCAGCAGCAGCAACAGCAGCAATAGTCGCGCGCGTAGAGCCGCCCGAGGGAAAAAGGGCCGGTCTGTTGTATCATATATACTCGCGGCACAGGATACGTACGCACATACACACGTATCCCTTCGGTAGAAGCGTCCGATCAACAAGCTGGCTATAAGGTTGCCTAAGCTAAGCTGTTGAATCAAGCAGCGCGCTCGCGCAGGCTATCCTACGACGGCGACACACGTACACGCATAGTCGCGGGCTATTGGGGGAGCAGAAGAGGCGCGCGTTGCTTGATCGCAGGAGCGAGAGAGAAAGAGAGCGAGCGAGAGAGAATGCGTAGCGGGGTGAGGAAGGGGGGAGTCCCGGAATTCTGTTGCCAGGCTCTTGCCAGAGCGCGCGCAGCAGAGTTTGCCTCGTATGGTACGGGCTCCGCCCTAAATTCGCTGCCGTCTGCGCTGCATCGAACTTGCATATATCTCTCTTGCTCGCTCTCTGTGCGCGAAAATATTTTTCCCTCGCTGCTGCTGATGCATGTGCATGCGGCCCGAACGCGACGCGCGCGGCCGCTCTCAAACCCGCGCGCTTTATCTCTCTCATCTGTGTGTGTGCGCGTACGTACGATAGGTATGCGTGCGTATGTAGCTTACACTCTCTCTCTGTCTCTCTCGGGTCACGGTGTGCATGTAGATGAGCTGCTTGACCGCGCACATCGCGACGTTGCCGGCTTATGAGCGGGCGGCAAACTTCAAAATCCCGCTCTTTGCACTCTCTTTCTCTCTTGCGGCTTCTACCCAACTTGTCGTTCGTTTCGCGTTGCCTTCGTAGCATAATATTCCCACGGCGAAAACATGTTTCTTTCTCGGCTACAAATTTTCATGCCTTTTTTACGCACACGTGATGGTGTTGTGAAACAACGTATATAGGCACACAAGACAGTATAACACATATTCGTGATCAGCCGACAGCCTTTCTTATTGCTTCGAAATTGGGATAACAGCTCATACTCCGTGACAAAACTTACTTTCATCCTAAACTTTATCAGCTTTGTCCCGACGGAAACCTCCAGACTTTCGCATTAAATGCCGAGTTTCATTGTTTACACGAATATTCGCCAGCTTCAAATGTAATTTCGGAGTTCTTGCTCCGAAATAAAGTAAACGTGTTTTGAAAGGCACAGAGATTGTCTCTATACCTGTATCGCAACTCACGAAGGAAGGAAGCCAAAAGAGAGAAAAATAACAATCGAAGAATATTTGGCCGAGGATGTGGCAACGTTGCTGCTAGCACGCGCTCGAGACGATGACTCCAACTTGCTTTTCCATTGCTCGCAACTGCCTGCTGCCGCTTAGCCGTGTTGTAGATATTCCACATATTCACGTAAAAGCGGACGAGCGCGTCTGTAGGATTTTTCGGGTGGACCTGACCATGCGTTGGCGTGCGTGAATAAGGCAACCAGTGTGTGATGTACAATTACACAACGATACAAAGTAGCTTGAAGTAGCTTTCTCGCTGTCACGGTCGCGTGCTGCTTCGCGCTGCTACGGCTGCCTGCACTGCAGTGTTGACAAACAATTCGAATCCAAAGAAACCGGCTGTGCGTTGATCAGGGCGCCACCGCGTGGACGCGCCAAGAAAACTGCCAAATCAAAATTTAGGTAGGTCGCTGGCACTATGCAGCAGCTTAGGGTGACCTGGCGAGTGTGGCAGCGTGAAGGAAAAGCGCCGATGGCTCGCGGGAAAATTCAGGGCGAAAAAGCCGGCCGAATAATCGAGGTAGACGGCCAAAGCAAGGCAGCAGCTGCTGCGCCCGTTCATCCCCATTCCGCTGTTCGATAGACGGCCGCGAGCGCGAAAGCGCCGCCGCTCGGCTCCCGGGACAAGCTCTTAACGGCGAATGGCCATTTTGTGCGTGACAGTTCCACGGAGCACTTCGGCTGCGCTACATCGCGCTCTAACCAAGCTTCTCCCACCAGGTCGGCTGCTCCCGCCGCCGCCGCTGCCGCTGCCGTTGCTGCTGCTTCACTCTGTTCTCGTCAGTTTATACACCTCGATTGTGTCTATGTGCATTTCTCACGCATGAGTCGTGTTCGTCACAAAACTGACTTCAGTGTGTTCTCTTTTCGACGACGCTCAGCAAGAAAAAAAAACAGATATACGTACAAGTAACGCCCGAGTCCAACCGAGAAAGAATGTCGAACTGTCGCGAGAAGCGAATCGACAACTGAACACTTAGAGTGATATAACCCGCGAAAGTACTGTCCAACTGGATAGAGAGAGAGAGTGATCTTCGCGAGGCGAGAGTAGATGTTGCTGCTGCTACTGCTGCATCCTCGTCTTCGCCGTAGTGTTGACCGACAACAGCAGGCTCAGGCTTTGGCCCAGCAAGGTAGTGCTGCTGTTGCTGCTATATAGTAATACAAAGAATAAAGAAATCAGGCGATAGTCGAGAGAGAGAGAGAGAGATCGAGAGCGCGCTCGGTTTAGTTTAGCGTTCTTTCCCTCCCTGTCTACTCGCTAGATTGACAGGCTGTGCTGGTACTGCTGCCGTCGGTTCCGAGCTTGTGTGTGTATATACACGAGTGCCTGTTCATGTGTGGGTTGACTTGCGCGTATATGTGCGCGCGCCCTTCTGCTGTGCTGCTGTTGTGCTATGTGTTGTTGTAGGCATTTGCTGGCTGCACCGTTCGTGTGCGTCCGCTCTCGCGTATATACCATACTCGCGAAGAGCGCGACGCGACCGTTCGTTTGCTCGTTTTTTCTCTCTGCGGCGGCTGCTACGACGCTCTCTTCGAGTCCTACTGCTGTTCTGTTTCGTATGCACATACACGCGCACCACAGAGAAGCCACGTGACGCCTCCGCCTTGCAGCAGTGCACCACACGCTCGACCTTTTTTTCTTCGCCGCTCTGTTGCTACTGCTACTGCTCCTGCTACTGCTACTGCTAATGCTACTGCTGCTGCTACGCTCTGCTCACTTCTTTACTTACCTTCGTCTCTCAGTATCTCTCTCGCTCTCTCTCTCTTTCGTGTTCTCTCTCGTTCTCTCTCTCTCTCTCTCTCTCTCTCTCTCTCTCTCTCTCTCTCTCTCTCTCTCTCTTATTTTCTGCCTCGCACACAAATGCTCTCTCTTTCTCGGTATCAATGCGCCCGTCTGGCAGACCAACGGTTTTTCACGCTCTCTCCTTCTCGCCTGCTTCTCCTCTTTTATTAGAAGCTTGCTGCAACTTGCACATTTTCATCTGACAATGGTTGCTTACTTCTCACTCTTATTTTTCATTGCACTGACACTTGCTCAAACTCATCGCGAGTACGTCGCAAGCAACCTTGGTTTAATTGTGCTGACCAAGCACTGCAGCTGATCTACTTTCAAAACTGGCAAAAAATTTCACTTACCGAGCAAAATTTCTCAACTTGCTTCTACATTTGCTGTGCTAGGTTTAAATTTCCATCGTGCCATCATACGTATGAAGCCACATCTTGCCAAATGTCTTATGGTTCTACCTGTTTCAGGTAATTGAGCTGTTTTTGGTGAAGGGTGTTACCCTTGTGATCACAGACAGATACAATAAGCCAGGCCAAGCAACTGCCAATGATAGATGCAAATGGGGCTACGCCAGTGGAGGCAGCGGGGGACCCCCCTCGCTAAGGAGTATCGAGGGCCAAACTCCTATCCAAACACCTCCAACACCTTACCGTAGCATTGAAGGACCCCTGTCAAATTCTACCAATCAGCGGGGTCAGGCTACTCAGAGATCTGTAATTTAAAACTCACTTATGGTAACAATTCATGGTAGTTCATAGTCACAAGTACCAACTTTTTTACAGAAATCCCGGGTGGATGCAATGTTGGAGCGTGCTCTGACACAGCCACAACAGTGTTCCGTGGATCCACTTAACAATGCCCTGAACTGGGGTATACCTATTTGGTCGACATATGAACTGCAATCTTGGTTGGAGAAAATATCCGCTTCGTTGAAAAACTCTCATAGTTTGAAAAGTGACAGCCATATTAACTTGACAAAGGACTTTTTTGTCACACATTTCAAAGAACCTTATATCAAATTTGAGTCTTATTACAGGTAAAAATTACTCAATTGTTTGCCCTTCTTAAAGTAAATTAACAAATGGTTTTCATTTTCAGAGACATTCGGCCTGTTTTCTTAGAGTTGCAACTGTGGCCTACCATTAATTTTGATGGTGATCCAGGGTCTTGTCCTTTTGATCTAAAACGTCGAGAAAAGAAAGAAGTAGGTTTTGTCCAAAAGGAGATCAAAGAAAACAGGGAAAAATATTACATTTCTAATATATCAAAGGTAATTATCACGACCTTTCAAGTGAAAGTTACATCCAGAGACACTTGTTAGAGTGATTATTAAAAATGGGAAATTTATCCCTGCAGGGCAAAGACATGACTCGTAGGCCTCGCGCCACGGCAACTCGCTCCCGTAAGACAGAAAATACTGGGTATTGTGAAATCTGTCGAATTGATTATAGAAATCTAACCAAACATCTGCAAAGTGATCAACATCTCAACTTTGTGCGCAATGACAAAAACTTTATATCTTTAGATAATTTGATTAGCACTGGTGCAAGTGTTGAAGCTTTTTTAAAGATAAATCGATCGAAAGATGTCAGGTAACAGGACTTAATTTCTTCCATCTTTGGTAGAATATTTCAATCATTACATTTAATTTATATTTGTTCACAGGAAAGAATGTCCTCTATTCTCAAGTCGCGATCATGATCTCGACAATGGCATATTGTCGGCGGACGAGAAACCGGAAGAAAAAGATAATCCTAATTTAAATGAGTTTGACATTGAAGAATTAAAAATGATGCAGTGTAACGGTGCCCGTAGAAACTTGAACTTAGACTCCTCTCCACACAATTTGAGAGTAAGAGCAAAACACGAAAGTGGCCACCAGTTACGCTCTAAAGGTAGGCCATTTAGTGAAGGTGAGAAGACTGAAAAATCTCTCGTCAAATATGTTATCAAAAAACGTTCCAAAGGAACCTATTGGATAGAGGAAGGTAGTTCAGAAGATGAAAAGGACGTTGAGAACGAAGTGATAAGTTGTGAGAAAAGGCCGTCAATCGAAAGACTTTGTGATGCAGAAATCGAGGAAATTGCGACTAATGGTGGAGTGGAAAACGTTTCGATGAATGGTGAAATGGATCCCGTACCTGTTGTCGACTGCAAACGGAAAGAAAATAATTCAAACAACCTGTTTCATCGAGAAAATGCATTAAAAGACTGTCTTTTAGAGAGTTCGTCGAAAAATAAAGTTAATGGTTACGAAAGAAAAGAGGACAGAAGGCGATCGAGCGAAATTGTCGAAAATAACGTTACAAACCAGGAGAACGATGTAGAAATCAAGGCAAATTGTGACGATCACGATAATCAAGAGTATAATAACGGAGAGCAGTTGCATGCTCAAGACTGTGAAGACACGAATTCGTTAAAAAATGTCGAAAAGGAAGATAAAGGAAAGAGTAAATCGACACTTAGGAGAGGAGCGCGAACTATGAAAGGCCGGCATAGATTATCGGTAGAAGAACGTCTGATAGAAGATAATCGAGATTATTACAAGGTGGAGGTACTGGGAAGCAAATTGAGATCCAATACAATTCCCAGCTCGAATCCTGTGGTACCCCCTTCAAAGGAAGTGGTAGAAAGGCCGAAAAAAGACGATAAGTCGTCTAGTGAAAAGAACGTTGTAGTGCGTTTCAAACGTGTGAGGAAATCGGAATTGACTTTGCTCAGTGACGAAGCCGAATCTTTCATGTTTGGAGAACCGCGTCGCGACGATGACTCCAGTGAAAGTGATGGTGAACAGAGCAGCAATTTACCAAAAGACACTGAAAGTGACCACGAAGATCCTGGTAATTCTATGGCGATAAGCTCATCTTCACCTGGTAATATCAAGCAGGAAATTATCGACGAAGATTCGCAAGACTCGTCTGGTCGAGGACGAAAGAAGAGAAGAACGCAGACCGAGGCTCTATTGAAGGACAACACCGAATATTATAAATTCGAAACTCCTGGGAGTAGATTGAGGTTTCAAGCTCCTTTGACTGGTATTAACGAATCGGCTCAAAGCAAAGATTCACCAGTGGTACAACAGGATCCAAGTGCCAATCAAGAAGAAACTCCAACAGTTTATCCGTCCAAGCCGTCTGCGGAAATTGAAAAAATGCATTTCTCATTTGAAGCCATACCAAAATCTGAATCCTGGTATCAAACGTACCAACGTCAAGATGAAGGCGAGGAATTTTATTATTCTTTAAGTGAAGGCAACAAGCCATTCCTATTACCTTATGAGATAGAAAACTTTGACGAAATATTGCGAAAGGCCATACAGAATGGCTTGCGGAAAAAGAGCCGTGGTAAAGGATCTCATTTACCTATCAATAATAAAACCCCCAGAAAAAGCCCTCGGTGCCATGCTTCGACCTTAGCTATTATGTCGACAATCATCAGAAGGAAAGAACAGCAGTTAGCTTCAAATCTGAATATTGTCGAGGAAGAGACTAAACCAATTAACGAAATTACTAAGCCTGACAAAAAATCTTCGGAAAAATCTGACGTCGATGCAGATCTGAATGAAATAGCGAAAACCATTGACGACGTTCTGGGCAAGGAAGACTACATGAACGATATGGATTCGTTTGAGATAGATATCGCTAAAAATCCTGACGAAGCCGATGTTGTTGAGGCTGAAGTACAACCGAAGGGAGCGCCAGATGATTTGCTGGAGTTGCTTGATAATTGTCATGATGTTGTGACGATGAATGGCATAGAAAATTCGTCTTGCGCCAGTTCCGATTGCGGCGAGCTAGGAAACGAGTTTCCGTCGAAAAGACGTAAGAAAAGGAAAAATAAGACCGGGTGGCCCGGAAATAAGATGAGAAGAAAACTACATATCAAGCATCTGCACGAAAGTGCGTCCAATGAAACAAATCTCACCAAAAAACCTGACGAAAATTCGGAGGCCGACAAATCCATAGCTGAGGAAACTTTGGAAGAGGCTTCATCGCATGTGTCATACGATGAAGAAGAGGTCATTCCAGCAGAGTGTGAAATCGGTAAAGAAAGCGAGCTAGTACAAAATCAACCGAAAAACAATAAAAAAAGAAAGAGTCGAAAGACGAAGAGCAAGGATAAGAAAATATGTCTAGATGTTTTGCAAAGTGATAGCGAAATCAAGGACGTCGAAGAAATGGCAAGTAAAGCGATCCTTAAGTCGGCGATCGTAGAGAAAGCGTCTTTAAAAAAAAAGCGAGCTCCTTTGAGCTCAGATCATCCAAAAGTCAAAATCGAGGTAGAGGAACCAGAAGAAGAAGAGGAGCTACTAGAGGAGATGGTTGAAGACATGGATGATGTAGAAATTTCCGTTGACGAAGGACGATTGACGAGCATAAGTGAAGATTCGGAGGCACCGTTATCTATTAATGAAAATAATTGTACGCAAAATACTGTTACACTAAAGAAACGGTTGTCTGCCGGAAAATTGAAGCGACCACGAAATAATACTATGTCGTCAGAAGCATCGCTTCAGGCCGAATTGGAAAACTATCAGTATAGCAGTAGCGCGAGTTCATCGCCGAAGAAGCGTCAAAGAGAGCAAAAACCTCAACGCCAAGACGAAAGCCAAGAGCGCTCGTCAGAGCGGAACATGCCCAAGAAAAAAGGTCGCGTGGATTCAAAGAATAAGCGGCGGAAAAACGAGCAAACCCCTTCCAAAGTCGTCTTCGAGAACGAGAACTGCAAAAAAAGGACTCCTCCGTCGATGAATGAGAGGAGAAAGCACAAGAGGTTGAAACGCAATGACAGCGTGTCGTCGGAGCTTGCAAACGGTGATATGTCGGATCGAGTATCCCTTGTGTCCACATCGGATGCGGACCAACGTCGGTCGAGCATCGACTTTCAACCTGTCGTCAGGGTTACGAAAATCGATGACCCGGCTGAGAGTAATCGCCGGTTGCGAAGCTCCAGCTCGCCGCACTCGAGTAAACAGCCGCAAAAGAAACGTTTTAGACGGCGATAGCTCTCAGAGCAATTCACCACTCGCTGCTGATACTCGAGGCGCGATCGAGCTTGCGGGTTTATCTCTTACCTGCTATTTTAGATTTTTATGAGCTTCCGACTGTCAATTCCTTAGTGATGAACGCTGTCTTTGCTCGTGTACATTGTGTACAGAATGGTATTTGTCTATGTCTAGTATTTAATAACAACAAGCACTTGAAATTCTATCATTGTATTAATTATATTATGATTTGTACCATCGTTTTCGAGTAGCATCGATGCTACAAATATACGAGGTATTGTAAATTTTTCAAAGTGCGATTTTCGCGGTCGATTTCTTACTGTATTATTAGTTTTGTATTGTAATAATCACAAGAAAAGTTAATGTTCATTCTTCATTCTTTATTTCTTCTTTTTTTTACGTAATTTTGCAGAGTACTGTCTGTGTATTTAGATTCAAAGCTTTAAAAGGGCTTGAACAACTACGTAAAAAGTGAAGAATTTTAAGTCGTTTTGCATACCTGCCGAAAAATTCAGAAGATATTCTTCTGTCTTATGTACCATTTCATTTTTTTTGTAAGTAACTGACTTCTTTTTTATACAATCAGAAGTACTTTATAATGTGCAAAGTTGGTATTAATAACTGTTCAACCAAGGTGTTTTTTTAGAGTATGTAAGACTGCTCAGATTAAAGCTTTATTATAGCATTTTTTGGTTATTAAATGCATTGATTACATGTAATATTATATTTTAAAGTAACTTACGTAGAGGAAATTTTTAGCAATGCACTTATCAAGTCTTTTGTGAGATTCATCTATCATAGGAAGAGGTGATCTACAAAAAGTATTGATAGTTTATACTAGAGGTTGACTATATTCGAGAAAAACACCTAACAATCCTATTTGAATGAAAGATAATGTAAATCTGTCAAGAGTATAGAAAACACAAATGATTATTAAAGAAAATTGAATTTTTCATATAAACAGAGTTTTATTTTCTTTTTCAAATTTCAACTAATTATGTGTGTACAGTCTGTACTGACCATCATGATGTAATTATTAATCAAGGTTCTCCCTTTCTTTGAAAGCTGCCTTCATAGTAGCGCGTTTTTTCTGTTTGCTATCTTTTTTTCGAGAAAGTTGTTCCAAATATCGTTTTTCTTGATATTCGATAGCATCTTGACCATTAAAATGTTTATCTAATTTATTGATCAAGCGTTCTTGAGCTATTTCTTTATTCTTAAGTTGGCTTCTTGTTTCATGGCATTTAACAACAATACCAGTTTGTATGTGTTTCATTACTACTGCATTGCTAGTTTTATTAGTCGACTGTCCTCCTGGACCACTGCCTCTAACATACTGTACCTCAAGATCTTTTTCTTTTACTTTTGGTACTTTTGAGTAATCTAAATATTTTTTCAAAGATTTATTGTTACACAAGCATGTAAATATCTTCCTGTTGATGACTCTGTAAAAAGAATGTTGTGAAATAGAATGTTGAAATGTTTTGATAGACATGTTTTAAACAACTCTCTTGTTTTTCAAAATTGCTAGTCCTTTCTGTAAGTGAAAATTTTAATACTTTGTTAATGGAAAATTGTAAATAAGAATAAGACAGAGTAAAATGTATAAATAAAGTACCTTATACTGAAACGCTATATCTTCATGCTCAGTCAATGTTCTACTCTCTAAAAATCCTTTTCTCACTCTGTGCACAAAATACTTTTTGTCTGTATATTTGAGAGTTTGACTGTACCGTAAAAGTCTTTTGTAGAGACCCAAAATTTCCCCACGATTCATTTTAAGCCACGTTAACGTTCCACATAAAACTGTTATCTCTTATTTATTAATTTAACTAAATTACTTTTTTTTTTAATAGAATGTTCTCTACCGCAATGAAATGAGGTTAAGTACAAATACTCTGTAGTAAACTGTCTTGTATGCAGGGAATATCGTCTGCTATAAACTGTTACATATGCTCATGTGTCCATTTTTGTGGATTTTTAGCAAAAATAATATAAATACCTAATGAGCAACCTGGACCTAATCTCTACTGGTATTCCTGTGTATTTTATTTTTTGTTGCAAGAATTCACTTGATGATATCAAATATGTTTTGTACCAACAATCGAGGAACAGTTTCCATAATTTGATAACGAAATATGAACACAGAGAAAAGATGTCTCTCTTACCGACTGCACGTTTTAAAGCGCCAACTTGATACTTATAGTCGGTTGATTACAATAAACATATACACGCTCTAAACATAAACAAAATTGTTTGATCGTCCGCATATAGAGGGAGTCTTTCAATTTAAATTTGGCGTGAATGTGTGCTGATGTACACGCTTAAATTAGTGTTTTACCGTTGTTCGTTCTCAAAATTTTCGTATCTACTTTTGTTTTGCCTTTTTGAAATCGTCAGTATTTCTCAGCATCTCGTTCAGTTTGAATCAGTACCGTCGTAAAATTAACGCAGATAAATTATCAAGAAGTGTGGAAATAATACAAGTTGATTGGATCTACTTGCAGCAAAGAAAAGTTAACGAGCGAAAAAAGGTGAGAGCAACGCGCATATTCGCATTAGTGGGAAAAAGGAAATTGACACGAAAATCCGTGTATCACGCATGAGAATGTGTAAGTGAGGACGCATGCGAGCTAGCCAGCGAGAAGGCTAGAAAGAGCGAGAAAGTCGCGCGAGTAGAGCGTTAAAAGGGAGGGGGAAGCGAGCGACAGCTGCCATCTTGTGTACATTTCGTTTCCAGAATCCAGTCTGCGGCCAACTTCGCAAGGAGGCGAGATCGTCGTCGTCGTCGTTGTGTGGCATAAACGAAGATTTTCTCGTGTAATACTAAGAACCACACGTTACGAAAATTTTTTGGCGTTTGGTGTAGCTTCGAGTGTGATCAAGTCGAGACTTCAGTGTATTGTAGAGACAGAGGATTGCTTGCTCTACAAGCGAGGAGACCATACGAGTGCTTCTACCCAAAGTGAGTAGTGCAGTAGTCTCTCTTTGAAATTATTATCGGGGCCGAGCAAGCAAGCGAGTGCAAGCGTGTGCGTTGGTGTGCATGTGCGTGTGCGGGACAGGGAGAGAGAGAGAGAGACAGAGAGTGAGAGAGAGAGACAGAGAGAGAGAGAACTGGCGACGTAACGCGTAGCTATGTAGCGTCAGAGCGAGTGAGAGAGAGAGAGTAGAGTATGATCGTGCACTTGGGGAAGCAGTAACAGAGTGTAGCATTATTGTTCCTTGGGGAACGAGTTCTCGAGAGAAGTGCACCTGCGTCGACGACGGACACGGGTAGAGGTAGGTAGCGCGAAATGCTGTTATCGGCCGGTAGATGCTTTTCCCGCGGAAACACCGGAGATCGTAGAATTATCCGCGAGGGAGGGAGTTTAAAGGACTGCACACTGATGCCCTTTGTTTCCCGTATCGGATGCTCTCTCTCTCTCTCTCTCTTTCTCTCTCCTGCCATCTCTTTCTTGGCTTTTGTGTGTCGCTGCGAATCGTGCGAGCGGCAGTTTCGCCAATGTTACGTCGACGAGGGAATATTTCACGGCAAGCCTGCTAGCTCGCTGATAATCGTCTGCATATGAAAACTAGTAGATTCGCTCAGCTTTCTCTTCAGCTCCTGCTGTGTGTCACCACGTTTTCCGCGTGCGCGCGAGTCAGGCGAGCCAGCGACAATCGTTCCAGTCCTGGAGCGCGCAGTCGCTGTGTCTCCTTGTACATATCTTTCTCTCTCTCTCTCTCTCTCTCCTCTCTCTCTCTCTCTCTCTTCTCTCTCTCTCTCTCTCTCTCTCTCTCTCTCTCTCTCTCTCTCTCTCTCTCTCTCTCTCTCTCTCTCTCTCTCTCTCTCTCTCTCTCTCTCTCCTCTTTCTGCTAGCCGAAAATCAATGGGCTGTAATTTCAACGGAAAGACTAGACGGACTAGCTAGCTAGAACAGCAGTCGTCCCAAAAGACTTCGACTCTCTTTCAGCCTCAAGCTTTCGTAAAGGCCCACCTCGTTTCTTTTGTTATAAATCTGGCTCGCAGACCAGCTGCCGTCATTCGCAAACGTGGACAAGTCGGTTTTCTTTCAGGTGCTCACTCACTTAAGTTAGCGTGCGAGGAAGCCGATAGTTGCTATCACGAGAAGATAAGCGTTGCGTACTCTCTACCTCGTACGTATCGTTACAGGTTACACGCGAGCGCGAGTTTGATCGATGCTCTTTCCATATTAATATGTAATGGTTCCCGCACCGGCAGATCGTTCGTTTCTCGAAAAGTCATTTCCAGAAAGCCCACGTGCGACGAAGGCGCAAGAGGGGAGAGAGGGAGCCTGGTTCTTTTTGCCCGGTTTGCGTGCTTACGCGCAGATAGCTGCCGCATCTAAATAACAAATGGACGCGCGGGATATCGCAGCGCCGTGGAGGCCGCTCGCTGCACATCGCACAGCATTGCATTAACAGTTGTTTACGTTCTTCTCCGGCGATGTGTGTGTGTGTGTATTTTGCAAAGCCATCGGTCCTTGGTCGAACAGGGACTTTTGCCACGACGCGATCGACAGATTCAGCGGCGCGTGTGGCGGATCGATCGGTTGATCGAGCGAGCATGTCATAATGCATTGATAAAATAAGCAATACGTAGTTGTGCAAGTGCGAGTGGCAGCCGAGACGCGGCGGCGCCCTTAACCTCAAATAATTCAGCCGCGAGAGGCATGCGTGCGTTTCGGGAGAAGACTCGCCCTCAAGCTCATTGATTTGGCGCTTGCGTCCGCGATCCTTTTGTCGTCGTTGTTGCTTCGGTGAGCGCTGAAAGTGCATTAGTCACGGCGCTCGATTAGTGTGCGGGCGAGGAGAGCGCGACAACTTCGGTGGTCTCGATTGACGCAACGCCGACCTGAATCGGTTGGCGTTGTTTGCATAATTTTTGTCGAAAAAAGAAAAGCGAATAATAATATCCCGAGCAGCGTTGTTGCAGTTGGACAATTGACAAGTAGTCGTGGGTGGCCGTCGAAAAAAATTACACTCGTTGTCGCTCTCTCTATTATCCGTCATTAGTCCCTGGTGAACAATGAAATTGTCGTTGCATCGCGAGCTACGTCGCGCGCGCGCACAGACACGCACGCAGGCTCAGCTCCGACGGTTTATTTATTTAGAGACGTCGCGATCGATCATTGGATGTACGTATGTACGTACGCGCGCTCGCGTCGAAAGTGCGATTCGCGAGAGAGAGAGAGAGAGAGAGAGGGGGAGAGATAAGCTTCGCCGTTGGCAGTGTGATTCAACGCGCGCGGTTGAGCTGTCCCGCGTCTCGCGCGCGCGGCTATATTTTGCGAAGGCGAGACATCGCGCGGCGCGCGCGCTCGAGTCCTTTAATCAGAACTATACGTGCTCGCCTTTATACCGCGGCGCCGCGCGCACCCCGAAAATATCGCGTTTGACGGCTCGCCAGCTTTAACGCGAGCGCCCATCGTCGTTGCGCGCTATGTCATTAACGTGACTCACGAGCGAGCTCACATGTACGCCAAATTGGCGCGACGACGCCGCGTATTTTCAAAAAAGCATTTTTCTTTTTTTAATTTCTCGCCGACTCGATTGGCGGTCGGCACTCGTCTCTTGCTCGCGTTGGCGGCTCACTTATGGACTTAATTTCGCCGCGAAGGCTGACAATTCGATCATCGACGCGATGAATGCCGCGCGCGAGCCGGAGATTCGCTAGGACGAGCGGCCCGGGCGAGTCGGCACTGTCAGCGGCAATGGGAAAAAGCGCTGCTGGCGTGTGCTGGCCAAATACGTAACGGCCGTCTGACGTCAGTGTTGCTCTCTCGCGAGTCTCATTGAGGACGCCCACCGGCACCTTCGCGCCGCGATTCGCGCGCCTTTTCGCGCGCGCAACGCTCACCGATCACTAACGGAGGGACCACGACGACGAAGACGACAACGGTAAAAGAGGAGCAAGCGACAAATGCGTCTCGAGGCTCGCGCTCCAGTTCGTCCAGTGGTGGACGGATTGGGCGCAGTGTCGCTGGCTCGTGGGTGCGCTCGAAGC